CTTAGAGGTCAGGAGGTTCATAAAGGATGAGACTTGACCTTGGTTTCTGTCGCAGAAGGAGACTAGGAATATTACAATTTTTCCCAAGTAGGAAGCTAATCCATGGCACATAACTCCCCCTTCCCCTTCCCCCAGACACATTGTCAAATTTCCATCATAGTTTGAAAGTTTTCCTATCTTTGATTATACTCCTGAGTGGAAAGAAGCAAGTAAGAGTAAAGTGTCTTTCCCAAGACCACAACAAAAAGACCAAGACAATCCAAAAGCCAATCCAAAAGCCAACAGCTTTCCAAAGTAAGGACTGATGGCAGAGTAAAAAACTGTGCTGTAAGTAACAGTTTGACTAGAACTTACCAGTACTTGGCCATCCTTCTCAGTGGCTTTGTACCAGCTATTCAATCTGTCACATAGCTTGGATTCCCACAATTTGAATTTCATTGGAGGCTTTTTGAACAAGCTACATAAAAGAGATCAAAATGTGTGTTCGAGTTCAACCCTAATCCTCGTAGCATTCAATCAATTTCATTCAGCTTTAACAAAACCTCTGATAACAGTCGACTTGAAAAGACAACATTTCCAGTCAGAAAATTAATAATCAAAACATACGTCAGAATGGACTTCTGACAGTTTTTGTGAGGTTAGGTTATGTACTATTGGGATCTCAAATGCAGATTAATATCATAAATTCATGTATCCCATTCATGGAAAAGAGAGCAATGATATACTTTCAGGTGCATACAAAGTGTAGTTTTTCTTTATGTTAAACCCTGAGTCTACATAAGAGAATAATCAAATGAATAATTAAATAATGTATTACATTATTTTTAATTTTGCAAGGTAAATGAAAAGCTAAATATTAGACAGATTAAATGCTACCAGAAAATCAAATATCTTAAGCCTAACAGAAAACCATACCAGTATAAAAGACACATACCAAAAATATACCACTAGACAGTAAATTGTAAAAAACACGCATGAAAATGCTAGAAATGTTTCACCTTTTCCGCTGGTGTGGAGTAATCAACAGAGCTGTAAATATTCTGGCCAGTAATGAAGATTTACTGGCATAAATAAAGCTAAGCTCAAGCTCAGTAACACTAAGGTCTTGAATGCAGAGAAAATCTTTCAGTAGAAATAAAAGGCTAGCAATTGAAGGAATCTGTTGAAAAGAAAAACAAAATCAGTATCAAAAGTTGTACACTGCTTGATCTTGATAATCAGGAACTTGCTCAAAGCAGCTACATGTACTTTGTGAATTTTCAAGCACCATACCAAAGTTTAAACTATATTTAAATTCTAAGAAACTGCAAAATGTTAACATTGAGTAATAAAATACTTATAAGGGAGGTAATGATAGATTGAAAATGAGAATGCTTAAAGATTGAAAAGGGATGACAAATTTAGCAAATATCTGATCTGAACAATTGGAGCCACATTGTTCAAGATGCACAAAATGTGATACTGCTTGGTATGTCAGAAGCCTGTATAACAGGACTTAACAAATTGACATTGACTGGCAGATAGATCAAACACAAACACCTATAGATTAAGATTTGCTAGCCCATGATGGGTGCTAAAGGATTCCACCACTTGTCTGAGGAGTTTTCATTGCTGTAGCCACACACAATTACTGCTTATTCTTTCAAATTCACGACTATTACCTCCCACATTGAATGCAGCTGTTTAATCATATCAGGATCCAGCTCCTTCTCCTCCCACTCTGCTAAATCCTGAAGCAATACCAAGTTGGCCTCTTTTTTCTCCTTCTCACGTATTCGACGGCGCTCACGTTCCTCTAAATCTTCCTGAATCTTTAGCCGTGTAAGCAAAGAGGATGATTCTTCACCATTTATCATGCTGACATAGGAGACACGGGTTGCTCGTCTACGTCCAGTTGCCCCTAAAACAATGGAAAAAAGAGAAAAATATATATACATATATTAAAGATAAAATATCTATATATCCCCAAAAGAAATTCACCCCTAAGAATACTCTGATACCAGTGTAATTGACAATTAATACCTTAACCCTGGCTTTTATTCACATTTACACTGGGGTACATCTATCACAATGACCAATGACACATTATTTTTTTGATGGTTCTATATTAATGTTAAGTCTCATGCTTGTCTATAAATTTACTAATTAAGTAGACCTATACTCTTTCAGTGTACAGTAGCAACACTCATCAAAGATTGCCTAGACAGTATAAATTATTACCTTCTGAAACTTCTGTAGGAACAAAGTCACTCCTCAATGCCATGGTGGCCTCCAAACTCACTTTGTCTCTTAAGGACCTACAATTAAAATGAAAAAAACATAAACATTTCTCAAATTGATTCTGCCTCTAAGTGATTCTTCAAACTCCAAAAGGGCTTCTAAAACCAGAAATAAGGTAAAACAAAGTTGTTATATTATTATCATTATCATTACAAGAAGGCTACGTGTTTGGAAATTAGGATTTGCGGTAAGTATACGAGTCAACTAAACTTAGTGTTATTCAGAACTTTTTTAGTGGCCAGCCATAAAAACAAAAGCTGTAATAGTTTGAAGTTTACCTCAGATCAAGACAGGTATTTTAATGTGTATGTTTGATAAAAGTAGCCATCAGTTCAGGTAGCCTATGAAAATGCTGGCCATCAGTGCTTCTGGATAACTCTTTTAAACTAATAATAAAATAGAATGGTCATTTTATGCATAATCACCTGTTCAGCAAAGCCAACTTTTGTTCCAGTATCTTCTCCATCTTGTGGCCAAGTTTGGACACCCAGTGATCTGATCCATTGTAGCGGTAACAGTTCTCCAGAATAAGACGAATGTCTGCTATAACCTCAGTGATGCTCCTATATTCATACTTGTTAAATTTGTCACCAACTACAACAAAAGAGGAAGAAAATTAGAAACAATATAAAAGTTGAAATGATAGATTAGTTTAGTTTCAGGTGACTTAAGATGAAAAAAAAAAGTTTTGAAAAATTTTAATAGGTCTCACTTGACCAAAATTACTAGTTGCTGCATTTCCTTAGAACTTTTGAAAATGAGAAAATTAGAGGTCACTTTGCTGGAAAAGAATTAGAAAAATAATCATATCTCTTTTACCAACAACATCTTTCAAACATAAATAGAAAGCAATTTATGTTTCTGCTGCTTAATATAAATATTCCTGAAAATTTTCAGAGCCTAAAGTAACTGTAGGTGGCTAAACAGATTGCCAGGGACTAAGAAATCTTCTAAGATAGGTGCCCTAAATCAGGGTACTTTTCCAAACATTATAGAGAAGTTTGGTATAGAGAATTGTTAAACTTTCTTTAACATATGTTGACTCACTCTCTTTACAACAAAAACACTAAATGTGTGTTCATTTTAAATGTTACTCAAACCATGTATGAGACAAACTTGGTCTAGTTAGAGAACAGAACTTGCTTTAATGGAAGAATATCGTGCCGATAAACCATGTGATATTTATGGGGATTCCCTTGATCAGATAAATTTCAAATTTTATACCTTTTGGTTTTTTTACCCAAATAAAAAAATTCTGGAGCAAGCAGATATAAGAATTTATGATGACAAGGCGAAGATGGAGTGATCTGAATGCACCTTTAAAGATGAAAACAGAATTATCATAACAGATTTACGTAACGTAGAGGTTTTTTTTAGATCAAAATTCGAGTGACTGCTAAAAATAATGCTCACATTACCAACTGTGAACTTAAAATGCACAATTAAAAGCAATATGAAGGTTAACAACTATAACTCAAGATGTGAACTTTTGATTTTGAAAGGGAAAGCGCTCTGGTCAAAATTAGAACGACGAGACAGAAATTTCACTACGCCAACAAAATGTAAACATAAACGTGAATAAATGGGAGAAGATTTCTTTTTTTTCATGTCAAATACCTTTTCCAATCTGAATTTAAAATAACGTTTCGTCTGTAACAAAATGTCAAAGTTATTTAGGGCAGCTCGGTAAATGCGAAATTTCAGAGGTGTGAAAGGTTTAAATTTGTTACAGTTAGTGCTGTAATAAATTAATTAAAACTTCGACTGACTTTGCTTGAAGCTCATGGGTTCCTTCACTCTTTCATGATAGTCCCACAGGCCCATTGCCTTGGCATCTACGGGCTCCAAAAATGGCCAAGTTACATTCTTATAAGAGTCTGCCGACATTTCGATGAAGACGCGGTAGCCCTGCTGAACTTCGGGGTTAAGTTTAGTAAGATCCAGTACGTTCACTTGCGGTATCGGCGATTTTTCTATTTCCGGCATTTGAACACGAGTTTCTGAAACTTCAACCGGCGCGATTTCACAAAGCTTTTCGGACTCTTCAACTGGATTTTCGACCATAACTTCGTCCGTTTCCATCGAAGAAGTTTCCATTCTGAAGAACTAGGCCAACTGGATGGCCCAATAGAAGTCCAGTGGTATGTTTGTAGCCCAGTGTCTATCAAGTTTCTACATAAAGATAAGTATGAAAGGCAAATGCTTGTGAACCATGCCAACTTCTACCGCGCCGCATTGTTGATGCGCAGTCTAAAGAACAAAGGCCGCGCGCCGACTCAGTAGGACAAAACGCGACAACCAAGTTACAAATTACACGATTTTGAATCTAAAGGCAGGAACTAACCGCTTAAACGTCTTCTCTAGCTAAAGAAATTTCCTATTCCAAGCCACATAGCGGAAAACGAGTTCAATTATCATCTAGAATAGAAAAAAGTCAATCTGAAACTTAATTAAACGAATTATCTTTGGCTAGTGCCAGGCCTTTATAGACTCACGCGATTTGCACTTTTCAACCCTTATTTTGAATTTTCCTGGAACGGCTAAGTTAGAAATACTACCAAAGGCTTTAGTCAGACATGAATAGTGTGGGGGTACAATTTATCTGCTATTTTGGGCCTAAAATCAGCAAATTCTGACAATTTTGTCCGTATCGATTTAACGAGCCCGCGATCTACACAGGACTTCATTTCCCGCCTAATTCAAACTTTCGCGCTCGATCGATGGCTCATCACAGAGAGAATGAAAGATGCCGCTTTTAGGGAAGAAATCTTACAAGCCAAGCCCGTTTCCGAATGATCTGAAGTCTGAGGAAGAGGTTTTTGTCATCAAAGAGACGAATGAAGTCTTCAGGTCGTACGAGTATCCTTAAATAACGTCTGCAGGACCGCGAAGAACACTAGTAACAATGTCTTCTGTAGCGGATAGGTAGTCACTCGAATACATTGTAGACGATTTTTGATGGGCTTTCCTCGTGATATGGACCTTGCAAAATTATTATTGAACCCCTCATTCATTTAGAATTACCTCCAAAACGGATAAAGCATTTTTAACGGAACATTTCTTGGGGTGATTAAGTAAATTTGACCAGAATCTTAATACCAGAATTTTCTCGTTGATCTGTGCAACTAGTGCGTTAGAATTACTTCTTGCGAGCTATCACCCCGTAATATCTCTCTGCAGGTAGTCGTGACTTCCATTCGGCTACTAACCTTGTGTAAATGCAGTAAATGATAAATCGTAGATCAAACCACAAGGGTTGTGTAACTGAAACCTACACATTTACAATTTCAAGAAATTATATCTATTGTAAGAGAACAGTACTTCATGTTTCAGTGAGATACCTGGCATAGTTTTTATTGGTGGTGAAGTATTTAGCTGTATGAAAATGAATTTCGTAGATGCCCAGTCAATGGGGCTACCAATGGTTAAGTTTTGTGCCTTTTTAATCCTTTACCCAATCCCAAAGAGGAACTAGCAATGGTATCACCCCTGAATCTACCACTTGGGTCACAAGAATGAAGGAAACGATCACCAACTAAATATTCTCTTGATTATTACACAAATCTTCTTGTCAGCAACTAAGGAAAAGTATAGACATCAGAAAGGAGAATATGCATTTTAATATTAGGATGTAAAGGGTTAAGGGTTTTTTTTTGTGACCTATCTTGCTGTTTTTAAAGTGTATGACAGACCATCCTAGTAATAAAGGGAGCATTTTCATTTGTATGAAGATCGCATTATCAAGGCCTTGCAAATTGGTTGTTTGCATGTAGTGCATATTTCCTTTACGCAATCAAGTGAATATGTAAACCGTATCCTTTTGTATGGATTTCAAATCTGGAGCTGTCAGTTTACCGGTAAAACAAACCTGAAGTATGAAGAAGCTGTAGCAAGTGAAGAACAGGCACTGAAAAGACTAGAGAGCTTTCCAAAGTATTTTGAGAAAACAGTTTTGCAGATTGTGCATCACAGTAAGTACATTGTATAAGTATGTGCTGTATAAGTATGTGCTCTCATCACTCCTTTCATTAAATATTATTGAAGTTCTAGATTGCATTTTAATTAGATGAACCTGACCCTTTTCATTGTTAACCCTCTAACTCCCATAAGTGACCAAGACAGAATTTCTTGTCACAAAATCAATACAATATCAAGCAGACATGTGACAAGAATCAAGAAATATATCAACAACCAGATTATTAGTTGATTTGATACCAAATTTTCTGAACTCACATCAGAAAATTGCTTATGAGATCATGGGAGTGAAAGGATTAAAAGATCATTGTGCCTTTTCTCATGAGTTACTCGTATTAAGATCTTATTGAAGGCTGCAAATAAATGTGTGAATTGGAACTCAGGAGGGTCTGTTTTAGTTGACTTGCAAAGTGAGAAGCAAACCAAAACTTAATCCACCCATGGCAGTTACTTGGGCACAGGTGATTAAATTGGTAACCTTTTTCTATAGGTACAAGAACACTGCAAACTCTGGTACAAGAGTGTTACAAACAACTGGAAAAAGAATTTTCGCCAAATGAACCAGTAGAGTGTTTGGTCAATGGGAAATGGTAAGTTGTGAGTCAGACTTAAACTTGGGTATCAAACAACTGTTCACCAAAGTGAAGGTGGCTAATGTTGGATATTTAGTGAGCCAAAAAGCAGCGAGGTAAATATTGACCACTAGCCTTCAACTCTAAGTACACACTAAAACAGTATATAGCCAAAAAAGTTGATATTAACTAATTTATACCTGCAACGATTACAACATTTTTAGACCCAAACCACGACAAGTTAGTTGAATGTGAATAGTGAAGGATATTGAGAGTTTGAGAAGTGAATTAATCAGAGTACATGTTCAATGTTATGCACTGTTGAAGTATGTATTAATAGCTGATAATGATGGTTCATTCCACTTTTTTTCAATTAACTTTTCATTTTTTGTTATAATTTTTTCCTCCTTCCACCCATCTCAGGCTTCTAGGAAAAATTTTGCAAATTCACCACGGAGACAAGTATGAAAATGTAAGTTATTTTCAGGAAAAGGCAAAGAGACAGTATAGGTGTGAAAAACCTGGAAAGTAAATATAATTTAAGTTTGGGTCATGAAAGATTATGGGGAAAGACTGAAAGGTTTATTCTAGGAAAATGAAGCAAGATGTACTGGGAATTCAAAGATGGTTTTTGCTTTATCTTCAAACTAACTTAATTATTAATACCAACACAAGAAATTAAATTAATTAACTCATTTTCAGAGCACTAATAAAACATATGACTTTGAATCTGGTGAGATACATGACTGCTTGAAGAGCATTCCACCGGAGGAAATCAGGTAAGATATAGTATCTCTCTGTGTTCAGTAAATACAATCTTAAAGCTATGAAGAGTGAAAAATTTATTTCTCAAACTGAATGTCCTCAGTGTTCCCTTATGATGGAACTTCAAACATTTTTGACAATTTGTGTGATTAAAAAAAATTAACTTTACATGATATTGGTAATTTGAGTGATATTCTAATTATTTACGCAGAAAAGGCTAACATCTAATTTAAAATATTAAATTACCGCTTTAAAAGGCTAACATCTAATTTAAAATATTAAAAATACTTCTGCATGATCAATGAAAATGTCTCTTCTCTTTCATCCTTTAGGAACTGTGGCCAGAAATTAATTCTTTTCATTGGTAGCTACATGTTTATCTAAGTTTTACCTTTTTTTTACTTTAAAGACGTGTTAAGAAAATCCCGTCAGAAGAGTTGCTTAAATGCTTCATATGTGTCAACACCCAAAACCCTTGGAGGAGTGATAACAGCCCTTGGGTGGTCAAGGTATTTCTTAAATGTAATCACTTCATTCAGATAAAAAAATAAATAAATAAATGAGCCACATGGCAAAGAACTTCACCAGCCACTTGTTGTGGCCGGTGAAGTGCATAGGCTTTGAGCTCTTGTATACAACTGTGCAATATCTTTTCATTATTGCTATTTTTCAGAGCGATATGGCAAAGAAGTATTCCCTTGCTGAAAAATATAATGATTTCTCTTTGGTATTGGGCAAGGTATGTTTTATAATTTATTTTTTACAATTTACCTAACCTTAATTAGAGGTCTCAATAATTTTGAATACCCACTTTGTCTTTTACTTCAGACACTGTTCTGCTTTCAAAAAACGTCTCAACAACTCATTTGGCTGTCAACAGAAAAACCAATTACACAAACCAGTTGAAACTTAAACTTAAAAGCCTTTAACCCCTAAGAGTGACTAACATCTAATTTCTCTTTACAATATCATCCCTGAATCAAAAATTGAGGTCATAAGAATAAATGAAATGATCACCAACTAAAGAAACTCTTGATTGCTAAACAAATTCTCCCTGTCAGCACCTTTGGAAATGTATAGAGAACAGTGTGGAGAATATGTATACTGATGTTAGGGTGCAAGGAGATGAGCTTTGAGGCTTGGAAATAATTGAGGAAGGCAAGTTAGTTGCATCAACACAATGAATCTTCAGCTTAGAGAGTGAATTTGAACCCACAGTTTGGTAATTGCCTTGATTTTTTCAGAAAACAACACCTTTGTCTAAAACTCCCTCAAAAGGCCACAAGAGCAACAAGAAACAAAAAAAGGAGAAAACTTCTGACAAGAACACATCACAAGGGAAGTCCCAAGTGAAGAAGACTGGCTTTATGCAGAAAAAACTTGACTCCTTTAGAACAAGCAGTAATGGCAAAGATATCACTGTGAGCCTAGCAAAGATGTCTGACAAGTCGCATAAAAAGGTAACACCATCAAAGAAGAACTTTATCGACATTTGTTCAAGTCCTGATAAAGATAATGACAAGACACCATCTAGTCAACTGCATGGTACTCCAATTAAATGCAGATTGGTTCTAACACCTATCAAATCACCTCAAGTTACAGCTGCAAAGAGTATCACTCCTGAAAGAAGTGTTGTAAGTAAAGACAACATAAACATGAAAAATATGGCTGTTGGAGAAACTGCAAATGATGTTGTCATCACAGGTTGTAAAACATCACAGACATTTTTCTCTCAGCCAAGTAAAAAAGTCAGGAGTTCTCCTAAACAGGACAAATGTGAAAAGTCCCGAGATGGTAAAGGGGGGTTGAACAAGAAATCAACAAAGAAAGGAAACATTTCAAAAAAATTATCAATAGTTAAAGGTACTAGCCTGAAGGAGAAGAGGCTTACTTATGGAATGGAATCAGTAAAAAAGAAGGCAAAACTAGATGTTTGTGTGCCAGAAGTGGAGTCAGTGATTGTGGACAATGATTCTGATAAGGATTTTCAATCCTCTTCTAACAAGGTAAAGTTTGTGCATGGTTGTCAAATAAAGAAAGATGTTATTCATTTTTTCATGAATTCAGGACAAAGAAGAATTCAGGTCCCCAATGTGATTATGAAGAATCAAACCTTACACCTTCTGATTTTGTTTTGAACTTTTGGTAGAGCAGCAGAATTCAATTCAAAGCTCTGACGTTTGACTTTATATGCTTGGGGGGACTCAGATTTTTCCTTTTTCCCATACTCATGACCAGACTAATGACACCTTTTTTCTTTTTCAAAATTTTTTTCTTAACATGTTTGTTTATTTATGCACTTGACAACCCAGTGGGTCATCTTAAAATTGAGTTGAAATCCTTGATTTGGACTTCTGTTGGCATCACCTGACTGTAGCTTTTCCTTCATTACCTTACATGTCCTGTCTAATAAAGAAACCAAAATTAAAATGAACCTCAGTACCTCAGCCTTAGAAAATGGTTTTTCAGGGGTAAGCTCTAGCTGAGGTTTGAATACATGTAACATTTTGACCAGTGGCTGGTGATGGTGGGATAGGCAGCTTCGTGTATGACCATTAAATTACTGTGCAAATCTGGGATCATGTTTTCTGTATGTTGGTCCATGTGTCAACCAACAGTCAATTACAGTGTTGGCCAATAATTACTAAGTAGTCTCCCAAGAGTTGACTCACCAGATAGATGAATAAAGGGGGTAAGTTTTGAGAAAAAACTGTGGTACTGCATCAGTGGAGGAGGAGGGTGGTTAATATAAGATAATTTGGTATTATCATTTGAGTTGATAATGTAAATTGACCGCTGTAAAGAGATTTTATAGCTGACATTTGAGCATTAGCCCTTCATCAGAGCAAAGGGGCTAACACTCCAAATGTCAGTTTTTAGAAAGTCTTTGCATTGGCCAATTTACATATCAATCATCTCAGTTACAAAAACCAAATTATCTAGACTCACCTACCTGGTAATAGAGACAAGTTGGCTGAGTATCTGTTGACATATTTATTAATATAAACTGATCCAGGGGTTGTCTGTCTGCTGTCTGACACTATCAAGCTACTTGGTTTTCTTTGGCTTCACTGTAGACATTGTTTTTCCTTTTCTAAGATTCCAGCCAAATTGAAGCAATCAAGTGGAAAAATGAGACAAAGAACATTGTTGGACCTCACTAAGAAGCCTGAAGAAGAGAAGGTTGCATTCCTGTCTTCAAAGATGACAGCCAAAAAACAGAAAACTTTGGCTGAAATGTAAGGTTCATGATTTTAAACCTTATTTCCCAATCATAATTTTTTATCATTTCATTTGATTTGGCCCATATTTAGCCTAATTAGATGGTGTGTTTATATTAAAATTTATTTGACTGTGTTATAATTAACATATTGTTGTTTTTGAACTAGTGTTACAGATCAGTTATTCAAAATTTTACTGAATATTGCAAATGGAATCAAGAAAATATTCATCAAACTGGTATGATAATCATATCTTTGTGTAGGTTTAGTGCTGCCTTCAGGAAGGAGAAACCAGACCAGGCGATAAATGCGCTAATTCGGAAAACAGCTAAAGTAGTGTCTTCACCAAGCTGTCTTGCTCTTGATCTTTCGACTCCTCAACGGGACCATGTCACAGAGAAATGGCATGCACATAAAGAAAGATTAAACAGGTACTACAACTCTAAGTGATTACTAACATTTTAATCCTTTAACTTCTATGAGTGACCAAGGGCTAATTTGTCTTTACAACATCGGAATAATGTCAAACAGACAAGTGATGTGAAAAGAAAATTATTATCAAATCATGGATTATTAGTTGATCTAGTACCAAATTCTCCAAACTAATATCATAGGAATTGTATGACAGATAGTGAAGAGAATTACCACTGAGATCTATGAGTGAAGGGTCTAGGGTTCTAGAAAGTAAGAGGTTACAGTGTAATTGCTGTTTTCTTGTGTATTTCAGGAAGTTTAGTTCAAAGGTAAATGGACTTTTGAAGGTAAGGCTGATCCTCAATATCAAGTTCTCCTCCTCTATGATCAGTGTAGTTGCTTGGAAGACTAGTATATGAATTGCTGGAGATTGGTTAGCCAATCAGAATGTAGGATTCTTTTGCCTGCTATCTTAGCTTGTCACATAATAAAAAAATAGGTGCTATCAAAGTGACAACTTTAGGAACTGATGTAGGTTTAGGTCCCATTAGAAACTGATAAGCAGCAGAAACATAGGCTTTCAACCTATGTTGCTTTTGCTTAATGAAACTGTGATGAGAGACAGAAATTAAGTATTTTTGAACTGATTGCAACACCAATGTCTGGCTTAAAATGTCCAAGAATGCTGAAAATCACATTTCAGAAGAGCTTCAAATTTTTCTGAGGGATCTTGCCTCCAGATCCCTGATAGGGGGGTATTGCAAAGCAACACATATTGCATGCTATGCAAGTATAGTTCAACCCACCTAGTAACACCTACTCAGTTCAGATCAAACATATATTACATTTCTTAATGACAACCCTGAAGTCCAGTAGCCTTCTAGAAGAAATAGCAATACTCCTGGTCACTGACTTTAAGCTAGGTGGAATAGGATGTACACATTTTAATATGCATAAAATATGTCATTTTTATTTCTTCAGAAATGTGAAGACAGTGATCTCATAGATGCTAAACCTCTCCCACCATGTAAACCAGTGAATGTACCCATGGAAATCACAGCTGAGATGTTTGGTGATATAGCTATGATAGCAGACTTTGTGCATACCTTCTGTGATCTTCTTGCTCCTCGGGAAACTCTGCATATCTCTATTGGTAAATATCAAAATATTGATTAAAGGTTTTTGCACCCAGAGCAATTTTCAAGTGGTAGTTGAAAGATATCAAGAGTTTATTTGGTTTTGCTTCACATGACTATTGTAGCAATTGGTTGTTTTGACTTTGAGATCTCATTGGTTCCTTGTGATATTTGTCTTTCTTCTGATTGGAAGTTGTGATTGAAACATGCTCTGAGTGTTACAAGAAGAATTGATGATTCTGATCTGATCTTAAAATAATCTGCATGTGGAGTTGGTATCATTTTAAGTCATTATTTTGACAAAATGTGAGGAACCTGGCCTGGACTTTGAATCACAAGCTCTGAGACCGTTCTTTCTTTTTTTTTTTTTTCTTTTTCTTTTTCTTGCAGATAATTTATCACAGGCTTTGGTATCTGGCACAGAAGGCTTCCCTCTGCTTTCAAGAATCTTGGTTGTCTTCCTTCAGATTTTACTGCAAGATAGGTCAACCAAGGTAAGTTCTGAAAGGAGATCAAGTAGAACAAAACAAAAAAGCTGAATTTAGTTGGACTGTTCCAAGCTCAAACTTAGTTGAGAGGAGGAAAATATTGAGCAAATGATGCATGGCAGTGTTTGTTGAAACATCAGCAACACTTCAGTCATCTTTTGCCTCTTTTATGTCATTTTCTAAGTTGAACATGTCAATCATAGTTTATATGCAGTACATAACTGTAACAACCCAAGTCACTCCATCAACCAGTGGAGGAGTGGGTTGGAAAGGAGAAAAAACAGCCAGCTTGGGTAGTATGAGATAACACAAATGAAAGTACTTGACATACCCAAAGGAGCTGTGAAACGTCATTAGCCCCTCCTGGAACTATCCTGGTAGTAAATATAACATGGCAACCTGACTTGAATTGTTTTTAGTCTAACTTTGCTTATGGTCAAAATCAATAACCTCTAGGCATGTCATATTAGGCTTTTGTTTGTATATGATTGCCACTAGATTACACTTTTCCATACTATTACAAATTAATACTAAATATTTTGAAACATTCTCCAGGGTTTAGAATTGGGTATGGACCTCTCAGAAATGCCCTTGACACAGCACACAGCATCTGAAATCTCAAGACTCTACTTGAATGCCAAACTTAAGATGCTGCCAGCTTTTGAAGAGGATAAACAGCTTCAAGGAATACTGGAATCACTAGAACAGAAAGATTTCCATCTCTTTAATCCTGAAGAAAAGGCAAAGGTATCTACAACATTAAACTGAATTACAATAATTATATCAATCACCAAAATATTTTTCAAGTAAATGTCTATGTTTTGCTCATTGTCTTTATTTGACAGTGCAGTTTAGAACTCTCCTGCTAAATTTTGACAGCTTGAGCTTTATTTTTCTTTTCAGACACAGAGAATATTCTTCTATGATTTACATTGTTCTCCTGGTCTTACATTTTTAATGGAAACTTTCTGTCATTGAATAGTGTCCTGTTTAATTTAGATCCTGGTTACCCTGTGCCATGAGGTTTTGTCATCAAATGCTGTTGATGATTACATAGGAAGTCAACTCACAGAGGCCACAGAATTAAGGTGGAGATGAACAATAAGACTGGTTTATGTTATCAACAGATTAAATTTCCATGTTTTGGAAATTTGTTTTAATTTACCCCTTAATCTTAAGATCTATTTGTCAATTCTCTATGCCATTTTTTAAACATTTCATATGATTTTCATTGTGAAAATTTGTTGTCAGATCAAATGATATACCATCAAATTGCCAGATTCTAATAATGAGTTCTGTAGTCTAGAACAGAACCTTTCACTTGGCTGTTAGTATTTGGGTAAGGCAGATCAGACAATTCTCTAGTAATGAGTTCACTGATCTCTCCAGCTAAACTTGAAAACTTGTTGCAAAAGCTTCGTGCAGTAGAAGACTAAAGCCATTTGAACATACCTAAAATGAACGCTCAAGTTTTTACTATTTTCTTAATATACTGGGATTTATTTGAAGGAAACAAAAGCAAGCCAAGCAAAAGGAGAAGAATGATAAGATAAGAGAGGAAAAGGAGAGGCTGAGGAAAGAAAAACAGGAGATGGAAAAAAAGAAAGAAGAAGAAGCAAACAAAAAGGTACAAAGATGGAAGTATGAAGGAAAAGAATGTCTGTCCCCACCATTATTTTAAGAGATATTACCATTGAATTTTTTATGTTATAGTAAATTGTCTGGCTTGATAAGATTGTTAAGTTCTTTGATGACAGACTGTAGCCACTCAAACCTCTCCTTACAGCTACCTCTCTCCAACAACTACTTTTGTTTCTGTCCTGGAGGACAGTTCAAACAGTCACCCTTCTTTGAGCCTTCTATACTCATGCACTTGTGATCTTTAAGTGAATAAACTACTAAGACAATATCTTATCACTGACAGCTGTTTACCTATTTTTTACTTTAAACTTAGTACATTTATTTTTTATTTCAGCAACTCAAGGTGGATGAGCTAAGTATGAAAGGTGAAAAATAACATATAGATACATTTTTTGTAACCCTGATTTCTTAATGTGATGGCCTATGCAAGGAGAAGCATATCAGATCTGCACATTGTTTCTGCCGTTGGATTGTAATTTGTAATTTGCAAGTTGTATTCATTGCATTTAGGTTAAATTTTTTCATTTGTGATTGTCTTAACATGAACCACTGTTAAAACAGCTATAAGTAGATTTTAATCAATGTACTAAATGTGTTGTTCATAATGTAATAGTAGTGCAAAAAGTATGGAAAGAGCAAAAAATTTTACTGAATAGTGTTTGAGTGTATATGTAGTTTACTGCAGCTAATTAGTTTTGTTTCCTTGATGAAAAAAAATAATCCAAACTATAAATCATCACTTGACATGAGTTTCCATGTGGCACTCATATCTGTTTTTGTCTTTGTAGACACTGGAACAGAGTGTATCACTTCAGAACCCCTTGGTTGTGGTCCAGAGATGGAGATATCCAACAAAATGGAGGAGAAGAGAGAAAAACAGAAAGGTGAAGTTTCCCTGAGAGCAGAACAGGACAGGCAGAGTTATGAAGTTGTTGAAACTTTGAGGAAAAGAAGAGAAGACATGGCTGCAAAAGACATCATCAATGAAAAGAAACTAAAAGAGAAGGAGGAGAGGTAAGGAAATAAACCAGCAGATTGTACATTCACTAAGATGCAGCATAGAAATCTCTCTTCCCACGATGGTAATCTGAACTGAATTTAAGACAGGACATTTTTTTCTCTTAATTTAGACTTGCAAAAGAAGAAGAGGAACAGTTGAATGTAAGTATGCATAGTTGTTTAGAGTAGAGTCTATTTTGATTGACTATCATAGAACCCAAATGGAAGTGGAAGCTAGTTGTCCTGTGCTCTTGTCAAATTGTTGTTACCTTTCTGTGTCTTACATTGACCTTGAATACTCTTTTTGTACATCAGTTGGTCTCAAAGACCTACACTGAGCTTTCACACTCTGTAGAAGCTCTAAAACTTATCTGTTGTCCCTGATAGTTACCCATTTCATTTACATCAAACTTTATAATTCCTATTTCTTGTTTAGTCTAGGAGTTTGAAACTGGAACATGACCTAAATTTCCTTGAATTTGTCTATAGGATACCTTGTGACTTCTAACATTAAAAAAAAATTAAATTTGACTTCAATTCCTCTCTTCTCAGCTGAACATGGCTCAGTGTCTGTATTCTTTGAGATTAAAACCCATAGGATGTGATCGCAACCATGGCCGTTATTGGGTGTTCAATGGTGTGGCACCAGGGGTTTTTGTAGAGCACGGTTGGAGAAATTTAGAGGATCTAGCAATACCCACTGAGGGTGTTTCTAAAGTGGAGAAAGAAGTTGGAGACACTGCAGATGCAACCATTGAAACAGAAAATAAGAGAGAACAGTGTGAAGAGGGGAGTGACATTGAAATGGTAGAAGAGACTAAAGTTGAAAGAAAGATGGACTCTTGTGCTAAAGATCATGAAAAAGAATCAAGGTATATCTCCTGCAATGGTAGTAAATGAAGTTGGGGGAGTAATCAGTGTACAGTTGAATGTTTTGTTACCATTCCCCTGAAATGCAAAGGGGAGAGGGATGGTGCAATGGTAAGAGTGCTCACCTCCCACTACTGTGGCCTGATTCAATTCCCAGACCTAGTGTCAGATGTGGGTTGAGTTTGTTGTTGGTTCTTGTCCTTGCTCCAAAGGTTTTTCTCTTAATTGGACTCCTAGTTGCTGCACTCTCCATCAACATTTCTGATGCCTATCCCCCCTCTCTTCCCATCCCCCTCCATTCCCATCCCCCTCCCTTCCCATCCCCCCTCCCTTCCCATCCTCCCTCCCTTCCCATCCCCCCTCCCTTCCCATCCTCCCTCCCTTCCCATCCCCCCTCCTTCCCATCCCCCTCCCTTCCCTTCCCATCCCTCCTCGTTTTCCATCCCCCTCCCTTCCCATCCCCTATAAACACCCATTTTCAACCTGGTCTTTATGGAGTCATACTTTTCTCCCATCAGGTTGACTGATGTTCCATATGAATGGTCCTGCTACAGTACTGTTGAAGAAGTTCAGGCTTTGCTTTCCTGTTTGTCAAGTCAGGGTATCAGGGAAAGTGAGTTAAAGAAGGCTCTCAAAGAAAAATTGCCAGAAATCACTGAAGGAATTGTTAAAAGGTTGGTATGGCATGAGGGCCATATAAGCTTACCCTTTACACATATCATATTTTGTACTTATTTACTGAGTTGGGGTTTTGGACAGGAAATTTTTGGCTCAAGGTCTTTACATAAGGATTGAGCATGGTGATGTCCATACGTCATAACTGAGAGTAGACTGTGAGCAGTTCCTTCTTTTTGGTGGTTTTTTTCGCTGATTTTTATTTTTTTGACTTGTGCGATGGACGACAAAAAGGAGAGGCTGCTCGTAGCCTAAACCAAGAGGCAAATATTTTCAGGTGTGGCCCAACTCAACTCACTCAGTAAGCCATCTTCTTTGTATTGTATGACCCTGTCTCTCTGTACCTTTTTTCCCTTTGTTCTTCTATTAAATGTGCATCTGGTGGAGCAGTAGGCAGGCCCAAACTGCCTTTTCCAACCCTGCCCACACCATCCTGCATGGCACTCATATTGGAAAGTTTCTCCTTGTGGCAATCAACAAAAAGCTCATGGAATCCTTCAGGTCATTTGGCAGAATTGTGAACTCTCATTATAACTCAAAACATTCACCCTTCAATTAATTTTTTTGTTAGTTTTTGACATATTTTTGTGTATTCATTTGATGTCATTAGGAATTCTTCGAGGAAAGTTTTAAACCCAGAGACTGGTGAAGAAGTCCCTTATAGCTCCATCAAAGAGGTATGTGTAATGTCATGTCACTTCTTGTGTATTGGGCTAAGAAACTAAACCAAAATCATGCAACATGAAAAATATATGCATAACAAGTTGCAATTTTTTTTCTCACCTTCCACTCTGCTACTCCAGAGGAAAAATTCCTTGCCAGGTATTTTCAAAACAAACAGAAAGTAGAACAAAACAAATTATTAATATAAATTGACCAAAAAAAACTTCAGTGCAGAAAATTTCCCGTCCATCTATTTCCGATTTTTTCTTATGTTTTGTCGGTAAGTTTTCAAAGGAAGAGCGTCTTTCATCTTCAATAATTTATTTGCTTTACAATCTTCTTTTAACAGGAATTGAAGGACACTGTTGAAAGACTCTTCTATGGAAATTTAGCAGAGCTTGAAAATGGCCTGGAGGAATATCTAGAGGGGGTAGACCAAGCCAAGACTGTCAGTGATTTGGTAAGACAGTAAACATTGACCTATTTGTGAAAAGAAAAAAGAAACAGTAAAATTTTAGCTTTTTCGATGAATCAAGGAAGTTTGCATTATTTTTACACACAATCCTTGGGACACTGCTGGTCCAAGCAGTATGCAGGACACGAGTCACGCATGAAGCTAGTTACGGCGTAACTCACTGTGGCTCATTTGTACAGCATCGGAGCGCGGAGTCCTAAGCTCGATTCCTCGCGGGAGACCCAGATATATCCTTTGACTTACGCTCAAGAACTTTCATTAAAATGTCTTATGTGATAGGCCCAGGGGAACCCAATTTCAGGACTTGGTGTGAATGTTATCAAAATGTTATTATTTTCAGTTTCATTAGCTGTTGCTGTTCAGCATTGGAAATGGAAATGAACCGATGCTTTTCTAGGTGGCATGAGACTAAATTGAGGCGAAGGACAGAGCAAAGCTTTCAATAAAATTGGGTTTCGATATTTTATTCCAGGACTGAGGTTCTCACCTCTTGGGTTGCTACATTTTAGTTTTTCTTGGTCGCAGGATTACAGGTTTAGACACCCTTGATCTATTTAATAATCGTTTACCAAGGCTGAAGTTTCTGAACTTGAATTCCTTTTGGCTCAGGCATTGCAGCTTGGAAAGTTGTTACATGCAGTGTTACCACGGTTCTATCGGGGAATGTTCCATTTGGACAACAAAGGATCTGAAGAAGCCAAACAAAGATGGTTAGATGCAGTCAATAAAGCAACAACAGTGTCTAGATGTCATCTGCTACTTGGAATATTGGCTTCTCTTGTGATATGGGATATGTCAGCAGAGCATGCGGTATGAAACCCTTTTGAAAAAATTGATTGATTAGGCTATTGCTATGGTAACCTCGCATGTTAAAAATGAGCACAACTTGTTGAGAAATAATTGGGCATTTTTTTCAAACCAGTACTAAGGAAACAAACAAAAAAATTGTAGAAGCAATAATCCGACAAAACGATCCCACGCGTGAGCTAAGCAATGTGCACGTGTTGTGTATCTATGTTAACCTCGCAAAACTATTGCCTGATCTCCCGTGAAGGACAATTTAGGCGAAAAGTTAATTTATTATTATACTTTTATTTTCTATCACGTGTAGCGATGCAAGATTTGTGGGCGCAAAGATATTGGTAAGACGCTGATACTGTGTGACCATTGTAACCAAGGTTACCATCTGCATTGTTTACGGCCAGCGCTATCTAAAGCGCCCGAGGGAGACTGGAGCTGCCCTGTTTGTAAGGTAACAGTCCGTAGCTAGCCGAGTTAGGGGTGGGTACCCTGTGAGCCTTGCTTAAATCAATGGGAGTAGTAACGCTGAATGAAACCTGAAAAGTTAGCATTTTACTTTGGATACGTCAAGCGAAATCCTTAAGGACAGAGGATCGTGTTTTTGCCATTTTAAAGGTTTGCAGGAGTCATGGAAAACCTGGAAGTCAAAGAATTTTGCAACATGACTTTTAAGGCTCAGAAAGTCATTGAAGTATGAAGAAGATCCTGGGAAGTCATTAAAAATGACTCATTGACTTTTCTTAGAACAGCGAATCAATAAATAGGTGGATTGAGAAAACGGTTTTTCGTTATGATTATTTTGAAACCAACCTCTCGATCTAAATTTAAATAAAGTATTGGAGCAGCTCTTGGAAAGTCACACAGAAAGTTCGGACAACTACAAACTATTTTTAACTATCAAGGAAGAGGGTTTTAGTTTCCGCAAAATTTTCTTTAGGTTCCCTTTTCGTCTGAATTTTTCTCAACGGGCTTCATCGAGATGAAAGGTGTTTCGTACTTTTAAAAGTGCAAAAATCTGTACTCTAAAAATTTCGTAGATTGAGTACTGAGCGTTTACTTTTTGACTCAAATAATGTTTGCCTGGTATAGCTACCATAGGCCTTTGTTCGAGCGAAGCAAAGGGAAAACACTTGTGATGTTTTTCTTTGAACAGCCAAATGAGAGGGTAAGCAGTCGGACAGGAACCAAGAATTACAAACAGGAAAGTGGAAGTGAGATTGAAGATTCAAAAGATGAGGTAAATGTTCACGACGGTTTAGACAACCGACGACTTCCGAATTTTACCAAATTAGTCAATGAAATAAGTCAGGTTTTACATGTCGGTGGGTAGTTGAATTATTCTCAAAGGTAACAAGCAATGCTTGTAGGGGTAAGCGGTAATGGGCTTACATGCATTGCAACGGGGAGTCGCGATATTGCCAATCACTCGATGATAGGAAAACTGGGCTTACCTTCGGCCGTAAGGACCCTCTTGTTTCTGTACATTTTACTCGATCTTATCCATTGATTTTCATTGATCAGGCAAGTGAGACCAGTTTGAATAGTTGCGATGAAAATGAAGATTACTGCTACACATGTGGAGAAGATGGTGACTTGATCTGCTGTGATACGTGCCCGCTGGTTTTCCATAAAACATGTCATCAGCCACCTCTTAGGAACATACCACGGTAAAGTCATGTTTGCATCTCGCACACGCAGCACTCACATCACTTGGCTTGTGCCTAGCCTTGTACACTGAATAACGTTTTTCGACTTTTTAGGGGTGCGTGGAGTTGTTGGTTCTGTCGCCAGCCAAAGGATCAGAAGAGTGTGAAAGGTACTGCATCAAAGAACAAAAGAATCCACTGTTATTAAATATCATATTTAGGACATGAGCTATAAGGAAATGAAACTTTATTTTTTTGGCTCAATGATGATTAAGTCTTTTAACTGTTAAAGCTTCTCAGTGATTTCAATAACATTTGGTACAAATGGGTATTTTGAATAGCAGGCGGGTGGTTCTCAAGTCCTGTAGGGCCTTTTCTTTCTGCGGAGGCTTGGGTTCCCTTGAAGAATTTTGAAGGTTAAGGCTTTTTTGATTTTATTTTCCTTCATTTTGAGGTATATTCCAATTTAAATTACCTTGTTGTTCCAAGATATCAGCCAATTTGAAGAGAATTACGCGTATACTCGGAGTATAATGACGCTTATGTAAAGGCTACAAGCGGGTAGCCAGCGCATTACGAGCGCATCACTAGAGGGTTGATCTGCCCGCTACCTGGCTAATATTATAACCCCTGGTTTCTGCTCTGTGAAGAATCTTTGCTAATAGATTACCACTGAGGTTTGTTGTAACAGTCACAAACATAGTTTCATTCAAGTTATGTGTTGAGTAACTAATTGATTGATTGATTGATTTCCCTACAGTTCGTAAGTCGGAGAAGTCCGTAAAAGCCAAAGGGAAGGCGAAAAAGCTTTTAAAGCGAATGGGAAGCTTTGTAAGAGAATCTGAGCAGAAGCAACCTCACATGCGAATCAAGACGGCGTCGAAGCGAATTTTTCAGAAGCATGCACGTGACGGAAGAAAAAGAGCGCGTGATGCACGTGCTAGAGCTGTTTCAAGAGCCCGTCCAAGTTTGGAGGACATTTCTGATGAAGAAAGCATCGATGGTCGAGGCAATCAGAAACCTAGAAGAGTGTCCAGAAGGCTTCAGAGGATGTACCAACAAGTTTCTGAAGATGAATTGGAAGAAAACAGCACAAGGGATACGAATGTAAAATCGTTTTATGGTAAGACCAACAGAAAAGTGCGCAAACGGGAAGTCTTCAGTGAGGAAGATGATGACTTGATAGAGGAAAGGGGAAGGAATGCCTGTAGGAAGACGCGTGCGCACAATAGGCCTCAGATTTCAGGTTAGTTTGTATGTTTGTTTTTCTCAAGTTCAACCTTGGTTAGATGCATTTCACTGTTTCGTGAGAACACTGAACTAGCGTGCTGATACGTCAGACCTGGTATTTTGTCGAAAACAAATCTCCTTCACTGATTCCTTGGCCCTCCTTCTGTAGGAATTGTTTTTTATCTTGCTTGTTGTTTTACAGATGTTTCTGAAGATGAGGGAGACGATGACGAAGATTCCGGAAAGGAAAACCGCAAAATTAGTTCCTTTGCATCGTTTCAAAAGACTACATACAGATCCACGAGGAATCACCGAAAAGTTCCGAGCTCTTCCGAAGAATCTGATGAGAGTGGATACACTGAAGATGCTGAGGAGCTTAACAATGGCCGTCCTTCAAGGAAAAAAGGCAAAAAGAACGCGAAGAATTTATCTGTAAACAAAGCCGGACGAAAGGCAGCAAGGAAAACTAGAAGAACCGAAGAATCATCCGAGAATTCCAAACGACGACGTGCCAATGTTGAGGTAATCATGAAAGAGTAATATTCAAATGAGTGTCAAATGTAATTTGGCATCGTAGTGGTTTTCATTTGCTTCGACTCACTTATAATTAGATGATCTCCACAGAAAGCTCGTACCACTCTCCCAAAAAATCAAATGAAAAGCTAAAAATCATGACTTAGTCACCTTTGTTCTTGCGGATCGGACATTTTGCTTGATTTTTTTACAGTTAGTTCTAAGTTGCTCTTCGAAGTATATATTTTTTCCGCTTGTTATTTTGGTTTTGCTCTTACAACACATAATCGCAAGCGGCTCCTATTTGTATTTTTGTTTTTATCTTATCTTCTATTTCTTTATTTTTCCCATATTCAGTCTTTGCCTTTGAATTAGATGTGGCTGTCGTTTTTAGATTGCTATCGTTATGATGATTACTACTTTTTCCATACCTACTCATCTCATGACCCACGTATATATCAGGGGAATTTCCAATTCGAAGGAGACACAACTCTAACTTAGAAAATAATGTAACTCTGTATTTGGTTTTCTGTTCAGATGGACACTTGTGAGCAAATTTTACGAGCACTTGTTCGTCACGAAGACAGCTGGCCGTTTACACAAGCGGTTAATGTTCGTGAGGTAGGCTATGACTGTTCCCCCACTGAATTCTTTAGTCTGATTTATTGAAACTATTAGACAGCAATGAAAACGAAAAAATTCTCTAGCGGCGTTCAAGTGATAGTCATTAAATTTGTAGACTATAACTGGGAAGGTAACTCCGTTGCTTTCCTAATTTTTTTTTTTTGGTTATATCAGTTGTACAAAAATTATATCTACCAAGATTGCGATTGGGCTTTTTTTATTATCACTTTAGTACGAGTGTTTCTCCACCCGCGTGAAAGTATGAGGCCTTTTGCAACGCGAGCCCGCGAGATATCTACAAGGGATCTTGCACTTATAATTAGTGCCAGTCCCCCGGTAAACCTCTCCTCGACTTGTCTCAAATCTTCACGCGGGCAGAAAACGCACGTCCTGCAGTACCTATAATGAGAACGTGTTCGTGGGCTAATTTCTTTCTTTTTGATGTGTCAGTTTGGGAGAACATTGATCTTTATGTGTGATGGGACGAATCGCTGGCACAGGAGGTTAAAAGGGCTTAAAAAAATTCTTTCTTAAAGCATGTGTGACCAGATAAAAATATAGTCAACTAATCTAAGACGAAACCTTATATATCTAATGTTTCCAGGTCCCAGACTACCTGGATCTTGTTTTAACCCCCATGGACCTGGGTACCATCAAAGGAAAACTGAATAGTTTAGAGTACCCGGATGTGGACAGCTTTGAAGCTGATGTTCGGCTTGTATTTTCAAACAGTGACAAGTATAACCTGGTAGGTAACTAAGATCTCCATTGCGTGTCTGCGTTCAACATTGCTGATCTTGAATCTTGAGCTTGTTTTCCCATACGAGAGTTTGCTAATACTGGCATCGAAATGAACCAAGTCCCAGTGCCAAGTCCCTCAGGGGGCAAGTTGCTCGCGCGTCCTCGATCTCCGGACCTGTTGCTGGCATGGCCAATCACTGCATTCATTTAATTTAGAAGCCACTGTTTGTTAAGTCGCGCATTGATCTGCACTGGTAACAACTCCCTATTGCCAGTCAAAAATTTTAATTTTTTCCAATTCTTTAATTTTTCAGAGCACTTCAGAGGTTGGACAAGCTGGCAAGAACCTGGAACAGTACTTTGACAAAATATTTGAAGAGAATTTCTCAAGCAAGGACAGGAAATCTAAAATCCATCGAAAACGATGATCAAGAGCTTTAGGCATATCACTAGCGACAAAATACTTGAAATCATGAAAGTTGAATCAGATCGTTACATTCATTTGGTAGTAATTAGAAAATAAAAGTCATTAATGGAAATAACATAAAGAGGAACCGAAGGCGAGAACTTAACACGTTCAATACAGATGTGGCTACTTTGATTTTCGTGTTGAGTTTTTTTATTTTTGCGAAGATCGAAAAAAAAAATGTTGAAATTACAATATGTTCATCACCCGTTCCGTTTTTACCGTTTGTTCCTGTTGTGTTCCGATAGCCTAAGTTTGTATCTGGATAAATGGTTTGTTCCAACCGTTAGAAAACAAGGCCTGTTATTTTCTTTTTTAATTTTTATATATTAAAGCATTTTTTGATCCTGAATATTTTTTTTCTCATTACTGCTCTGTTAAATATTACTTTTTAAATCCTCTTCAGTCCTTTCACGAAAAGGATTGATCAATGTGTAATAAGACAATAAAGTTTATGTTTTTGGCCCGAGTCAGAATCATTTCGACCCGAACGCTATGCGAGGGCTAAAAACTGAAGCAAATTAACGCAAAACAGCCTGAACAATCGCACGGGCGCACGAGCAGGGTAAAATACATATAAACCAACAAAAAAAAACCCTTTTAGCCCTCAAAATGCACCATGATGACCGACAGTGATGTTACCGTACAGTATCAACACATCGTCACTAACTCAGATGTATAGATCAGCGCGGGTTTCAGTATTGATGCCGTTAACACTTCAATTGAAAAGAAATGGGAGAAGGAGAATCTACATTCAGCCTCAAAGTTAGGGTGTTTTGAACCATTGGCAACACTGAATCACTCGAACTCATCATAATTCCTAGCGTCCGTTGCAAAACATCGGCGGAGAGGTGAAACTGCTTATTGGGAGTTAACGTAAAGGCGATCAATGAATATTTGTATCATGGCGAGTGTCAACTAATCAAGGTCCGAATGTTGCCATTACGTCGAAGATTTCAAATCAACTTACTTTTGGATTCTGGTTTTCTGGTATGTTTCACCTGTATAAGGATCCGATTGAAGATCTGATTTATCTGGGAGTGAAGTTCAAACAGCATTCTTAAATCAAGATAACTCTTTCCTTCATTTACAGGTGTAATAAACCACGCAGGGTGTTAGGAGAACATAAGAAAAAGTTATTAATCACGAGCTAGAGACCGCGTGGGTTATTACCCCATGAAACCGCAAGAAGTGCGGTCAATTACAATAATAAACTTATGATGTTTCAATTTCCTATGGGTTTACTGGCTCACTAAACAATAGGTTTTCAACCAAACGGGGCTTTCGTAGTATCAGTTATTTTACAGAGTAGATTACTAAAACGTTCTTAACAACCAGTGCCAAAAGCTCAAACACTCCTTCCAGTTTTCGCTGATTACTTTCCATTCTACCAAGCAAATTATTGTAAACCTCGGAACACAATGTTGATACAAATGCTTTTAAAGATTTAAATAACAGTTGAGTAACACCTTTCTTCATTTTCTGAAATTATTTTTTACTTTTTTTAAACAAAATATAAGTAATGTTGTACTCGCGAAATAACTCCGAGGAAGGAAAGCCGCTCAGAAACTCTACTCTGAATTGTTCAAATATTGACCTAATTATTAAAATATATTACTTATTAGTTGTGACTACATTAGTAATGAAATTAATTTCCTTTCATTATAAATCGACTAGGATCCTAAATGAATTATAAACTACGTCTATCCCACATTACATAGTGCGCTCTCTGTGGGCGAGATTTCTCACAAGATAAGTTTTCGCTCCACAAACAGAATCAAACGCGATAAAAAATACTGCAATTAACAATTGTGAAAGAAATCTAAATAACGAAGAATATCTATTTTTACAACTGAGATTTATATCCGTTCTGAGATAACTCACACTAATAAATTTGGCTGATAGTGTGAAAAAAGAGGTTAAAAGTTAATTTTCCATGAAGTTTACAGCCTTGATCACCCAGAAGAATATCAGTTTGGCGCAGAAATAAAGGCCTAGTGAAATCATCATCAATTATACTCTTAAACTCTTAGGAAACACTGCTGGTAGCACAATCTCTACGGTGATCAGCGTCATTTTTTTCAAAATACATGACGTTGTGTTCTTTTTTTGGTAAAACCCAATGTTTTCTACCGATTTTTACGCGCAGGAAAACCGTTGAACTCGCTTTTTTAGTTTTCAAACCTTAGTGAAAACGCTCTCATAATTCTTCAAAATATTTTTTACCGCTGACCCCTCTCTTCTCCGCCCTGCTAATTACATTTAAACCTCCACCGAACACAAATGGGTTGGTGGCCAGCGTATCATCATAAAAGTTTCCAATCTGCCATATATCTGCCTATCGTTTTTTCCAGTTGTTCGTTACTGAGCGCATCTTAACCGAGGCAGCCTCGGTTTCTTTTACGGCCTGCCGCACAGCTCCCATCAAGTTCTCTGCACAACCGACTAAAGTTTCCGTGGCCTCCCAATCCGCCTTGGGATCTAAAAAGGAAAGGTAAGAACACTATATTAACTCAAGGGGTCTCCACTTTTGTGATAAGTTTGATTACAATTCATTTTGCGCGTGCAGGCGCTGCACGTAATCGCACGCAAAATCACCAAAGTGCGGGGACGATTCACTGAAACAAAACAGTGTGGATTCGAGCACTGGCCTGCTGAGTATTTGGGTAAGACACAAAAGAAACTATTCTGCCTAACTTCATGAATTATTCGTGAGAGGGATTGATTACTTCCACGAAAACTTCAAGCCATTCTTGTCTTGATCGATTGAAATCCAAAGTGTAATCACAATCAAACCGAGTTGAAAAAAGAAAAGCATCCCTCTTATGCACACTGATGCAATATAAAACGTACGCAATTTTTAGGATGAAAAACAAAGCTTACCGTCAGCTCCGATCATTGTAGCTTTCACAGTGGCGACAATCTTAAGCTGAGTACTGATGGTAGGAATTCTCTCTATCGTTTGCTTCAATGTCTGCAAACAAGTAGATATGTAAAACAGCTCAAACTGGAGAACATGATTACGCAAAAATTATTCTATGTCTTCACCTAAGATAAAATCAGTCTCTTGAAGTTTACCATTGACTAACTACCATTCCCTCTTCATCTCCTTTTCTTCGTTGAGGCAACAAATGAAATCAAATTTATTTCTTCACTTAGCTCAGTTAACTACAGAGTATAGAGTTACGAAATACAAATAAAGTTAATTGAAAAAAATAAAAATAGGATCAATCTAAAAACATCTATGATAGGAGTGATTCAGAACCATCCAAACAGCCGAGTTAATGATCCTAACAGTAGATTCTAATTGTAGAAAATTACAAACAGGATTACAAATCATTGTAGTTCTTTCCATTAACAAAAACAAAAGCGTATTTATCCAATTGTTAAGCTATAACTGTCTGCAAAAGCTCGGGTTGTTTGGGGCTTTGCGAAATACTAAAACAATTTTACTCAAGCAAAGAAATGTTCCTTGTGAGCAGAATGTAATTTAACAATTGCAGAAATTTTGAATTTTCTGAAAAATTTCATTTTTCAGGCTCATTTCTGCAACTGCTTCAACTGCAGTAAACTTACAAGGGTCATTTCTTTATTTGATTTTCACCAGCAGATCAAATGGAATTTTTATCTCATTACAAGTTGTTATAATTAGACTCAGCGATACTCATAAATTCTACACACCTGAGCTACTCTTTTGTCCGGACAATCTCTAGCAATCTGAGCGGAATAATTAGACACCTCTTTGCTTGCTGCTGCTATTTCTTTAGCCAATGCGATCAACTCTTTTTTTGAGCGTTGAGGTTGTCCATCTTCTTCCTCTCTACAGGTGAAGAGAAATAAAAAATGCCATAGAAAAGATACCTAACATCCTATCTCTCATGAGCCAGGGATAGAGAAAACGTTTCAACGATCTCCACTAACAGTCCCTTTTTTTCCTTCGCACTCCCCCCCCGCCCAATGGACGGCAACCTTTGGCACATGGCCTGAATTTGGCCATTCATAAAGGGGGGAGGAGAAGAGAGAAAATAAGAAGACTCATTAAACCTCAAAGCGCGGTTGGATGCTCTAACGAGAGAGCGTCTGAGAAACCGCTGTATAGCTAAATACGTCATGTATTTTCGGCTTATATGAAGCCTCAGTGCACTCCAATTCCATGTACAAATTTCTCATTTTTCTTCGTCCCAGGGGGATATTTTGGATACGTGTATCACGCTTTCATGCCAGTAAATACATCAGCTGTCAGGCGATCTGCGTCAATATTAAGGCCAGATCTATTAATTCTGTCGCGAGATGCTACGTCAATTAACGTGCCGCTAACAAGTTTAGTGGTAAACCTCAAGCGCTCTCTCGTAATAACAAACGTTACCTCATAAATTGGGACATCTTAGCAAAGAGTACAGCCATTCTTTTAGCAGCTTGAATAAGTTCATTTCCCTCTTCTTCCCATTTCAGAGCTTCTCGATGAAGATGATGAGCCGCCATCTGTAAAAAAAATAAACAACTGTAACATTTCGGAAGAAATTGTGATAACAAAGCGTGTCTGAAAAGTATTCTGAAGCTCAGTAATCCGTGATCACCAAAAGTATTAGTAAAAATATCACTGTCCAAGTTTCTGAAGTTTGCGGACATGACGTGGTGTTTATTGTGCTCAGTCCTGACAGAATCAAATATAAAAGTGTTCACGGTCTCCTGAGCTTTACAGGGAAACGACTAAACAACAACTTCAACAACAACAAAAACAATAAAACGACACCAAAACTAACACCACCTTAAATTTGACAAATATTCGCAAGACAGGGGAGGAGATGGGAAGTTAAGTTAAGTTTATAATTCAAATTATCGGCACATTACTTTTAGTAATCATACCGCCATTCTGTTGTCTTCTGGTGGTTGTTCCAACACACTCTGAACCTCTTTCATTTCATCAGACGGGAGGGGTGGGCGTGGTGGCGGTTGCGCTGTTTCTTGAGGAAGGGGTGGGCGTGGAGGAGGAACTTCTTGCACTGGTGCTTGGGTTACGGCTAAAAATATAACGAGAACGTGAAAGAGCTTATCCATTCAGAGAGTTTGACTGGTCTTTCATGACTAGCACAACTAATATCACTTTCCTTGCTTAGTGCGATTAAAAAGAACCCAAAGAAAAAAATGCCTGTGTTTTTCCTCTTAACTTTAGTTCGTGTGTGTGCGTGGTTTTCTTGTATTTGTTTGTTTGTTTCCATTTTGCCATGACAACGGTTCTGCAAGAAAGTGTAAACTCTCACCGATGGTCAATCCTGATATGTCCGGTGGAGGTGGCGGGAAGTCTTCTTCCTCCTCCTCTGGCTGGGAGGATCCGGTTACGATCACTCGCACTCCATGTACAGCATCTTGAAGCTAGTTAAAAACAACGTTACACTTACAGTTGTTTCATTTTGGTGTTCCAAGCATTCTCAATCATCTACGATATATTTTATATCCTAAGGCCGACGAGAACTCAGAGACAAGTAAACTGCTTGAAGAGCGGGAAAATGCTGCGAGTGATCTAACTTCGATTGGTCTTAGTTTCAGTTGGCACCTTGTTGATTTAGAATCTACACGATCAATTCTGTCTAAATCACAGCATTGAGAGACCGAAAACAACGTTAACCCAGATTGAGCCTCTTCCTTGTCCTCTCCGGTCCTATAAACGACGCAAGGAAAAACGAACACAAAAATCAAACGTCGGGCATGTGCGGGGGGATCAATTCTGGCTGGCAGAGCGCAAATGTCCCAATTTTCAAGCAAAACATAAAATACAACTTCTGTGTCGCAAAATAAACGACAGAAAAATTGAAGAAGACAGATAGACACAATTAACGCCTCAAACTAAATTTTTTCCCCAACATATCGAAACGCAGTCATACGAAAAGACCACTGTTTCAGGGATATCACCATTTTTGACGAAGAATTTATTTACCTTTCTTGTGGAATCTCTCAATTTTCCCTGCGCTTTCCTGTCTGATGGATTAGTAGCAACAGCTTTTGCGTCAATCACAAGTGGCGTGATACCTGTTAAAAACAAGTTATATTACTGAGTTGTTCTGAAAGAAAAGTCACCCTAAACCGCTATCTCTAACACGTCACCACAAATACATCTTGAAGAATTTCATTTTAAATCCGAATTAATTTTCCCCATCCTGAACAATCCTCGTTTTGTTGCATTTTTTGACCGTTTCTAACCTCTGTGGCGTTTCTCTTTCAAAACAAACCGGTATCTTGTGTTTCATATATAATAATAATAATAATAATAATTTAAGTGTCAGTGTATTTTAGCACTGCTGTGCTAATTGGGGACACTGTAAATAAGGAAACAAATATCGTAAATGAACAGAAACTCGTTAAAAACCCCAACTGGTAGGAGGCAGACCAGTTGGCTATTTACAAAGCGTGCAGGAGTTGAATTCGGGGCCACCGAAGACAAATCCATCCAGTGGCAGGGAGGAGAACTTGAACCCGGGACCTCCGGCTTACAAGTGCAGCGCCCTAACCACTAGGCCACGCTCGCCTCCTCATACTTCTTTAATATCAGTTTTCATAACTCTCAGACCCCTAAGAGTGACCAGCATCTAATTTCTCCTCACCATATCACCCCTGAATCACACCTTAAGGTCATGAGAAAAAAGGAATGATCATCAATCCATGGAAAGGTGTATGGAGAATATGGATTCTGATGTTAGAATGTAAACAGTTAAACAGCAAGGTGAGTGCATGGAACACTTTGGTCTCACATTGTCCCAAATTATCCTTTGCTGCGGCCATCTTTGCAGCATAATCAGGGTCTAATGAATTTTCCATCTCTGCCTCTGCAACATCCACAACCCGCTTGGCTCGCCGGGCGATGTTGGAGCTCTTCGAGATCACCAGCTATTGACAAACGAACACGAAATGTCTGAGTCAATAAGTCCGTTGACTTAGCCGCGCGCTAAGCCGCACGGGGGAATAAATACTCGGGGAGAATAAATACTCCCTCAACAAATTGTCGCTCGTATGCGATTGGTCTAAACGCATCGAATGACCTGTTATATACCCTAATTAGGGTAGTATTTATCAACTATTTATCGACACTGAGGTGAATAATTGTTGTAGTAGTAGTACATACCACATCATACCCCCAAATTATTTTTTTTCCGTCAATATAAAGGAAAATGGTCGGAAATTTTAAACACTCTTAACGCACCCCCTTTTTTTTTTTTTGCAAATCACTTCCGAGCTAGCCAATTAGCGCGCGAAAAACACCATTCACCTGTGTGGTGTATACCCATCGGTGATACTCCCAAGGTGATATTCCTCAATTTAAAAACGCGAGGGGTACTAAGATGAAAGGCCACGAACATTTAATAGTTGATATAATATAAGAGATAATTTGTTTTTTGATGGAGCTGTACTAGAAAAAATATAAAAACATTAACACGTCATGCAACAGGCGCCTACGAAGGTAAAGTGTAGCAAATGTTTGGTCCCACGCTGTTAGAAAAAAATATTTGGATAATAAACAAGACAGTCTCCAATTGGGGCAAAAATACACTCGTACTTTTTTCCTTGCGCCTTATCCGTTTCTAAAAGCTCTCGTAAAACTGATATAAAACTGCACACGAGCATAACATTTTCGTACCTGAGGATTTCCCTGTTCCATTGCCGCACTGCACATCTCAGCATCTCGATTGATCGCCTCCTCTGAAAATGATCCATAGGTATATTTCTCTCAGACATTGTTAAAATACATCGAGCGCCCAAAATAATAAGCAATGCTAAGAAGACATTAACCATTTCAAACTAGTTCATGGTTTTTCTATTGTTTCTGTTGCTGCAATTGTGCTGTTCACTTAATGTTATGACAATTGAGGGGCACTCAATTTGCCAAAAGTTTTTAAAAGTTTTTATCCTTTAAGACCAGCCACACACTTTCGAAAAACATACCACAGGCTTCAATAAATTTGGAGGTGTCTGTTGCACTGTCAACCAGATTAGTTAGGGTCTGCATCTTCTCTTTCCAGATGTCCCGCACATTTTCAAAATGGACTGAGACGGCAGGCACATCTCCAGGTGAATATTTCCCATAATCCAACAGGATCTTAGCCACGTGGGAAACTTGAGGGGTCCATTCTTTTAGCTGAAAAAAAAAAAGATGAACTAAGTTGCTTGTTGAAGACACAACAAAATCTAGCTGCATTAAACAACATAGGTTAAAATAAGTTTTTCCAATCTCAAGGGATCAGGTGCAGGGATTATGCAGAAACAAGATTTTTGCCTCACACTTTAATGTGATATTTTTACACCTCCCAACTCAAATAACCTTGGCTTCACCTTAGATAACATTGAGGGTCTCAGGGAAACAAAATTCATTATTGTACAAAGAGCTAGTCATTAAAAGATTATCTTTCCATAACCCTTTGACCCTAAGAGTCACTAGCATCTACTTCTCGTTACAATATCAGCCCTGAATTAAACATTAAGGTTACAAGAATATGGGAAATGATCACCGACCAAAGAAGCTCTTGATTGTTACACAAATAATACATGTATATCAAAACCAACAGCTGAAATTCCCATTCAATGAGGATGGAGTGAAGTACAAACACTTTGTGATTTTGTCAATCATCATTAATTCCTATGATTTGATTTAACATATTTCCATTCATTCTGAGAATTTCAAACTCACTTCTTCTGCATTTTGCCTTATCTGATCCAATAATCTCCTGTTGGTATTTCCTCCAGCATTTGCCAGTTGAATTGCTGTGTTGGCAATCTGATTTGCTTGATGTTCAAAGGCACCTGCCTTGTTCTCAAACTCAGCCTCGCGCCCTGGTTCATCTGAAACCACCAATGAATAAAAAGAATTTGCAATTGTACATTTTGACAAAATCAATTTAACTCTCTTTTATACATAGCAATTGTCATCAAAACCAATCAAATGACTTTTGGTAGCTAGATAATGGGTCATGTATGCATGCACACTGATGGAATTTGGTCAAAATATTGACATGAAATTGAGGCATTATAACAGAGTGAACTCTCTGACCCCTAGAAGTGATGAATCAAATTCCCCCTTGCACTTTCACCCATAAATCAAATACTAGGGTCTCAAAAATGAAGGAAATGATCCCTAACTGAAGAAACTCTTGATTATTAAACTAATTCTCCTTGTCAGCACCTCAGGAAAGGTATAGAGAACAGTATGGAGAATATACAAATTGATGTTAGGACCTAAAGGGTTAAAAGAGGAAATCACACAAGTATATTTAAATAGAATTTTACCCGGTGGAGCTCTTGCCGCTTTCTCTAACTGCTTCAAATTTGTTGTAGTGTCCATGAAGTCCTCAGCAACTTGTGCTGTGATTGCATTTTGTAATTTATTGTTCAATTCCTCCAGCTTCCTTTCAATCTTTTGAGCAGTAGCAGCTGCTTGAGGTGAATTTCCCTGTCAGAAACAGTAAATTATAAAATTCTAATTTGGCCAAGAGATAGAAAGGTGAAATAATACAAGTTATAAGTTAAGTCCAGTCTCAACAACAATATAGTCAAATCTGAATTAAGCAGCACCCTATTAAGTGGCGATCCCTTATAAAGAGGTCCATTTTCAAAGTCCAGAAATTTTTTACCCCTTAATTACAGTGACTGTTATTTTCATCTATATTAAGCAGTTGCAGTCACGCTTTACTTAGTCCCAATGACCTTGTATCATCCTCCATCTGTATTGAACAATCAATTAAATTGGATCCACTCAAATAATATGAAGAATAATCTTTCAAGTAAGATTTTAATCAATTTTTATCACCCAAAATCAATGTTAATGATATTTTTGACCAAGTCTTTGTACATTAAGTAGTCAATTATGACATAAAATGACAATTTTCATTGTTTCTTAAAATAACCCTATTCTGTGGAAACTGTATTAAACAGTCAACCTGTATAAAGTGGTCACCTTGCCATTCCTCATGGGTGACCACTTAATACTGGTTTGACTGTTTTTTCTGAAATAATGCAAATTAATGTTCCCTTGTATGGAAAAATATACTCCCTCATCTGAGTGTTTAAATTGGTTAGACAATAGAGTGATGCAATCCTTCAGTTTGTCATTAACCAAAGCTGTCCTATAGACAGTAATGGCAAAAAAGGTTGCTTTGTCTAATTTATGTTACTTAAAAAAAAAAGAAAGGATACAAAATTTACCATACAAAATGCTAGGCCAATATTGGCAATTCATCTGTGGGCTTCCTGTTCATGTTCATGTTCTCTGCAGATATCACACCTGCATGCAATCAATGCAAACAAATAGACCCTACAACCAAACAACCTACCATGCCCCTTCTCTTCAGATTAGCAAGCTCATCTGTAAGTTGATCTAGTTCATCACAAAGCTTTAGAATTGCACTTCTCTCTGGACCAGAACATTTGTCTGCTGTAGCACGACCCTGGTCAATGCACTCACGAATGGCTCGTTCACCTACCAAAGTGTTAATGACATCACATCACATGTTCTATTAATTTAAAGTTATACAGTCTTCAAACACAAATTGTTTGCAAAAGGAATGCTTGAATGCTATGTACTCCATGATAGGGTTCAATAAAGATATCTGGTAAACCAGGTTCTTATGAGTATTCTAAGTTCCTTGTCCAGAAAAAGAGGCACAAGTCACCCACCTAACCCTGCAGGATCTGATGACGGGGTGTTCACCCACTGGTGAACCTGATCCATTTTGCCAACAAAAGTGTTGGCTGGCCTGCGCACACCAGACGATTCTTGGCCTAACATGGCATTCTGCATTTCTTGATTTAAATCCTCTAATTGCTGGGCAACTTCTCTGTTAAGTTTCAAGCCTTCTGGGGCTGTTCCCTTTAAAATGCATTTAAGAGAAAGTAAATTTAAGTCATCATTACCATGTGTTCCTGAGGGATGAGGTAGTTAGTGTACTGAACTTTGTTGTACTTTGGATCCCTAACCTAATGAGGTAATTGAATTGTTTTTTTGGGCACGATAATTTACTCTCGGTATTAGGGGGTAGTGGCAAACTGTCAGGGAAAGCTCACCAAAATGTGTGGGAGGTAACCTGTTATGGACTGGCTTCCCACTCAAGGGGAGGGAGAGAGTCAGCTATGAAATTGCTGATGACTACACTTAATCCATTTATTTTATCTTATTTACCACTATTCATTTTATTGTTTCTTACTGATTAGTCATCACAAATGCTGCAACTGTCTTACAATCACCAATATATTAAATATAAACATTAATGTATTTACTTTTCCTAGCCTTCTCATCTCTGCCAAATCTCCCATTAACCGATCCAGATCATCACAGACTTTCCTTATTCTGCCTTTATCGGGACCCTGACTGGCATCTGCAAATTTACGACCTTGAGTGATGCATTCTTTGACAGCCTTCTCACCTGCACAAGAACAGAGTTAAGAAGAAGGATAATCAATGATCACAAACTTTTACAAAATATTAATTATGTTCTGATACCAAAACAACTCCCCCACTGAAATACAAACTAGACACAGTCCAGTGCCACATTACAATTCCCATCAGGAACTCACCTAACCCTCCAGCTGACTCAGTGGGCGTGTTCACCCACTTCAGGGCCGGGCCCATGTTACTGTCAAAGAGAGACATGGCCTTCTTCATGTCATTAAGGGGGTCATCGCCACCTTCCTCTTCATATGTTGTGTATTGCAGCACTCTTATTATCTCACTGATCTCAAAAGACATCTTGCCAACAACATAATTTCTGTATTCCTGGGCTTCAGGAATGTTCTGACCACCTACAAAGGAAGAATTATTAATAAATGTAATTATTTTTCCTAAAGTGGCTATGGTACCTTTACAGAGAAGTTACTGCTAGGTCTTTTTTTTTCTGTTTTTTCTTGATGATATTTCTGCAATTAATCAACAAATAAATTAACATATTATTTTGAATGTATGGGAGCTGTATAACAATCTTTACCTCTTTGCACAGTCAGCACAAAAGTCTTAATTGCAGTGATCAATTGGGTAGACATGGCTTTGACAGTATTCAGTGACTTCCTTAACATGTCAGCATGAACTTGGTGAGTCAGCTCCTCAATGCGACCTTCAACCTTTTTCGCCATTTCTGTGATTCCAGGTGTCAGGTTTTTAACAAATGTTACTAGTTCTTCCATACTCTCCACAACCTCAGACACAGCAAGATATTCCAATACTCCCTTGCACACCTTCAGAATCTTACGCACTTCAGCTTCATCAAATGTCAGAAGTAATGCAGATGTGCCTGAAAGAATTCCTGACATAACAAAAAATAAGGGAAAAATTAAAAGTTTCAATGAAAGTCAATCAGGAGTAATTTTAAATATTTCTATCCTAAGTGCATCAGCTCTTGGATGTGGTGATGAAATCCACTTTTAATTTTTTCTGTGTCAGTAACATTTTTTGTGCATTAATTTTTAGGACAGGATTTTTCAGGGCTGATTGTTCCTGGTGCAATTGATATTGGAGAACTATCCTGCAAGTGTAAGACCCTCAGAAGAACAACTCATTTTAAAACTCAACAACAAAGATTTGGATTTTTTTATTGCAAAACATGAACCTAAGTTAAACTTGAGGCATAATCAATTGACTATGATTGTGATTAGATTTCCAGAGAAAATGTGGTGCGAATTGTTTTTACAAACCATCTTTGTATGGTTAAGCATTGAATAAAAAGTTAATTAAAAATTTTATAAATTTAAGTCATTCCCTGTTATAGTACTTGATCAAATTAAACTGTCTATTTGTTACATTTAGTGTCAGAATGGTAAAATGAATGCTTCCCATGATCAGTATAATTAAATATTTGGTTAAAAGCTAAAATTTTATCATAAGTACCTCTGGCACCATCAATTAACTTTTTACGAGCCTCTGGTGAGAAAGGATCTCTTCTAAGAATCTGGGAGGCTTCCACAAGAAAAATAGAGGATTCCTCAACTCTTTTAAAAGCAAGAGGCATTTCTTGTTTGAGGATTTGATCTTTACTGGAAGATGCAGTTTCTCTGCCAACCTAATGAGGGTAAATTAAGTCAAGATAGATCAAAATAAGATAAGTACTTTACCCCTTTAATTCTTAATTCCATACTAGCTTCTGTACATTTCTTATAATTTGAGTTCTGAAAATTTGGTGTATAATCAAAAAGTATCACTTAGTTGAATATATTTTCAGACCTACTAAAAAGACAAAAAATTTATCTTTCATCATTTCTTGGAGTCAAAGAGTAAAAGCGTTGACAGTGGTCTAGGAAAGTTAACCCTTTCACTCCCAAGATCTCATTAGTAATTTTCCTTACTTCTGAGAATTTAGTGTTGGATTAGCTAAAAATCCCTTAATGGATACTTTTCTTTATTCTCATCACTTTTCTGCTGGATATTGTATTGATATTGTAAAGAGAAATTGTCTTAGTCATTCATGGGAGTTAAAGGGTTAAAGGTGCTTCCCTCTCTACCAATCAAATGTAAATGATATTATTAGTACTATCTTTTTAACAAAAAAAGGTTCAAATAAAAAGAAAAAGGTACTAACCTTGACAAGATTTTCAACAGCAGCTCCCACTGTTCTAACTGGCAAAGCCAGGTCAGGCATTGCTTTGCCATCTTCAGCTTCCTCATGAAGAATGATCAGAGTGGAGACCTAATGAATTCATTCAGTACATGAATACACTTCTTTTTCAAATCTACATTTCACAACAGAACTTGCTTATGATACATCACTTAACTTTAGGAAAAGTACTCTTGCGCAGCATTGTTTATTTTACCATTTTAATACTGAACATTGTTACAAATTTACTCATATTAATCACACCACTGACACTACTTGCACATTACTTGAAATATCTGGGTTTTTAATGAAAGCCGGTTACTGGCAGTCTAGTACCATCTGAAAGACCTCTGACCACAGCCTGTTCAACCTGCAAGCAGGCTGTTGTTTTTGGGGTTTTGTCTTACAGCACAGCCGTCTACTACACCATCTGCTGCTACTTATAGAAAAAGTTATTGAAACCCTTGATTTCAGTATAAGACTACATGCAAAAACAGCAACATCATAAGTGGTTTGATCTGAAATTTAAAACAAATTTACAAGGAGAATTTGCAGTGCCCGGTGCTCATGGGCGACTTAGAATTTTAGTTCTTTCAAAAAAAGCATATGCTGGGCACCCTGGATTTCACAGTTTCAGAGCTCTGGGCTCCCTTTAATTTTTCTTAGAGCACAACCTTGATTACAAATATATTTAGGGAAATAGAGTCAGAGGGAAAATTCATTGCATGAGCAAAAGATGTTATCTTAAGAAAACGCACTGTTCTAAACTGATGCTTTCTTTTGATATGGTTTCGGGGAGCTGACCTTCACCTTGTCATACTAAAATTTATCTGCAATTCTTGTCTGGAACTTGTAAATAAAACCATTAAGCATAATTTTATCAGTCAAATTTTGCAGTAAAACCAATAGTTAAAAGACTCCCACAAAAACGATCCGCACACTTCAAGTGATTGATTGAGAGTACGCAGGTTTTACGACATTTTTGAAGAGTAACTGAACCAAGCGCATAGCTTAATAAGTCTTAAAGTTCAATTAGCTAATTAAATAGCGGTCAAATATGGCAAACTGAAATTCAGGGAGAATATAGTGAACATCACGTTAACAAAAGTATGATTTAGTAATTATTTCTGATAAAGTTCGGTGATCTTTGACAATTCTAAGCCGGATCTAATTTGAATACATTGACGCTTCACTGGGAAAAACCCGATCGAAACTCGATGGTTCCATTTATACTACAAAATTGTTTACTTTAGGTAACAAAAGACTCTAGATGACGAAAAATATAAACTGTACACTAAATCTACGAAAAGACTGTTACTAAGATTTATCAAAAACGCATTTCCTTCTAACTCCAGCTCAATAAAAGAGACAAGATAAACTACGCTTCTCACAATCTGTTATTGTACAGTCACACCGGCAAGACATACACTCTAATCTGCGCAATCTCTCGAATCGAGAAGCTGTGTATACAATATTTCTGCACGAAAATTGAACACAAGATCCCCCATATCAAATCATTTGATGAAACGTTCTGCGTGATAACTTTAAAGATGACAAAAGATTTCGTTTCACATGGCATACAACAAACAGCTTTGTTAACCCAAGGGCAAAATACAAACACGCGCAAAAATATCTGTCTACAACAGTGCACAAGTTATTTACCCTACCTGTTGAGCGACAGGCTCCAATATTGACTCGATGGTTTTAGTGTGGAACACGGGCATTTTTAGCGCTAAAGGGCTGATTTCGACTTCGATGCCTACTGAAACAAAATAAAAGGGAAATTCTTGTGCATTCGGGAAGTGTACACACCTTTCCGCACCCAGCCCCGTAGAAAAATGTCCAAGTTGCGCAAAATGACGCCCGTGTTATTCCCAGGGGTTCGTACAGCGGAGATTACCTTCACTCGCCCCAGACTTTAAGAAAATAACGCGCAGAGACAAAAGAACAAACATGGCGGACGAGGACGTTGAGATGGACAATTTTTCGGAAGACAGAGCTGAATCGGCGAGTGATTTCGCTGGAGATGATGAAAATGAAAAGGTAGCTGGGCCATTTTAGCATCCTTCCAAGAAAATGTGTCTCTCGGGAGAGTTACTCTTCAAATGATGACATGTGATTTGATCTTATTTAGTTTTGCTGAATATCAATTGTACTTTGACAGATCGAGTAACGGACCAGTAGAGTGGATACATGTAATCAACATTCTAAGAAAAGAAAGGATTTTTAATTAGTAAAGTGGCGTTTAATTTTCTCGATAGTTCATTGTATGGAACAGTTTGACCACTTTATGGTGCGTTGAAAATATGCAAGCGGTGCAGTGGTATCATTCACGTACTATAGCTATGGAAATAAATATATACTGAAAATAGATTTTCCAAACGGTTAATGGTGTCAGCTGTAATATAAATTTCATCAGTGTTAAGAACCTTGGTAAATTATATTGTTTTCGGAGAAAACTTCAAATGTACTAATGTTCTGTATCCATCAAAATAGATATAGATGGCTACACTGTCTACCTTACCTTTCCAATCAGCTGCAATTATCTCAAAATGATAGCCCATGGTGATATCAACCAATGCTATGATGTGGAATGTTCTTTTTGACATATTTGATAGATGGATGCATATGACACACTGGAGAGTGAGCCAGAGATACGAGTGGACAGGAGCCTCACTGACAGTGATCTTATGATAGCCTTAGCTCAAGTGTCTGAGAACAAACACATGATGCCTGGAAATGGACATATTAAACGTGATCTTAACGCGAGTTTGAGCAGCAGCATTAGCAGCCTTGGTAGTAGTCTTAACAGCAGTGGATTACTCCTCAGTAAAGGCAAGGAAAGCACAGGTTCAGTGCCTAGGAAATCTGCTAGAGGAAAGCGTAAATTGGACAGTAGTCAACAATTATCCTCATCTAAAAAAACAAAGAGGTGACTGTTTTGTTATCATATTAATTCTACCTGTTATAGGCAATTTGTTTGTAAACAGTAATGTTATATTACCGGCAGCTTTGACAAAGTGCAAAGGAAAGATAAGTGAGGGAAAAGAAAAAAATACCAATACAGCAGTATTAGGCCACCATGGCCAATACAAATTTGATAGCATTAAAAAATAATGATACTTTTAAGAACCAAGAGAAGAACCATTCATTCTCTTTGCTTTTGTGAGTGAAGCTCAAAGCTGCACCTGTAACAGAAACTACACGAATACTCATACTTTAATAATGTATTATTAAACTTTTAATTTATTTGTTTCTTCTTTGTTTCTCTAGCGATATACCTCCTTCCCAGAAACTGCCACCCCATGGCTACCCATTAGAGCATCCTTTTAATAAGGTTAGTATTGGTTTGCACCAATTTAGAAAACCCCTAAGTGAGATACTTAACTGCCCGAGGACTGAAAAATTGTACTGCCCAAAAGAACTGACACAACAATGGGAACAATCACAAAGTAAAGAACTAAAAGCCCATCCCATCCCTTGTTTACTCTCTGGAATTTTTCTTTAAGGAATTTGACTCTAGCAGTGCTATTTGAAAGTTCAGATTTTTTATCTGTGGAAACTTTTCTTAGAGTATGAAAAATCAACAGAATTAAGAAATTGAAATATATAAAATCAAATACTTTTTTTTTTATAGGATGGATACAGATATATTTTGGCAGAACAAGATCCAAATGCCCCTCTAGCAAATATGGACATGGAATTCTGGGCTGGGAAACCCATTCCTGGAGATCTTTACAGAATTAAATTACACAAGGAAGTTCTTCTATCTATGAATGATAGAGGTTTGTAGATTGTATCATGCAAAGTTTTTAAGTTTAACCCTTTCGGTCCAAAGAAAGACTAGTATCTATACATCATCACTACTGAATTAAAAAACAATAAGGTCATGAAAATGACCACCACCAACCTAGGCTCTTGATTATTAACCCTTTAACTCCCAGATCAAATTTGTCATTCTCCTTACTGTCAGCTATACAATTCTTATAATGTTAGTTCAGAGAATTCATTATTGGATCAACTAATTATCCCCAAATTGATATTTTTATTCATTCTCATCACTAATCTGGTTGATATTGAGGTGATATTGTAAGGAGAAATTCTGTCTTGGTCACTCGTGGGAGTTAAAGGGTTAAGCAAATTCTCCTTCTCAATACTAAAGGAAAGTCACGTTGTCTCTTTTTCAATACCATCTAAATGTGTGGAGAACAGTATGGAGAATATGCATATTGACCTTTGGTGTAAAGGGTTCAGAGTGGATCAGTTGATTTAAAATCTTGTAAATTGTAAGGGAAAGGCACCTTCTCACTCTTATGACAAAGCAAATAATTTCTTTTAAACTTTTTTGTTGTTTTAGCTCCTCAACTCAAGTTATCTGATGATAGACTATCAGTGACAGGAGAAAAAGGCTACTGCATGTTACGTGCCACTCATGGTAAGCCACTGTAATGTAAAGCAAAAAGTGCTCCCTTTTACATGTTATATAAAAGAGCTTTAGACATTCAGAAACATAAAGGACTTTGTATACCCTTGTGTGAGAGGCATGCCAGTTTCTTTCCTTTAATATCATTGGTCAGATAAATTTGTTGAAGTGACTCTGGTAATAATTGTAAGACTGTTAAAGTTACCAAAAGGACATGCAGTTTTAATTCACATGTCAAAAATTGCTGTGACAATTTTGTAGGTGTCTCCAAGGGAAACTGGTACTTTGAGGTAAGGAAAATCAAAAATTATTGTCCATATATTTACGACAGAGTTACATGGCGAATTCGCTATTACAGTACATACATGTTGTGTTTGTGATAATAAAAGACATTAACAGAAATCAAATACAGTTGCAATAAAATTTTTAGTTTTATACCATTTGATTGCAATTAAAGTCGACTGAAATGTTTCCTTATTGAGACATCTTATGGAATAAAGTGTCATTGTTGTATGTTCCAGGCTACTGTAGACATACCTCCAGATACAGCCACAAGAATTGGCTGGTCACAGCTTTATGGTGAGAAAGTGATCTATTTATGTACAGTTGAACCTCTGGCTACTAATGGCCACCTCTAAAATAGTCATTTTGTGATGTCCTGACTGATGGTCTGTGCATTCTTTCTTATTTTCACCTCTTTATGAACAAGGCAAAGTGCATTTTATCTGCCAAAAGAACTTCTTGGTAACAACTTGTTAATCACACACTTACCAATTGAAAGAAATTACAAAATACTTGAAAGTTAAACAACCTTAGACAGTTTGAAATGTCTGGAGTACTGAATCAATATAGCGATAATAAATAAAACCAGATGTGACATTTCACCCTATTGTCTTACAATGACACTTTTCTGTCATGGCCACTTTTCTCTGCGTCAAAGGACAGGTGGCTGTCATGGAGTTCTTTGACTTGATGAAGTCTAGATTGACAGAGGAAATCTTAGTCTGCTCTTTTTGTCTTGGGTAGGAAATCTACAAGCTCCTTTAGGTTATGATAAATTTAGTTATTCTTGGAGAAGTAAAAAGGGTACAAGATTCCATGAGAGTAGAGGCAAACACTACAGGTATGTTATAAACAATCCAAATTTTTCTTTGATGTCCTGTAATTGTAACTAATTTGTAAATTAATCTGGTGAAGGTAAGTTCTACATTTGAGCAAAGTGGCCCCTCCAGCCAAAGTTTATTAGGCTTCCTATTGTATGAAGTGATTGAGAGTATTGGTACTCATCATGGGATTGGATGCCAGTCCATTAAGGTTACCTGTTGCATTTTTTCAAGCATCCCTGTACGTTTGCCAATAGCTGTTTTTTACTCCTAGCTCCAGTTGTTCAAGGGGTGGATTATGCTATCTACTGGATAAATATCTATCCAGTGGATAGCGCAGTAGGTTTTGTTAACACTAATCCACTGGATAGCAATTTATCCGTCAGAAAGAAGTATCCATCTTTTGAACAACTGGGCTTTGGGTGGAAAGAGGTACTGTGAGAGTGAAGTGTCTGCTACAAAATTACAACACTAAGACTTGACCAGGGCTAGAACCCAGACTTCCCAAGGCAGAGTCCAGCCTGCTGACTAACCTCTTGACTACCACATCTTACACACTCTAATCTGAGCATGCATTATAAATGTGTCTAATTTTAGTAAAGGAAGGGTAAATGTTTTTCTTTATTTGTAGTAGTGATGGATATTCAACTGGTGATGTAATAGGGTTTTTTATCAGTCTACCACAAAATGACAGACATCCAGGTAAAATGCATGTTCTGTTTGTTAGGTTTATTTTTAAATAATATCTTTCATTCACTTGTTGTGTCACAGCGGCCAATCCTAATAGAGATTTCCTTGACAAGCAGTCAATGAGGTCAAATAAAACAACAAAACTACTTGATTCATTTGGGAGTATCCAATTAACAGAGTCCATGCTGCCATGCATCTGTTCAGTAATAGATCACTGATGTTGTCAAAATGTAATAAGTCAGAACAAGACACAGCTGAGTGTGTCACTGATGTCTACAATAAACCATGTACCAAAAGTCCAGACAAACTGCTTATTTTATGATGGCTTTATTTTTGTCTGAGAAGTTTTAGGGAAAGAAACAATGAAAATTTAGAAAACAATTATGAGGTAATTATTTAGTACTGTTACAAGATTATGTTTTCTTTTTCAGCGGGATTTCTTCCTGCGACGTATAAAGATAAGGTATGTGTCAAAAAAATGCAATTATACTCTTTATTTTCTTTCTTTCTTTCTTTTTTAAAAATCACTGTTATGGTTTATTTCTCTCTCTAAGGCATTAATAAAGTTCAAAAGTCATCTTTACTTTGAAGAAAAAGATCACGTGGACAAGGCGGAAAAGGTGTGAATTACAAAACATATCAGCTGATATGACTCGATACAAACTCACAGCCAGGGGAGGGGTGACCACCTCCCCAGGTGACTGTCTTCCAATTTAGGTTTAGCAATTTTTTTGTCAGCTTACTTCTCAACTTTACTAGTATTTTGTATTTTCTGAAGTAGGATATTTGTTTAATTTATGTAGTTAACAAATTGACAAGATCAATTCCATGAAATATGAAGTATTTAAGGAGCAAAAAAATAAAACTCAAAAGAAGAAAAAAACTGTGAAAGGATGCTTTGTGGAAAAGTACACAAGGCTAATGTACACAAACAAAACAATAAGGAACATATTTTGATAATAGTCTGTTCTTTTGCAGAACCTAAAACCTGTGCCAGGAAGTCAGGTATGTTTCCAAGCAATCAGCTTCAGGAACTCGTCAACACACAAATGAATAAGATAATTTGGTTATATCAACCAAGTTGATTATGTAAATTGGCCACCGTAAAGAGTTTCTAAGCTTGAAAACCCTTAGCCTAGAGCAGGTAGAAACTCTTTTCAGCTTAGAAACTAGTTACAGTGGCCAATTTACATTATCAGCTCAGTTGATAAAACCAAATTATCTTGTTATATTCCCTCACTGACACAGCAGCACATTTTCTTTATAAATTTACCCCCTTTGCACAAACGAGTACATGAATTTCTTGCAGCCAGTTTGAACCTCACAAAATGACTTCCAGTGTCTGATGATGTATGTCTCCTTTTTTTAAGGTAAAATTCTACAAAAACGGTGTTTGTCAGGTGAGTTTAGTTTAAAGAAGTACATGTATGTAAACTTATTGGTTTTGTTTGTCCTTTCTTGTGGAAACAGTTTCATTGCTCGTAGAGCGCATTTCGCCGGCTGAGTATCAGAAAACCAAAACCAAAGCAATCATGACAGCCAATAAGAAAAAAGGCAAATATCACAAGGAGCCAATTAGAACTCAATGTTAAAAAAAAAAAGCACGGGAAAATCCTAGTGACCAAATTGCGATCTGGATTAGCTCTGCAACTGATTGGCTGTGAGGACGGCGCAAGTTTTCTAGACCAGTCGACGGATCAGTTGAAGAAAACCAGAACCAAATGGTCTACCTGACCCCTCTTACCTAAATACTTCATATGTGAAACAGTTTTCTTTCTCTTTGCATTAAGGGAGTGGCGTGGCAGGAGATCTATGACGGAACCTATTATCCGGCTGTATCGCTGTATAAGAATGCTACGGTACATTCACGAACTTTATTGCGGATAAATTATTCTCCATCATTTGTAACACGATTAAAAGCTGAATTATATTCTTGCATGATCAAATTTTTTATAGGTCACCATCAATTTCGGGCCTGATTTTAAACATCCACCACCAGATGAAGAATTCCAACCGGTAAGCAAAACACTACAGCTTAATATACTCACCTAAAACATTAACCTTGATACCTTAAATGTTTTCTCCCCCTTCAAAAGAGGAAACTATTTCCAAATATTTTTCAGGGAAGACTTTTTAAAAAAACTATTTTGTCTGATCAGCTAGAAATTGGAGAATGTTTGTTTTACCCTTTATAGATGAGCTTTAAAGCTATGGAATTTGCTGTGGAACAGAGTTTATCAGACCTGTTGTCCCATGTGGATTCACAAGACAGACCCGTTCCAATCCCTGAGAAAATCCTAGTCCCTCCAAAGAGGAAGTGACGTATATTCACCTTCTACCGCTGACAGCTTCAGTATTGCCACGTCACATTCACCAAATGCTTTGAAGTGTTTCCAGACGTCAAAGACAGAGACCAAACTTGAGAGGCGCTGGTGAGGGATTTGACCGCCAGAAAGCAGCCATACGTTGGTCTTGCAATGTGCTCGCCGGAAAAGTCCAGTCAAGTATTAAATTATGTCAGCTTTTTTTCGAATCCTTTCAAGGATTTTGTGCATCATTTATTTGACTGGAAAGATGCAGTTACTTTTTTTGTGTTTGGAACAAGATAAGTATTTCGTACGCAGTATAACACTTGTAAAGTATGTCGTACGGTTCTAGTGGTGCTGTTTTGAGCATAAACAATACAGAGTTCAAAAGATTTGTGAACAATTGCCATTTACAAATGAGTGAATTTTTATATTCTAATTTCTTTCTCTTCCAATGATATTTTTTATTGGCTTTTTGAGACGTGCTCTCGTGTTTACTTGGCGTATTATTCAGTTTAGCCAAACCAGCAATCATTTGTACCATAAGATTCAGCATAAAGTAAGCTTTTATACATGTTACAATGCGCATAATTAGGGTCTTTTTTTATCTAATAAAGCACAATTTCTCTGGTGTTAAGTCTTCTTATCGCTGAACATTCCAATTTTGTTCGTTTGTCCTCCGTAATTATCACAGTCGGGTTATTGTGTCGATAAAAAAGTGCTTCAATATGTTGCTTCTCAGAAACGGTTTTTCCTAAAGAGGACACGGTAACGGATTCTGCAATCTGATTGGTTCTGAGCGCGGTCCTGCTTTTTCTACCTCTGTCCACTGTGACTGAAGCTTTCGTGAGTTTATGTCCTCTTGTTGACAAAAAAAGGGATTATCTCTGTTTCACGTGTTATCTACAAATAACTCACTATAAAATATGTCAATGTGTTTACAGATAGAATTTGAAATAAATGCCTCCACTGAGTAAGCCCAAATCATGATAGACTCATAACGAGTCTCCAAGTCAGCCAGGTCGTAACAAAATTTTGTCGTTTTCCGGTACTCAATGAAACTGATGGCGGTGGAGTCGCGGAAACGAGATGTTTGCCCGTGATATTCTCTTACCATTCTATTTATTGGTCCACCGCTCAAAGCACTCGCAAAACAGCAAGCAATACAGGCTCATAAACTAAGGATATATTAGAATGGACTCTTCTTCAGGAATCAAAGTGTCCTGACGGGAAGAAAGGGCACAAGAAGACCGTAGCTTCAGACGAACACCGAGCAGGAATTTAGAACTTTACGGCTGGCCAAAGAAACAGATTTTGAAGATTTGTTTCACTCGTCTTTTTTGAGCACGAAGGCCAATTTACGTTATAAACTCAGTTGATAAAACCGAATTATCTTGCTCTACGAAATGTCACGTGACACCCCCTCCTTTCTTGGAGGGGGGGTGGGGGGAAGGGGGCTTTGTAGTGCCTTGCAAAGGAGACGAAAACGTCTTTTGTCGAGTGGCTGTTGTGATTTCATTGGTTTTGGTTTTACAGCAAACAAGGTTCCTCAGTCACACCACAACTAACATGCTGTTGTTACATACTTGGAGTTTAATCTCTGAACGAATACACCAACTTACATTAGTGACGTTTAAAATAATACGCGAATACTGAGACGATAGCCGATTAATGATTCACCGGCTACAGAAAGTGTTGGTGAATTTTGTCATAAAATATCAAACAGTATGTTGAAAAATATATACACCAAAGTGATTAGCCTGGAAAAACATTTCGTTAAAGATACACCATATAAATTGTGGCAGTTTGCTACATCGTTAAAACCCGAGGCCATTTTTACTAAAGCTTTTCATATCCCTTTACACAAGCCATCGTTACATGGATTATAAAATCTGTCTACACTCGTTTAGAAACAGTTCACTACATAACGGAACAGTCCGAGTCCTGTCTGTCGAGGAACGAGAATTCGTATGAATGATTAATCATCTGATTCATGGACTACCTTTGTTGGTAAACACTAAAAATAGCTAAAAGCTAAAAATTAAAAACTCTGCCTTTTACTAGCTTGATAAGTGCCAAGAACTACCTGGTAATCACTTCCAATTCAACGGTAACCAACCAAACATAGTGAAACGAGGGCCACTTACAAGGAACGAACACTGCCTCTGATCGGAAGTAATTGAAGAATTTCGTCTGTCTCTGATTACTTCCAACGAACTGAGCAACTATTTTCATCGCTATGCAAAAAGAAAAACTCCCTAAGTTTTCTAGTTTTCTATCAGAAGTACATTTACCAGATTTGCTTCCTTTAATCTAAGAATAATTTTTACTGTGTATGAAAGTGCCCGTCGATTATTTTGGCACTGAATTCACTCAGGTAATAGTGTTGAAGGGTAAAAACTGTGCAACTATTCGACACTTCAAGGTTCAAAATGCAAACAAAGAGCTCCTTCACTGCTTGAGGAAAGCGTTGACCTTTCAAAATTTTCTCAGCTTTGAATGAGGGAGATCGTTTCTTGACAAACGCGGAAAAGTATAGTACAGCTGGACTAGCTGACCAAACAAATAACTGCCTTTGACAACGCTTGAAGGAAGCAAATTTAAAGCATCATGTGGTTTAAAAGCCGCTTATTAACTTTGGCACATCTCACATTTTTCGAAATTTCGTATTTCCCTTGACACGCAACTTAAGGAGTTAAGAGCGATTTGCGGCATTAAAGGAATTTCTGTGACTTAAAAAATTATCATCGCTCTGAAAAAAATTTTCAATGAAAGGTTCAAGTTTGCCCAAAGTAAAGCTAACTTCTAGTTTCCTCCACCACTTTGCTTTTTTATGCAAGGTGATTTAATTTGCTTACCTTCATTACCTCGTTAGTTCGTGAATAATCAAAAACATTTCACATTACATTCTCCTTCATTGTAACACATACAATTCAGCTTAAACGATTAACAAAGAACAAACCACGAACTTGTACAGGGTTATTATGGATAACAAACTAACCGATACAACAAGGTGCGTATAGAAAATAACAGTAAAAAAAAGAGAAAAAAATGTTGCCTAAGGGTGTGTCTTGGACCAAATTCTAAGCTGCAAAGTTACAACCGATTCACGAGTGAAAGAATGAAAATGTTTTCAGGATAGTCTAGATGCTTTAGTTTTCTGAAATATATGACTTTGATTGTCGTTACCCTCATAAGGACTGCTTGTTACCAGTCAAGTTACTACCATTATGTCAAAAGATGAACGGATGCTTATGAACTTAATTTACTTTTAACGCTCTAGAAAAACAACCTTTTTTATCTTCAGACTATCGCTCTACTTACAACAAAGGGACATGGTGAAAATCATCAACCAACTGGAGAGCTGAATAAGATACATTTGTGTGTTCACAAGCGGTCTATAACATTGTTCCTTCATCAGTTTTCAGTAAATTCGAATTCAGGACTAGGAGCTTGGAAGGTATCTGATCCTACTGCAGTGTGCCAGTTGGTGTAAATCAATAACACAGGTACTTTTTAGTTTTAGCTTCGGATTACTGTGGTCATGCTACTCCGCAGTGCTTGTTTTCCTGCGAGGGGGAGTCCAAGAAGGTATTTATTCCACTGTCCTCTTAAAGCTTTCACTTAAAGCCTACCAGATAATTAACGGCCTCCTAGTCTTGCCCCAGTTGTTTTCCCTTGGCTAAAGTTAAACTGCATTTGTGATTTACTTTGCTTTGCCTGCCAACAAAGGCAAACCAACAAATTCGAAGCTGCAAACTTTTCAGCTCTGAAATCTCACTACTTGTCACACAATTACTGTTCTCGTATTTTAGAACAACTGGTTTTTCGATCTCCTCCACGAGGCCCCTTTCAAGTATACAAACAGAAATCACTTTGTGTCACCATTCTTCACTGTTTGGGATTTCTCGTTCGAGAAACATTTCATGACACGATAATCAACAAACATTACGTCTCAAACCACCTGGACTAAAGACCAGAGTCTCTATTTGGAGGGTACACGGGAAGAGAAGCCCTTCCAAGGTACATGTTGGGTGTCAGCTGCGAGTTGTAGAATGCTCCAGGGTGCTGTATGTGACTAGGATATTGGTACTGTGGCTGACCAAACATCGGAGGGTACTTATTCGATGGAAAATATAGCCCACTGTATTGAGGCATGGGTTGTTCAGATAATTGTGATGGAGGAATGGTACTTTTATCCAAAGGAGGCTGGCTTGGCGCAGTTAGACTCTCCACTGAAAATGACTTGGACCCTGGAATGGAAACGGAAGATGATGTTGCATATGGACTGTGCGGATTGTGTGAGGTTTGACCGACTGGTCTCAAAAAAGGGCTCTTGTTAGGAGGTGCACTGCTATAGTGAGAGCCAGCGGTAGGCGCATGCTCGGTGGGCGAGTGCAGAGGGCTATGGTGATTACCAGGTGCACCGAATGCAGGTGACTTGTTTTCTTCAAGCCTACGACCATCCAAAGGTGAATGAGACTGATTATAATTACCCATAACGGATGTGTAAGGATTCTGCATTCCGTGCGGTAGAGTCTTTGGAGAAAGTTCAATAAATCCTGGCCGAGTTTGAGAATTAATCGGCCTGTCGTCACCTTGCACCACACTTTGATGCTGCTGTGGCTGAACAGGGTAACTGGCCATTCCTGGACCACTCATACTACTCTGAGGATGAGACGGTGAGAATGGTGGCTTGCTAGGTTCGTTGGGTGATGGGCCGGGAAATCTCGGAGTCTGGGGTGTTAATGGAGTCTGAGGAGTGTGCGGAGACCCTGTACTTGTTGGAGAAGGCACGGGACTGTTCTTTGGATGCCTGGAGTCTGGTACTCTCCCTCCTGGGTAAGGAGGAGGAGGAGACCGTACTCCCGCTCCCAAAGGATCTGACGAAGGAGAATTCGAGTTTCCTTGCGTTTGGATTCCCCCGAGATGCCTTGGTCTCTGAAAGTATCCCTGCTGTTGCGAACTTTGCTGCTGACTAAAAGCTGGAAAGTGGGATTGTTGCACTTGCCCACGCATTTCCTGAGGCCGCCTTTCCATAAAAGAACCCTGATGTTGAGGCGCTCCACTACGCGGATAGCCACTGTAAGGAGATTGTTCCCCTCCTAGTGCTCCTTGCTGATTAAAACCACTTCTAGAGTACATTCCATTCATCCCTGTCACTGTGCTCTGATTGCTACTACTTTGCGAATTTCCAAACAGCAACTGATGAATGTCCTCCATAGCTTGTGTCTGGGTCTGGAGTCTTTGTCTATCCTTGTAGAGGGGCTGCTGTGACTGCTGCTGCATATGTTCCCACTGTGATGCTCCGTAACCTGGCCGCGCATTCACTTGAGAGCCCGGAATTCCTGAGTAACCTGACATGACGGAGCCACCAGAGCCCCTCATGGGGAACTGCTGGGGATAAAATGACTTTTGTTTGCCAAACATGTTCATTGAGTTCGTTTGTTCCAGTTTAAGAAACGGCGAGCTTGATGGTTGCGCTTTGTGATAAGCAGTGATATTTTCCACTCGACCCATCTGCACGGCCTCTGCTGCTCTGTTCGCGAGACTTGTAGAAAACACGTAAATCCTATTGGGTGGTTCGGGAATTTCCACTGGCCTTAGAACTTTTTGCTTTCTGCGACGCCTGGGTCCCTCTGACCCATCGGAATCTATGGATTGACAAAGACAGAAAACCCTATAGTATTTCCAAACAGCTAAGTCACGCTAAAAACCTGCGTTTCAGACGCCATCAATCTCTCACTTATCATGCCTTCGTCGCTCAGGGGCTCTTTGTGTCCTTAGTTTTACGACACTCTAAAACTCGTAATGAACCAAATATTTAGAAGTGGCGTCAGAGTTTTTGTATATAACCAGGAATAGAACCTTGTAAGCCTTTCTTTCTCACTTTGACAAGCAAGCAGATGAACAGGTAGAATTAAAACACAATACAACTGGTTAATAAAAGGGTTTGTGGAATCGACATTGCACGTCTTGATTAGAAAACGTAGCGACGTTTTCCTAGCGTCTCAATTTTAACAATACCCTTTGTTGAGGCAACGCATCTTTAAAAACAACAAAACAGCTGGAAATGTGTTCAAATATGCGAGAAGAAATCTAGCCTCCTTCGCAGCCGTTGTTTGGTCTTCTCACACAGCTCATTGTAAGCAGAGAGCTCACTGAGTGAATACATCGAACAACGGCCTTGAAGGAGACCAAAAACAAGGAAAAACAAGAAAATCAGTTACATTTTGTTGAAACCTGTTCCTTATATGCTTACCTATATCCTTTTCATTGTCTTCCTCTGACTCGGACCCAAGCCCTTCTTCCTCCCACCATTCCTTCTTTTTATTCATCTGTTCTCGCATAATCACACAGCGCCGTTTGGTCCTGGAGTCCACTCCCGCGGCACTGATGAAAGATTCCTGTTTCTGGATTTCTTCCTCCACACGACGCTCCAGTTCCTTCCGTTCCTATCATTAGAAAACATTGGGTTATTCTCTTGGGGAACTAAAGTTGCACATTTGCATTTATTGTCGGTACTTTTGAAGGGTGCGCAGTGCATTAGCCATTAAACTAATAGTACACCTGCCAACTATCTGTAAAATATGCTTGACTTTTGGAGACAGAGTAAAACGTATCAAGTTACAACAGCATTGGTAAAGAAAGATTGTCTGTTATCATTTGTTTATTTTCATAATTAATGTAAACTCAACCGAGCTTCCGCGCCAATTTTTCGTGTAGTGCAATACTTTCAACATGAAGATTTCAAAATATTCATTCTCCAATACAAAAAAACACAAGTATAATGAATAACAACAAGGAGCAAGATTTGGTGGAGTTTTACGAAATTTAAAAAAAAATCGTGTAGCAGCTCTTTTTTAAGTTTCAATGGCTAATTTAAGTCGACATTTAACTTAAGTAACCCCTTGGAGGGAGATCGTAAGCTTAAAAAATCGATTTAAGAGCGATGTAGTGGGCACCTCCATGTCCTTCTCGACTTTCTCTTCGAGCTCACTTTTCTTCCTTCTTCTCTCAGCTCGTTCTGTAGGTTTGTTCTCGTCCATAATACCCAGATCTCTTTTGGTGGCTGGTGGTCGCCCTCGCCTCCTTTGTGTTCCCTGTTCAGGTGCTGGCCTCTTTCTCTTCTTCCTTGGCCGAGGAGAGTCTTCCTCGTCGAGTTCAAGTTCTCGCTCAGCGTCCGAAACGTCGTCTTCGTCCTGGTCTTCTTCCGCGGTGTCGTCTTCTTGTTCCTCTTGGTCTTCCTGGGCACCGAGATCGTCGTCTTCTTCTGGCTTGTTCCCCTGCAGATAAAAGGAATCAAATTAAGATAAGAAACAATTGTACGAACGCGTGACAAACTATATTCACTACAAACTTAGGTGCAGTGAGTTCGTTGGCAAGTTGGGCCATATGCTAGATTCAAGTGTGTAACAAGCGTCCAGCACAGTTCACACATTTAAATGCAAAAAAACCGCGGGCATCGAAGAGCAGCTAGAGTTTTTTTTGATTACATAAAGATGACAGAAGTAAAGATAAAATACGACCAAGTTTTTACAGGTTATAATGGGTGCAATACTACATGTTAAAAGACAATCAAAGACAAAAAGTAAATCACTGACCGAGGTCCAGTTTTTTTTTCTCTCTTTTTTTTCTTCGTTAGTTATGATTATAGTTAAGTGTGTCCTGGGCCCCTAATGGCCCATAATGTAAGAGTAAGTACAGTTTGAGTGGATGAAGCTTAACAAAGCCCTTGGGGGCTTTGCATAGTATTAGTGTACTTCCTAACTCTTTCATACTCCCCAAGAGAAAGAGAGCCTGCTATCAGAAATTGTAAGGCCCCGATCTCCACTCCACTAACTAACATTTCACGGGACTGCACAGGAGACTCGATGGGTTTGAATCAAAAGATAACCCATTAACCAGAAGAAAAGAATTTTAAAAAACTAACTACAGCGTATACTACCCACAGGACAGAGATTTATCTAACAACCAGTACGAATTGTCCCCCAAACAAAACACAAGTGACAGCAGGCCATCTGACGGTCATAAATATTATGACAGGCCACACGTTACCTTTATTCTCTCCACTTTGCCTTCTTTTCCAACTACTGCATCATTATCTGCTTTTTGTTTGGCAGCTGCCTGCAATATTCACAGATGATATTTCATCCAAGCTGAACTACTCATAAAACTTGACACAAAACTTTCAACAAATTATGTTTACTTATCTTTTTTCAGAACTGCTATTACTCCAGACGAGTATAGTTTATTAACAGGAATACCTTCTGATTTGCCTTGGAAGACCTGTCCTTCTTCAAAGTCTCCAGTTCCTTTTCTTTCTCATCCTCCTAAAGAAATAAAACAAAAAGCCTTTTAAATAGCAGTACTTACTGAAGAAGTGAGTGCATCTTTAAACAAGACTTCAAAAACCAAACAAACTTATGTTAAAACTTCAAACACCATTGATGACTCTCTTCAAGAAGGCATTGCATGTGAAATGTTTTGTTTAATATCTAATCAGTTAGGACTGGTTCAAATACAGACTGTTTCATGTGTTATATTGAAATAACCCTAGTATTTACTTTTATCAAATACCCCAAAAGTCAACATTTAAATTAATAAAGTTTTATGTGCCCAATTTACTGTTAGAAAGATATCAATCATCTAAACAATTTTGGACATAATTGATAAATTGGTAAATTATTTTAACAACCCACAGTTCCCTAATTTTACAAAAGGATAAATTTGATGAATCAACTTTGATGTTGGATTTACTGTCTAACTTTATTGCTTGGGTTTAGCCGAACAAACATTTATGATCAGTATATGGTAAAGTTGAACATTTGAACTGGTTACCCAGCACTGCACCTTTACTGACGGCATGACAGCAGGATACAGCTCATTCTTCAGGTACTTGTACAGCTTTTTCTCATTACTATTGCTTGACTTCTGAAAAGAGCTATCAGCAGGTACAGCATACATCAATACAACTAGAAGTGAATCATAACATATAAAACACCATCCACCAATATTGCAAAAACATTTGTACCATACAAATTGCCTAGAATATCATATAAACAAATAAACAACATCTACTTGACCATCAAATGCAACAGAGAGAAAGATGGAAAAAACCTACTGTATGATCAAACAGTGCAAATAAAGTACACAGTCAGGAAACTGCATTCACCAAACACAGCTTAGTTTAAGACAACTATTTGTATTCTAATGTCTCTTTAACATCATCATATAGAAATATTTGGCTTTCCACTGATTAAAACTAAATGTCTCTTCATCAGTTAAAGCATTGTATACAACTTTGGTCATCTATGAACATTTATCCCAGCCCTCCAAAACTAATTGTATATCATAATACCATGTTTTTTTTTTTTAAATTTTACAAAAATTATACCAGAGTTCCCAACTGAGGAAAGCAAAACAGATGACTATGTCAGAAGAACCAGTATAACCTCAGATTTTTCTATGAGGACAAAACACAACTTCCAGAAGGATCTGGTAACCGTGTATTTGAAGCATTGAACAAAAATTATACCACCTCATTAGAATAACTGTTTCTTGCCTTTGAAAATAATTAATGCCATATAAAGCTATAAACACAAGTAAATGTATGCTATTTCAGTTTAATCATATGATAAGTTTGTGTTTGATTCAAGTCGTTTTCTATAGTAAACTTTTAAATTACAACCACAGATATGTAAAATGTTTCAAAGGCTTTTATTATCACAAGTCATGTGAATATTTTCCCCAATCAAACTAGTTAATGTCAAACCTGGTGAATTTACTGACATTTTGATGAATACCTCCAAACAATGTGATTGTCACAAAAAAAATTTTTTACTCCCACTGAGGACTAGATCCAGCGTGCTTGCAAGTCCTGCTCACTGACACATTCAAGATAACCACTTGTGTACACGCATGAATGAATGAGGGATTATGACCACCAGAGTAAGGTAGTCTTAGATAAAATGGCCTGCATATTGAAAATAATAATTTAAATTAAGAGCAAAAGGTAAATCCATTTTAATCCAAATTTGGAGGCTCTCTTGGATAGAAAAAGTGACTTGAAAAAAAATCAAAAGACAGTTGTTTTACCTCAGAAGCTTCTCCCAGTCTTGGCAATTTAAACAGACAGTCTCCCAGCTGAAAAATACAATATGCAAAATACCACATCAACTATACAATCAACTCCAGGCAACCATCCTTCTCAGCAAAAATTTCAAAATGGGCAGGTGAATTTTCTAGGATAAAAAAGGTTTGCAATTTTAACACCTCAAACAACTAGTGGTTCTTTAGCATGAAAACACAAACACAAAAGGTGGAACACATAAGGAGAAACACACTGAACAGTGTGACAATTACACTGCTTCATTAAATATGCTTCACATGGCCCCCAAACATAATCCCACCAGCTGGCTGATATGGCTAATTAACATAACAGCTTCATGCTTTATTTAATTTTCTCTTACTCAGCAAATCATAATAATGGAAATTTAATACTTGGCATGCCATATATGGAAGAACTATTTCCATCTTAAATAAACAGTATCTTACTGTGTTTGTGTAGTTAAATGTTAAAACACAATTCTTTTGGGTAACTATCTTTGTTGTACACCATAAATGAGGCTTTGTGTGTACACATTTTGGCATCAGAATAATTTTTAAGAATTCTCCTTTTTTCCTGTTAGTTGTCAATGAATTCTAAGCAATTGGAGTAAGGAAAAAAATACAGCAAATGAAAATTGTTGTGTTTGACATGTTTACATTACAGTGAATGTCATGTCCCCCTTAATTTGACCAAACAGCATGTCTGAAATTATTGTTCACAGTCAGATAAATATAGATCATTATCAATTCATGACTTCAGGTAGATAATAACTAAGATTAATTTTCTCTTGGTCAAAGTAAAATTTCTCATAAAAAAACCTGGGTATTTTTACATTAGCTTGGTATGGCTTAGTTTTTTCAGCTTGAAAAAAATAAAGAAATGTTATATGTAAAATAATTTTTTTTTGGTCACCAAAGTTTTGGGTTTCAAGAAACTCATGGGAAATGTCATAAGATATGCACTTAAATGGTTTCATACCCAAACTAAAATTTAAAAATAATTCAAAACAAAAAAAGATGTCTTGCAACAGTTGCCATATAATTAGTGATCAAATAATTTACAAGCTGGGCAAATGCCTTTAAATAACATGAACAATTTTTGATATGTCCCATTTTAGAGTAAGCAAGCTCACAGTCCATTAAACAGCATGACAGAAAAATCCACAAGAAAAACATACAATAAGGAAAAAGTCATACCCAATCCATGCAGTCATTGTTTAAACAGGGAAATATCCTCTCATGTCTCTGAATACTGAGGCTTATTTCATTCCCTTATTTTCCTTTTTTTTTCAATTGACATAACATATCAGTCATAACAGAACATAATATAATGGGTATCAATCTTGATATAATTAGGCCATGAAGACAGTTAGAATACTCAACATACTGTATCTCTTTACACTTATCAGCAGCATGACTTTCAAGGATAATTCCTACAGCACATCAGTTGGAAATACAGTGGTGACTTTTTGTTATTATTAATTTTTCAAGAAAGTTTTAGTCTAATTTTCTCTGTCTAGTAATGCTTATCTCAACTTAACAAAAGAAAATAACATTGTAAGCAGTTGAAATGTTGCGTTTTACATCAAGTGACCTTGTCATGAGACAACAGAACAAACTTATAATATCAAAATAACATTGGTTTTCAAAATTTCAAACAAATGGCACAAAAACTGAACTAACAGTTCAGAGACATTAACCCAGCACATTGCATCATTAAAGCAACATGCTGTATCATTCCTTTTTTCCTGCTCTTACAGAAAACATTCCTAAGCTATGCAAAAGCAGTGGGAAATATGTCTTGTAACTAAAGAAGGTTCTGGTATACCAAAAACTTACCACAATGACAACAAACTAAATTGACACCAAAATCCCAACTCAATTGCCAAAGAGGAAAGTTCCTATTCCATTTATCTTCTACCATCAATAGTTGCTCCATTAAAAAAAACCATACTTAGTCTAGTGCATTGCAACACTATTAAACCCAAAGTAATTTCATAATTGATGTTGTTTCTTTATTAAAAATCATTCTCTGATACAATCAACCAATTTTCTCACTTGATTCAAAGGAAATCAAATTGTGCATCACAATTGCTGAGAATAGATCTATAAAATTCAGTTACTTCAGAGGCAATCAGCATCATTACAATTATAATATATCTATATCACTGATAATAGAAGTTTAAAGCTTCATTCAGCTGCATCAGGTAATCAAGAGAGGTTGGATCAAAATGCTGTTTGAGGAAATTTACTGAAGCTTAGTAATAATTTTGTGATTACATGATGATGTGGTGAACAAGCACCATTGGCTGTAAACTTAGAGAACTCTACCTGTGTCTTTAAATTGAAACAGAAAAAAAAATCTTGAAAGATAACATCAAGGCTAACCAAGACAGAAAATGGGAGAGGAAAAATAAGCATTATGTACTTGTGAATTTGAAAAATATCATACCCCTGAGTTTAAATAAAATAAATGTCTGACTACAGCATAATTGGCCAGCCTTAAGCTCTGGCTGGGCAGTAATAACAGTAATAAATTATCAAGCAACAATCTAGAAACTGAGATATTTAAAGACAATCTGTCAAGATAGTGTGATTTTACCATAGGGGGGTAAACTTATAGAGGATTGATTTTGAGGTAGGGGGTAAATAAAGAGCAACAATTTATGTTGCCTTTAGCCTCAAGTCTTAAGTTCTTAGAAAAACAAATTTACTCCCTTCATTTACTTCTTGCATATTCACATCTTTAAATGGAACACACTGACAAAGGTCAATTATACAATTCATGTATGTACAACTTCAAAATAACAGTAATTGTCTTCACCTGAATCAAGGCATGATCCACACTACTCTAGATAACTGTAAATAATAAGTATATTTTTCCCTGCTTTGGCCTACTTTTCTCATAGAAACAAAGCTTTTAATTTTGATAGACTAAAAATGTACTTTTTTGAAATCTGAAAAATTTCACCCACTGATTTTAAGTTGACTGCAAAGAAAAATTTGTTGAAAAATGCTGGCTTAAAATGGTAATGTGATCTGTTGCATTTCCTTTCAAGCATCATGCTTGCAAACACAATCTTCTATCTAAGTATGGGCAAATCAGTCTTTCTTTTTTTACCCCATTAAATCATAATTATGATTCCCACTGTTCTCATATCAAACCAGATCAAAGAACTTGATGACATAACAATGCATTTATAGTCAATTAACACTCACCCTGTTCGGCGACCCTTCTTTCCAATGAGTTCACGGTAAAGTCTCAAATCTAGTGAACAAAACAAACAAATCCCTTTCAGTTTAGAGGGATTAACAATATTTCACACTCACTTTACTAACTTGCTATTAAACACTGTTAAGAACTACTCCTTTGCCAAGACATAACTGTTAAGGCTGAAGAAATATCACAAACCATAGTTATCTTGGACAGAGCTGTCAGTTAGTATTGAAGTAGTGTTTACAATGGAGATATCATGTGCAGCAATGTAATATGTGCCCTAAGAGACAACAACCAACATCTTCACCCATAACATACGTGTATGTGAGAGCCCAACTTAGGTGCATTAAAAGTTTCTTTCAAAAATCTGTGTGTAGCCAATAAACTTGATGCATCTTGAACTAAGGCAAAGAGGTGGTGGTGGAGGAAGTTATATATTAATTATAGTGAAAATTAAAATAACGAGAACATTTTTCCAATTTTACACATTTGTTCTTAGAGATATGAGAGAGTGCATCTATTCACCAAATGTATCACTTTCCAAGAAAGTTCTCAAGTGAAGAAAATAAACTAAGATCATGACAAGCAAAAAAAAGAAGAGACTTAAGTTTTACAAGAGGCACTAATTCTTGCCTGTCTCATATAGCACCTACAGACCACAAACTGCTACTGTCAGAATCAGGTGTAAGTTTATTAAAATACAAGGAGAAAAAGGTCTGCCAGAGGATCAGAATGAAATCAGAATGACCATGCAAGTAATAGAGAAAGCCATCAAGATTGTCTTAGGGGAAAGCTTCCATCAAGTATGTCAGTTATAAAATTGTGGAGAGAAATTACAGTAAAAGAGGATGTGAACCCGTAAATATTATCACATCTGCAAACAGTATTCCAGGTTTATCATTTGAATCATCAAATTCTTAAGAAAACTAATGCTTCCTTTGGGTGGAAGTTGTATTAAGTCAACCATGTTATCATATTATTCCAAGTATTTATGATTAAAATTACACAGGAAGTGAACGATAACTAAAACAAAAGTTCTCATCAGTCGGCCAATAAAACCTTACATTCAGACTTTCAACTCTTATAAACAATGTAGCTGACAGGGTGTTAACACACCACAGAGTGATTTGAATTTTTGATGGTGATTTCAAGATGATAATAGCAGTAGAGAGAGACTGACTGACTAGAAACCCTGCTTGTGAAAAATACTGTTAAGCAATACATCTTATGTCATTTAAACCATTATAGTGTAGCACTCAGAAATATTTTGTGGATGAAGTCTAAAGTCATTGTAAAAATGTGATTCTTGGGGCAACAATTATAGTTGCACAACACTTACACTGACTATTATTTCTTTGATTATATAAGTAATTACTAGATGATCCACTTTTAACAAGGACTGTTCTTCAACAAACACACTTTGCAATACAACAGGGCAGTCAGAATACCAGTACATACCACATACGTGACAAATTCAACATGAAACAAAAATTATTTACAAAACAGTTTCTCAGAAAATATTCACATTTTCCAGACTCTTAAAAACAGAAATACTGCAGAGGATTTGTAGTTCATAAGCTCTGGATATGTAAACAATACATGCTTGGCTGGTCACAGAACTAGCTCAGACTGTAGCTGTTATAAATATTCAAACTTCTGGCAGGATTCTAAAAAGCCCTTTTTGTGACCAGACAAAGAGTGTCAATTTTGATTCACACCAGTTAAGTCCGTCATTTTGCTGACCTGTGAAAGAGCTGCCCTTCTAGGTCTTAAAGATCCACCAAAACCTCTCAGAATCGAATCCAAACATAGTAAATCAAGTTAAGTTTAGATTATGCTAAATTAAAAATATATATACTACAAGCATAGGACAGCATCTATTTGGGTCACAATAAATCTAGCAGAAGCTGTAGAAAAAACCCTCTATCAGAAGAAGATATTAAATACCTACATTTCTGACAAGGGGCAAAGACCAGAGAGAAAATAATCCAACTGTAAAAGCCATGAGCTTCTTGCCTCAAAACGACTTTTCAAAATATATGCAAAACATGCAAGTCCCATGAAACATTTATTCCATTCTGTTGTTTGCCCTGCCATGTGACTTAGCCTAATTGCATTTTCCTTGTAACCATACAATAGCTTTTTAATTTGAATCTTGTCAACAAGCTTTGGGAACAATGTGGCTGCTTAGAGCCCATTGGAACACAGCAAAAAACCCAGTGTAAACAGTCACTACTCTTAAGAAACTAGCCCTGTGATTGGATCTTCAATTGGCTTGTCACCTGCTGAACAAAAATGGCTCTTTTCATTGGAGCTACAATATCAACAAAGCCCCTCAACCGAAAATGAAAACAAATTTATGCAAATTGAATTTCTTAAATGCATGAAAAATTTCCATGACAAAAGCTTATTCAGAGAGTATTTGGCAGCAGTAAACAATGGACTAAATGGCATCTCAAGAAAAGCAAGCACAAAATTAAAAGAAATGGAGAGGAATAAAACATCTCCATATCACACTTAGGAGAAGACATCTGGTGTGACTCTTAATAAAAAAAAATAAAAAGGAAAAAGAAAGAAAAGGCAATGATAACTCTGCACTAAATACCTGTAATAAATAAATCTGCCTTATTGAAAATTATCAGAGGGAAACAAGTGTCAAGCCTGTGGCTGCTGTGGCTATTAGAATATTTAGTTTATGAATTGCAGTCTTCTAAAGATAAGGGTTAAAACAAAGGATTAAATACAAAACAGGAAAATACTGTTGTATGAGCATTATATAAAAACATTTACTTCCCAAAAGAAAAAAAGCATAACAAAGCAAAAGCAAAAGCAGTGTTGCTATTAATAATAGGTTGTACAACACAAAAAGTACATTAAAGTACAGATTATTTCATGAACATGATACAAAGTTATGCAATTCTTGAAATAAATATCAAAAAAGTATTAATGGTACATGTGTGGTTGTGAAAGAGAAAGAGTCACACTATAGTTTTTCAGATCCATAGTTTAAAATGATATAAACCCCTACACACAGTCATGATGATATATCTCAAAAGTTTACATTTTTAAGTAAAACATATATTTTTTAAAGTAAAAATATAAATCAACTCTAAAAATTTTTCCTTTCAGTAAGCAGTGTGAGAATGCACTATCATCAAATGAATTAAAAGATATTTCAGTTTTTTCAGAGTGATAAATTTGAAACAGTCATAACATGAGTGTTTGTTAAAAGTTGCTGTAAAATTTATGTAGTAGTAGCAGTATTTCATTGTTCCAAAACTGAGAAAATAAACACAATTTGTTTCATAAAATATAATTTTCACGTGTTAACAAAACCACATGTTATTTGTTACTCAAAAACACCATTTTGGTGTTCAACTACTGATTCCTTAGTATTCTGATGAATAAAAAGCAGTTTCCTTTTAAGTCTGTGTAAACAATCAATTTCAAAATACATCAATACTGTTTTTTGATCTTACAGACTGCTAGTGGATGCCAGACTGGATATTGATCATTAAAACAACAGCTTTGACCTAACTCTTCCTTGTAGTATATCACAGAAACTGAGAAGTTATACAGACAATTTCTGCAGACACATTCAGAATCTTTTTCCTTATGTAAACCTACAGTGTTGACAATTATTGACCCCAAAATAATGCAAACTTTAATTTTCCTCTAACATTTAGAAGAAATACAAGACAACAAAGTGTAAATTTTGGTTATCATACTAAAAATTTATGCTGTTTTGTTGTTCAAGTTTGTTGAATTCTCACTTGTGCAATGAAAATGATGACATCCTTCTATATAAATATCAGGGAAATTCTTCAGCTCTGTTATGGTTACCTTCTCCAATTTACCTAAATTACTCTAAATTGAATACTGGTTCGTAAATGTTCGATACTTACAGCTGCATTTAATTGCAAAGTGTAATAGTGAGGTTAAGAATAAGCCTGAAGTGGATAGTTGTGGGTGACTGACGTAGTAACTGAAAACCTGTAGGCTTCGATAAAGACATCATCCGTGCTTAGTGGAGAATACTTAATTGGTAAAATGTTCTGAGCATAATTCATTAGGAACAGGTGATCATGCTTTGAAGCCTTATTCTAACCTTGACATTGCAAAATTCACCAGAGAATTTCAACAGTCAGCTTGATCAATTGTTTTGTCTATGACCTTCAACATATTGTCTAGCTGAAGCTTTCCCTCTGCAGGTGGTTATTGACTACTGGTAGCACAATTATATTAAAGTAAAGTATTTCTCTCTAACAATAAATACATTTCATATTTGTTTGCAAGAAATGCATTTTTTGTTCAGGATAGACTCCTGCAGTCACTACTCGTCAATCATTGTTAACCTTCCACATCAAAGTTTTAAAAAGTTCAAATTTGGGAAAAACAAAAAACAAACCAGAGTGACTAGGCAGTGCACATAATACTGAGCATAAATAGACACCAATAAGTTATCCCCAAAGAAAGATTAGGCAAAAGATGTTCAACTTTCATTTATTTTATTGGCCAAAATAACAATAAGTGCTTGATCAGTCTTGTTTGACTTTCTCATAAGTTTTTGCATGCCCTATAATTTCAAAAATTTTGTTTCAAATCAAATTTTATATGCATTATCAATACACTAAGTAAAAAAAACTTACAGAGAAGAATTGCTTGAAATAAAACAATTACATGCAAGGTCATGGTAAATTCCCAATAGCAATTTAAATTCCATTTGCTTTAACCTAATTGAAGAGGTTTTCATGCATAGGCATATTGTATGAGAAGTGATTAGTACTTGACATACTAAGTAAACATACTTACCATCAAAGTACCAATAAATATTATTGGAGGCATCACGACCGATGGGCTTCACTCCCTAAGAAAAATGCAAAAAATTGTAAGTTAATGGCTTGATAGCTTAGAAATACTGGAACGGTTTTTCATCTTTTTCCTGGTATGGCTGTGAGGCTCACAGCTTAACTCTTACCCCAGTTAAGTTAGCCATTCAAGAGAATCAATTATTAAACAGAACCTTAGCTACATAAATATACTTTACTTTAAGAAGACAAGAGTCCTTGTCAAATATACACTGCATATGGCATATGATACCAACTGTATCCACATAGCTTCAGATGTTATATGTTACTGCTGAAGGACACAGAGTGGTGGGGGGCACTGGACTCAAAATCTGAAGGTCCTGGGTTCAAATACCATTGTCACCAACAGGGTCCAGTCTTTCCAAGGGTGAATAGGTTATCTAACCGATAAATTGCTATCCAGCAGATAACTATTAACAAAACATATGGCACTATCAACCAGATAGAGATTCATCCACTAGATAGCCTTATCCACTTTTCCAAGGAAACAGGCCGGATGACTTCATTTCTGCATATTCCCTAATTCAACTCCTTAACTATGTTAAATATAGTCAATTGTATTGCCTCCTGTCATTTGGGGTGCTATATTAATGTTATGTTTGATTTAGATTATTTGTTTGAGATCATTCAAAACAGCCATTGGCCTATCTCTTATGAGTCTGCTTATAACCCAAGTAACCCATGTGACCAAAGCTTATTCTAAGGGCTTTAATTACACTGAATAGGAAACTTAGTCCTTTGTAGATTACTGCCCAGCCTTTCATCAGGTTCCCCTGATGTCTCATTGGCACCCAGTTATACTCTTGGCTGGAGAGAGATGTTGTAAGAACAAAAAGGACAAAATAGCCCAGCCAGTGCAACAAACCTAAACATAGCATGTTAAATTCATATTAGTAATATGTTGTAAATAGGTAAAACCCCAAGTTATTACTGGTAAATTTAATATAACAACACATCTTTGAGTGAATTCAAATCAGAGCTGTCTTTAGACCTCAAATGGCGAAAATCAACAAATGCAAACTTACTGAAGAGTCTGGATTTAAAAAGTTCTTTGTAAACTCTTTTAATTGTTCATCTTTACTTGCTGCAAGGTGGTCTGCCAAATAATATATCAGTTGTTTCAACAGCAACACCTGCAAAATAAAAAATAAAATGTGAGTTCAGTATCCTCTCTTTCAAATACAATGATCATAAAAAGTCTTCTATTTAAAACTGTAGTAACATGTATTCTGATCCATCAAACATTTTTCCTATTGGTTCAAATGTTTCTAAAAACTCTCAAAATTGCTCAAGCTTTGCCTATTGATAGCATCTAATAAAAGTCAATCCAAACATTTGTGGGTAGGCCCTCATTGTATGGCATAGGGTAAAATATGGACTGGACCATTTTTTGTACCATTTTTTGGACCATTTTTTAGACTATTTTTTGGACCATTTTTTTGGGACCATTTTAAAGGGGGAAGCACACCATTAGTTCTGAGGGAGGGGTGGGATGAGGTCTATCAGTACTGAGGGAGGGGTGGGAGGCAGAGTGTTATTACTCAGGGAGGGGTGAGTGATGGACTATTACTACACTGGGAGGGGTGGGAAGTGGTTGTAATAGTAAACACTACTGGTAAATGGAGCTTTTACTCGATCGTACAAAATTGGAAAACAAACCTAGGGTAGTCGTGAGGAATACCTAGTTGCCATTTCCAGTGTCAGTGATTAACTCCTTTGTTTGCAAAACAGATGAAATCGATATTTGCCCTTTCCCATTTTGCAAGTACAGTAGTGTTTTTGGTCGATTCAAGAACAAGGATTCCTCCTTGAAATCATTTGCTGATGATTTTATACAGTAAAGGTATAAACTTTAAAATTGCGACAGTGATTGTGAATTCTATATGCTGCTAAGTTAAGGGCTAAGGACCGGAAATTTTGTGATCTCATTTGATAAGATCAATGACAAAAAATTTAGTAGTTACATAATGTATACACAAAGGGAAACGTGAAGCAACTGATGGTACACAAGTTGACTCAAAAGGCAAGTCATTAGACTTAAAAACTCGTCAAAGCAGACACACAACAACAGTCTACTTCTAACCATGACTAAGACAGACTAATGTTACTGTATAATAGATCATGGAGTCATTAGCAGAAAACTGGAACATTCTGATACTAAAAACTTCAAGTAAACTTGCAAGCATCACTGTTGTAACTGTGTCTCAATTTCCCACTGATCAGATTAACTTATAGAAGTTTCAACTCAAATTACTATCACCAGGGAAATTGACATTTCATGGAAATTTATAACAGCATCCCAAATTAAATTTCTGTATAAGCAAATGAATTTAACAGTCACAATTTGAAGAAAACCATATTTATTTTAAATGGAAACAGTTTTAACTGAATAATTATTACTGATATATGAAGATAACCTATGTCTACCTTTTAAAGGTTTTCATTTAAATATAATTTTAAGCAAAACAGAAATCTTGGGTCCAACATATTAAATCAAGGTATCATAGAAAGATTAACAAACAATACTTGTATTACGGAAACAACAAATTATAATTTCAACATAAAGATAGGTAGAAGGCAACAGCAATTGGCTACAGCAAAAAGGAAAACAACAAAGTACTACACAAAATGTGTTTTAAGCTTATTATATTATCATTAGGTAGTTTATTAGTAGCCACTGCTTTCGGATTATCTCGTTTGGCACTTGACCTTAAAGCTTCGTTAAAATGATACGCAGTTTGATGAACAGGTCCATCAGTGCTAATTAACTAACAGCAACGATGAGAACAAAATTGAGCTGAAAATAGCTAGTACGGTTTTAAGCGCCCGCCATTTTGCAGCGAAACCACTTCGGCAATAAATCACGTTTTGCCAACTTATTTAGCAATGACATCCTCGACGTCCTTGTACAATTTGCGAAAATAATTAGTTTACATCTGTTAACAGTATTTAGCCTATCAACTTTAAACGTGCGAGGGACGATAAACAAAACGCCCACAAAGACATACGTTAAATGATATGAAAATTAAAAAACCACTCAGAGAGAAATTTTACTCACACGATCCTCGGGTTTTAAGTCTACATAACGCTTTCCCTCGTCGAAGAGAGACCTGTCCGAGGATCTCCTCTCCAGCTCTACTTCGAGGACTTCCTGCCATGTGTTTTGTCTTAAAAGGACGCAGAAAATTATAGTTCAATTAAAAAAAAATACACACACACCATCACTCCTTCGACAGAAACGGACAAATGCGTAGGGGAATCATATCAGCTGAGATTTTCATTACACGCCATGTTACACGCTTCCGTTATAAAAAACATACAAATACTCTACTCACTTCACATCCCGTTTGGGAAGTAGAGTTCGTAGCAGTTGTATAAATATTCCAAACAGTGTCGAGTTCTCAGACTCCAAGAAGGCATTCTCTAATTCCTGTTAAGGAAGACAACCCGTCAACAAAATTCAACAGCAGGAATTCGAAATCAATCGTTTAGTTAACGTCTACTCATAGAAGCTATAAAGTACATGCATGCAAACACTGGCAGCAAACGGACGAGTTGTAAATCGAAATGTAGCTTCAGTTTAATCAACAACTAACCAACAAATATCGCCAATAATTCAAAACAGGCTATAAAATTTCAAATAAAAACGCAAAATATTTAGATTCGCTTAAAAATAGATGTTTTGTTTGCAACAAACTGTCGTTTTAATGCGCACCTCGGCCGTGAAGCAGACGAAACCAAACTTCCCCTGGAATACCCGCAGGAACTGGGAAACAAAAACAAATTCCCACATCGAGCGCATTCCATTTGTCGACAAAGCACCTAGAAAATTAAAAGAACAATGATACAGTCGCTTCTTTCTGTCTTTAATCCAAATCTTTACCGAAAAGCTGAAGAAGTGAAATCTACAGCGTGTGACAAGTTGAAATTTGAGTTCACGCGATGACAGCCCACAATTAGTCACAACCAGGACACACTATCGCGTGATAAAACAGGAAAGCAGCAAACATAGTCAGGACAGGCATAAAAGCTGACGGACAACCAGAAATTACCTTGTTTGTGACGTCTCCGCATCTTCAAAAAGACGCCTTAGGTTTGTAAAAAGTCAGAAATTTTCATGTTAGTTTGCAGGAACTCAAGGACTTCTCACCTTACTCCGCCTCACTTTCGTCCTTCAAAACAAAAACGTCATGTTTGGCCACGTGATAAGTTTGTCAATCAAAGTTTTGCTGTCATAGTAACATCTACAGGGGCGTACTCCGTAACTCACACGTACCGACCTTTCCTTCCTTATTTTGTTGTTTTGACAAATCAGAAAGCTATGCTGGACTTTCGAAATAACTTGAAATGACCTATTTTTAGACGTGATTAATCGCCGCTCAAAGGTTTTATCTTTTTTCGTAAAATGATTAAAGTCAGGAGCAGAGTAGCGATTTTTTTCATGAAGTGGCTATATTTGCATACTCAATTTACGATTTCTTGTACACGCACTTAGCTTTCATTTTTTTCGATTTCAACTATCTGTAGATGAACTTGATAACTATTCGTATACAAAAAACGAGTTTTCCAGGGAACAAGACTACTATGGAAACTGAAAGTAATATGTACTGCAAGCACTGCGAGAAAGGGTATCCAGTCTCTTCACGGCTGAATCAAAGTGCAATTTGTGAACTTTTAACAATTAAAGTTCAACAACGTTGCCGTTACCAAAATGCAAATAATAAAAAATTGTATTTTGAATTCAATAGTAGCACGTCAATTTTGTTTACGGGTTCGTTTTTGAATACAGCGAGCCCTCATTCACGAGATAATCCACGAGATGTCGATGTGATTTTTGTTTGTTTCCCAGTTTCCAGCGGAACATTGATATCATCGGAGGATAAAGTAATCCGCGCGTGAACGCGAATGCATTTCGAGCGGATTCAAAGGTTCGAGTGATGTTTTAAAAGTGTGCGGAATTGCATGAGCTGTATATTGGTGAATGCAACATGAAAAACTCACAAAAATTCGAAATGCAGGAAAAGTTTATGCCATTTTTTATTGTTACTTTCTCGATAAAATCAGTTACCAACGCTTGTTTGTTCATTCTCTATGCACGGTGCTCGAAAAATTCTGAACGGCTTTATGAAAAAGCTATTATGTAGCCTGTTTATAGATTATCTGATTTGATACGATATTTTTTAGGGACAAACTAAGCTTAATGTTTTTCGAAATTATTTGGAAAAAAGTATTTTTTTTTTATGTTTATCTTTATAAGGTTTCAGAACACAAGGCTGGCCGCAACGCAAGAAAAAAATTAGCCTTTATTCCACGAGGTTAGTATGAGGAACGAGTTGACTGGTTTAAATGACCCTTCAACTCTTAGGAACGAACGACCGACCTCTAATTTCTCCTTACAATAACACCTTTATAGGTCATGAGAATAATGGAAGTGATCCCCAAATTAAGAAGCTCCTGATTATCAAGCACATCCTCCTTCCCACGACCGCAGAAAATGTAGAGAGAACAATGTGGAGAGTTTTGAATATTAATTTTAGGGTAGGAAGGGTTAATTGCCAACTGAAGACGAGAAAGAGTGGAAGTTTCGCTGCATTGTTTTTTTTTTCTTCTTTTTTCGAAAAGCAATTACACCTCAGACTGAATCTTTGTTTACACTTGGTAAAAGACTGCCTCATCACGTTAAATTAAAAAAGAATTCGCATCTACGATTGGAATGTACCTTTCACTTATCTTACCAACCAAAATTAGCCAGAGTAGCCAAAACACGAGAATGAGGGTGGAAAACTCGAACTGGAAATGAAATGTGAATTAAATATTATAAAAACGATAAAATAAGAAACAATTTACCATGTAAGAGCACATGTAATGTTTTGGCAACAGCTTGGAGTTATTCCCGATTTATCAGAATTAGAGGCGCACTAGGATTCCAAAGAGTTTTTAATTGTATAGATTTTGTTTGATTCAAGGACTACACAAGTGTATCAAATGGGCAGTAGCGAACACTCATTGTTTAGTTGGCCAAGTTAACTTGTCAACTCAAGTTTTGGTCTCTTTGCTTCACTTTCTGTGGTCGGTTCAACGGTGGAGCTGTCCATTTTAGTATGACCGTTGTCCTGATGTTTACTCTTGTTATTTTTCTTTTCTATTCGTTCCTCTTTTCTTGCCAAGTACTCCGTTAAATTGTCGACCTCTTTCTTTCTTAGCGTATCCAGTTTACGCTCCTGATTTAAACTACCTGCGTGGGCAAATGTGGGGGGTCAGTTCCGGATCATAAAACTCACACCATGATTGGACAAGGGGGCGGTTACGCCCAACAAAGCCTTGCGTTATTGAATAAGAAACCCTTTATCACGATGACATTAAACAATTTAATTTGTGTCGCACGAGATCCAGGATTGCATCGTTTAACCCCAACTTCGCAATCTGATAGGTCGAAAACTTACTTTACTCTCTCAACCAATTATATGCATGCACAACCCGTGACACGTGCACGCTCGTTTTGCCACGCTTTTGGCCGATTTTAGTTCAAGTTTTCAATGGCTTCTTGTGATATTGATCACTGATCTGAAAGGCCTTTGTGATTACTTACTTGAGTTTTGCTAGAATTTTGCCGATATCTTAGAAAATAAATCACGAGTGATAAATAAGTTTATTCAATAATTAATCATAAAAAAACAACAACAACAACAAAAACGATTCAAGTGGTAGAATCCTGTTCAACTTCCTCTCTCTCATTCTTGTGTTTATTTTAAAAAAATCCTTTGTAAGAGCGAGGCTAGATTTCAGGTGCCCGTGATACGGAATCACGGATAAAATTCTTCCAAAAAAAAAAAGCTAGAGGCAGTCAAGGTCCGGTCTTAAAGCCCCTTTTCTTTTCTCTTGCATTTAAGCGTAAATTGCTTTCAATAAATGAGATGCAAGATGTTCACAAGCAAACCGTAAGTTCATTGATTCCAGTACCGTGTAAATGCGGCCAAGTTGTAGTTGGGTCAAACACCAACAACATAGGGCTAAGAATATGAAAGTGATCTTCGCAGTAATAAACACCACTTGAGCAGTGCTAACATGGGGCTAACTTTAGCCATGGTGTTAATTACTTCATGAAATATGTACAGTTTTAACAGCCCGAAACTACAGTTTCAATAAGTAATGTAAAAATTACCTTTTAAATAGTTCCAGTCGCTAACTGAGGACAGGAGCGGTGTAAAATCCGACACCAGTTTTACGTACTGCGAGGGGAAAAAAACAATTTTTTAATGTTATAAGATATCACACTTGCAAGAAATAGTAAATGAAAAGGCTATTCAGACCTATTCAAAACCTCAACTTTTTAGCAAGAGTGAGTGTAAAGTCTCAGATTAAAAAAAAGACCACTTTTCTTGCATATAGAAAAAAACAAATTACTAAAAAAAGAACTGCGCTCTTGGCCCCATTTGTTCCACGTGATTAGAATTCTTTTTCAACATCCGCCAGACACACAATAGACGTAAGTATCTTGCTGACCCAGTCTACTTGGTCGTTTCTGTAAGTTACGGATTCTCGTTCTTTTCATCTTTGATTTATGGGTCATCAATGAAAAGACAAAATATCTGTACCATACGGTAAGGACCTCGAGCTTGGTCAGTGAGAGGTATATATTGTGCAGTTTCCTTCAGGTTAATGGGAGACCACGGTAATGCTGTAACTGTGATGCGAACTCCATTAAGATAGTAATTTCTCACGTATGTCGTTGGTCAAAGTTTGATTTCTGACTCCTTGTTTCACCTAACTAGTAACGTAACACCATTCTTGTAACGAATATATGAAAATGTTCACAGAAAGATTCACCATGAAGAGAAAACCAGTTGAAGTCATTTTCAATTGAGTGTCGAAAGTAATCCGATTTGCTTTGCCTTGCTCTGTGATTGGTCCAGAAAACTCGCGCAAAATCAGATGCAAATCTAAAACCAATCACGACTTGGTCGCCCGCGTCTTAGGCGGCTTGCTTCTTTATTTTGAGTTCTCATTGGCTACTTGCAATACTTTCCTTAATCTGAAAGGTCATTGTAGTTTCTTTGGTTTTGGCTTTACGACACTCAATCGAAAAGCGCTCTGAAATCAATTTCTGTATCACAAACCGTTAAGTCTGGTGAATGTCCGCTAGGTTCAAAAACCAACACAGGCTCCTCAGGGTAGGGCTGCACACACCAGAGTCTACCCTCTGGGTCAAATACTGCACTCCAGGGGGGCACATTTGCTTCTAAGGAAGGGAGGGTTATAACCTCCTTTTGACTTGCATGGTATAAAGAAATGATTTTACATCTGCCAGGGAAAGAACTTAGGTAAACACTTCATTGCTGATCCTTTCCATAATTACCATGATAATGATATGAGTAATCCTCCAAGTTAAATCTAATAGATTTCAGAGGGAAATTGAAACAGGTATACCTTTCTATAATAGCACACACCACTGAGTTTCTGCAACAGCAAGTTAAGGATGAAACAATTGGACCACAGTGCTGATCATCCTGTGGAGAAGGGTCAGCAAAACTGGTTAGTTAATGAAGAAAGGCCTCAAAATTAATAACTACATGAACAAATAACTAAATACAAAAGGGAAAACAAATATAATTGAGATGAAGCACGTCCAAAAAGTAAATACCAAACTAAATTGGAACTTGGACAATTGGAAAGGAGGAGAACTTTTATAAAAATCCTCAGGGCAAGAATGAACCCAATACACACTTGATGCCAGGTGAGATCATCACCCAATAATGGTACCCTACGATTATTGAAAAACAAGTCAGGGTTACAATGCAAGGAAACTACCTCAGGGTTTTCCTCTTTGATGTCTTCTGTTGAGTAATCTATCTTTTCTGAAGCTATATCTTTGCCTGATTCAGGATTCCAGAATGTGACAGTCCCATCCTTGCATAAAGAAATTAAGAACATGTAAATAAAAATTAAAAAAAAAAACAAGTTCCATCCTAAACGAGTAGTAAGTTTGAGCATTAGAAGGACCATGTAACATAAAGTGATATATAAAAACCCCAGAAACTATTGCAATTATACACTTGTGACAAAGTGAAAGAAGACATTTTTCAAACAGAAATTGACCCCAAAAAAACTGCAGGTCAAGTGTTGACCAAATTTCTTGATGAGCTGCCATCAGTATTATCCAATACTCTACCTTCCTTATGAAGAGAGATCAGATACCACTAAGATTAACAAAGTTAACCCTTTCACCCTCACAAGTGACCAAGACAGAATTTCGCCTTAAAATATGTATACAATATCAAGCAGGTAGGTGATGAGAATAGAGAAGAATATCAATTATAGGATTATTAGTTGATCCAATACCAAATTCTCTGAACTAACATCATAAGAATTGTATAGCAGATAGTAAGGAGAATTATTGATTAGATCTTGGGAGTGAAAGGGTTAAACAAAATATGAGCACCTACCCCTCCACCTGACACGAGAATGTTTTGACTTCCTGATAACAGAGCTAAACAGCTAACAAAACTGCAGAGACATAAAGGATAACACTTTGTTTTTGTAATTTCCATTATAAAATGAAATTGAACTTGTGATCATTTGGATCATTCAATTCTGAGACAAATATTTTCATTCTGATTTCCAAGGTTGTCATTAAGAGCTTGTAGAAGGCAGAAACCCACTGGCTGTCAGACCATTTTGCGCTGGGTAATGAGTATGTGAATTATGATCAAAGATAGAAATCAAGTATTTTTTAACTGATACTAAGATCAATGTCTGGGTAAAAAAGGTTATTCAAATATGTTCCAGAATGCCAGAAACCACATCTCAGAGAGAGTTTAAAATTTCAAAATTTTCCAGAGGAGCAATTGCAAACAGAGCTCCCTAGAAGGGAATTCTACTTTATATGCCTACTCAGTTCAGAACATACATCTGTGTTTTCATTTTTCTATAAAATTGCCAATTGTCATTAATTCTATGCAAGACCTATTATCTACATGTACATTATTTAGAGGTGATTAATAAACTTACTCTAAATGTCCAAGACAAAATGTATGGATGCTATAAGAGTTTGGGAACCAACTAACTCGTATCTTCTCATCTCTATCTGATGTAATTAAAAACTTGTCATCTTCAGTAAGAACCTTGAAATATAAAAAATAATTGGTGATAAAAAATAGATTAAAATATATAAAAGAAGAATCAAGCACATTCTAAAAAGAAAATTAATAGAGACAAGTTGGTGTATTGCCCATGGTCAGCAAAGTGGACGCCATTTTGGCTAAAAAGAACAAAAATTAAAAGAAAAGACTACATATGAAGGAACCCTGCAAGCACATATAGATCTATAGAAATAGCTGAAAGTGACTTAATAGATAGAAAATTAAAAGAACAAGCAATGCATATAGAGGAACTCTGCAAGCACATGGAGATAGAAATAGGTGGAAGTGACCTAAACAGAGAAGACATCATTCTCCTGTACTGATTTCCCTGTAGTTGATGCTTAAAAGTTATAAATTAAGTGGCAATAGAAACAGGTTTTCTTTGTATCCCTACTCTTTAAGAAAGTAGGAGGAGGGAAGGGAAGGTGCTTATTAGAGGGAGGTGGAGGCCTGGTTGATATTATGATCTAGAGGGTAGGTGTTGCCTTGGGGGAGGGTGCTAATTACAACATTGGCACTTATTTGAGAAAATACAGTACACAGGTATGTAGCCCTAACTCAGTTGTTGTGTCAAGTTCCTTTTTTCATCCATTCCTTTCTTTTATGTCCCTCTCTTTTTTTATTGATTTTCCACTGATAACATCACTTATGTTATTTACAACACTGATGTACTTATTTAGTACTCCTCATGGGGATTTAGAATTTTTCTTTGTCCTGCACTCATGACAAGACCTATCACACCATTTATTAAAATTATTTTATGTTCAAAAACTCCCTCAGAAATTTTATCTCAAATCTAAATATTAGAACTTGGTACCTTACCATGTCTAAAATCATAGAAACATGTCCCAAGAGTAGTTCTTTTTCTTTGTCAACGTCATGTACAGAAAACCTGGAAGGAGATTGAAGTAATTATCCATCAATAACTCACCTTGTAGACTTCAATTACCCTCTAGTCACACCAATTTTCACATTCAGATATCAAGTATATAAAATGTTCTCATTTTGACAGACCTGTAAACATCTCCTCCTTTGTTACTGACTATAATGCTGTCCTCTTTATTTGTAAATAATATAACTGTTGATCTTCTAATGACCTCTCTGAAATAGCAAATGGCAAAAAATTTAAAAGGCTCTTTAGAACTAACTCATGGTATGTCTTAATTCTTTGATTAAGTTGTGTCCTTTGCCCCTTTTCCAATTAATAACTGTCTGACTTTGAATGTGTTTTTGTCAAAAGGTACAATGTCTGGATAAGCAGCGATTACATGCAGGTTCTGGAACAATTAGGACTCCTCACCAAATATATTAACATTCTTGAGAAGAAATTTAAGCAAATATGTGTACTGGTGTCAGGGTGTAACAGGTTAACAGTACCTCTTGTTCAGCAGTTTCCAGTCACTTGTCTGCCAAATGAATAATTCTTTATATGGAGTACAAATGGCAAACAACCCTCCAGACTTTGAAAAACAGCAAAGTACTCCATGTCCCAGTGTACTTGCATCTTCTGGTAAAGCTGACTGCCGTACACAATCAACAGCATAAGAGAACTTGCAAGTTCCATCTCTATGCAAAAAGGGAGAAACAGCAACTACTGTTACTTTCCAAACAACGCGTACTTTTCAAGTTAATTTAAGGAAACATGCTAAATTACAATCAAGTAGGGATCAGTCCCAGATCAATCTCGGGAAGTCCCAAAAGGATTACGCGTGTGATTCCCCCCCCCCCTCCTTTTAAAAAGTAAAAGTGAAAAGTGATAATGATATGATAGAACAACCTAACATACCCACAAATTTAAATTGAACCTATTGCAGAACCTGGCCTCTCTCTTTCGAAAAGTTTCTCTCAAAGTTCTTGTGATACATCATACTTTCCAAAAAACTGGAAAGCAGTTGATGATTCCGCACTTAAAGCTGTAAAGTGTTCAAAAACACCAGAGCTCAAAAGTGTCCTAATCACAATTGCACGTGCAAGCTGTGCGACACGACCATGCTCAGGGTGGTTTGAATTCCGAACGATGCACCACTGTCAATTTATTTTTACCCTTTTCCGTCTTTACATCAATATTTTCGTTATCTCCCACCTTACATCCAGAACTTTAGCTCCAGTATTGCAAACAACGGCGAGAAAATTACCACCAAAACTCCATATCAAATCCGCCATGTTGAATCTAAAATGTTTTGAGACAATACAATACCCATACATGAAGAAGGACTAACCCGGATGGTAATGTGATGATCGCCGCCATCTTGAGCTAGAGAAAAAGTGTGTTAGTTGTCTTGTCTTACCAGGTCTTTTTCTCAAACACAGCATGTCTGATAGCGACGATTCACAATATTCGGATGAGGTATGAGGCTTTTATTTTTTCCTCTACTATTTTATTTATATATTACCTCTTAGTTTATTTGTGTGCAGCAATTTTATTGTTCTAAAATTTCAAACCTGTGTAGGAACTTTCTGGTGTACGTGAGTAGTTTGCACAAATTATAAGGGAAAGAAACTCTGAAAATATTTTAATAAAATAAGTCGTAGAGGTTATTTGTTAATGCAGCTTCACATTTCTTTTCTCTATTTTGCTCCGGGTGCCACTAAATATGTTAAATTTTACATCGAATCGCGATTTAGCATGTACGTGTTACCACATTCGAATTAGTCCTGTTTGTTACACATGAAAAGCTTGAGTTGCGAGTTGTACGCAGCTTTCGTAGGTTACTTTTTGGTTAAAAATTTCTGTGGTAAAGGTGGTCATTTTTACCTTATCAGTCGGTATATTCCGTAGTTCCAATAGCATTTGGCACGAATGGGTATTTTTCTAATGGCAAACGGTTAGTTTTGAACGAGAGTCTCCTCTTCCCTGGGAGGTCTGAGCTCCCCAGGCAATTTGGTTAGAAGGGCTAACGCTCAAATTGTCAGCCTTTAAACTCTTTACAGTGGCTAATTTATGTTTTCAACTCAGTTGTTAACACTAAATTATTTGTTAATGGTGTTGTGTAGGAAGGCGAGGATATCACTAAGGAAGAGGATGATGAAGAAGTTGATGATGACGAAGAAGACGATGAAGAGGATTACGATGAAGATGATGAGCTCTACGATGACAGACAGAGAAAGAAGAAAAGGCGTCATAATGCTGGGTTTATCATAGATGAAGCAGGTTTGCTATTTTACAAGGCTAATTCTTCAACACAATGGGGAAAAATAAATTTTTGTGATATTTACCTAAATGATTATTTTTTGCTCTTTTAGATGTTGATGATGATTATGATGAAGATGTTGAACCTGAAGATGGATACACAGATTTAATTGAAAGTCAGTTCTGTTGAATGTTGTCAGAATGTGTTTCTCTTATCACCATTCCCTGGGTTTTGATTCTTAGACCAGGTTCCATTGTTCAAAGGGCAGACGATCAATCCAGCAACATTAACAAAATGTGCTGCGCTATCCACAGGGTGAACAGTCATCTCGCCACCAGGAAGAGCATGCTAGTGCAAATCTGCTGGCGAGGTGACAGTGGATAGTGTTATCTGTCTTTTGAACAACCAGGAAAAAGTGTCTCTAAGGAGTTGTTGTTAGATCTTGTTAGTACTATGAAAGTTTCTCTTCGAATTCCTTGGTTTTCCTCCTTATTTTATAAAACTAAGCCCCTGAATTTAATTGCACACAGAGTTAGTGGACAAAGAGTCACTCCATGCATATGCCAAGAAAGAATTATAATCACAAAGTTGTAGTAGCAGATTTTGTTTGCTCACACTGTAAAGTGTTGGACTGCTGTGTGGGAGGTCAAGGGTTCAAAGTGTAGCAACACTCAGGGTCTAAAAATGGTTAAACATTCAAGTCTTCTCAGATAAGGACAATAAGCTGTAAGCGCCGTCTCATCCTCCCTGTGTTGGTTAGCGGGGGATGCTAAAGAACCCAGGAACTTCATGCAAAGAGTAGGGAATGTAGACCCCAATGTTGTTGTCTGACTTTGTTATTGTTTATACAAGCCCTCATTCACACCAGCTTTAAGCTGAACTGGGCCCCCCTGTCTAAATATCACAAATACATACAAATACATGTGATTAAAATGAATTGCATCTTTCTTTTTCATGCTTTTGACATGTTTATTTTTACATTTTGTGAAACCTTTTTCATTGAATAAAAATGCTGTTTTGACTTTCCTCCAAATAATCTAATGTTCTTAATCATTTTTGATATTTTTTTTGTAGATGATTTAGGTGATGAAGCAATTGGTGATGATTTATCGGTATGAAAAATGTGACCAACTGGTTGTATAATGTTGATCTTGTATTTCAATTCCAAAAAGAACATAATATAATGTTATGCCTTAGTCACAGAACATACACACATAAATTTTGTAGTAACAATCTCCCTTCTTAGTAAATTACTATTATCTCATGAACTGATGACTGTCTCATTTGAGATGAAGTACAAAATAATTTTGACCTTGAGAAGGTTCTCATTGCAGACAACCATACTAAAATATGCAAATATTTTTTAGATGTTCTTGTATGTGTCTTTCTATGATATGAATTCAAATTCAATAACAACTTTTTTTGTCTGTGTCTTAAGGGTGCCAGACGTTTACAGCAGATGCTTGGGTATGTAACAAACATAGCAGCATAACATAGTGATTCATAAAATGTCTTTTAATAGCATACCACTTCTTCTCTATGGCTGTTCTTTTCCAAACTGATGTTGTGCTTGTTTTATGGGACTGACTGTGAAAAGGAGAGGGGATACTTTTTGTGGAGAGATGACTGTCACTTTTAAACTTCTATTTTCATTTTGGTTGTAAAGTGACTTCTTTCATCTAAAATGACAGTTAATTTTCCTCTGATGAAGGGCTGACTCTCCAAACGTCAGCGTTGAAACTCTATGGTGGCCAATTTACATTTATCAACTCTGTTTATAAAACAACTATCCAGTTAATTTTGTTGCAGAGTGTAGTTTCCAGCATGCCAGAAATATCCCAATTTCCATAGTTATGAGGTGCCAGTCAATGTATACATGTACATTTAGTAGCAATCACAATTAAGTCAATGTCTGTGCACTAGATCTGAACTCCATTTTCATAACAAACCACTTTTCTTAGGTGTTAACAACTACTGGTGTCTAACAAACAACTTATTCCTTTTCCTTTTTCTCTTGATTAGAGACAAAAATGCTGAAGAATTGGAGGCTTATTACAAGAAGAAGTTTGCTGAGACATCTGAAAGGTTGATACAAAACATTGCTTGAACTTTACAGTGATATTACAAATTTCATCTTTTTTTCATGATAATACTTGAGGGTAGAAAAAATCTCATTTTAGTTCTGGTCAGGTTTTGCATCAATACGTAGTCATTCTCAAGCTAAAGGAAGTTGAATTATTTTATACTTAACTCCACAGATATAGAGATGACTATGAACTGCAGCCAGAGATTCAACAGCAAAGTCTTCTCCCTGGTGTCAAGTAAGATACTGAGCTAAGCTCAGTAATGCTCTCTTTTTCTGTTTTTGTTTCTGTGGTTGTTCTCTTGCTTGGTACAGAGATATTTATAAATAGCAATTTTATTTTTCCATCTTATTGTAATTTCACAGAGACCCAAATTTGTGGACTGTGAAATGCAAGGTGAGGTTAAAAAGGCAACATTGAGCAGAATAGTTCAACACTTCTGAACTCTTTAAATCATAACATCCAATTAGTAATTCTCCCCTCTTTGTACATACATTTCTTTTGAATCAGTCTGAATTATTTGGTGGTATGGTGAGGTATTACAATGTAGCTGATAGCATTGTCTCTTCTCATAACCAGTGTAAAGGATGATGATGAGAAATCATAAGGAGAAATTATATATTAAACAGGTTGAAGAGTTAAAGGTTCAATACTTTTTTGTGCTTGGGCTAGACGCTCTATTCTTACACTGCCTCATTTTACCCAGGAGTAAAAATTTATACCAAACAAAATTTGATGATGGGAACAGGGGTGACCTGTTATTGAGTGGTATCCCATCTAAGGGGTAGTAATAGTCTTAATCACTTCATGCTAAGTTCTGGCTGTATGGGCCAATAAAGACTCTACTGGCCCAGTGCAGATTGTTGTACCTCTCCACCCATTACAATGAATGGATACCAGCTAGCTTTCAGAGAAACCTGATAGATAATTTTAGGGTAATCTGCGATGGACTTTCTTGAATTGTGTTGTAGTGGTAGGGATAAGCTACAGCATTTATTTAAGCTAGTCTTTTATGTGGACTCTACCATACTTAAATTGTAATACTACCTCAAATGTAACATTGACTGCTTTGAATGTGTGATCTAGATTGGAGAGGAGAAGGCAACAGTCATTGGCTTGATGCGAAAAGCCATTGCTCAGCAATTCACTGATGAAGTAAGTAGATACAGTAAGCACAATTTCACAAGCACAATTTTAAAAGCACAAATTTTCCTCAGCTGCTTGGAGTTGACTAGTACTTGCGGCTCACTTCTGAACTAGCCAATCAGTACATACAAAAAGCATTATTCACCTTTGTAGTTCATTTGTATATATAAATATTGATTATTTCAACTTGTCTTTGAAAACAGCCTCTGCAGATCAAGTCAGCTGTGGCTGTAGAGGGACTGAAGGGGTATATCTATATTGAAGCTTACAAACAGACTCATGTCAAACAGGTAATGTATATGGAGATGTTAAAAATGGAGCAGTTGATTATCAAAATAATATTAATGTGTGCCATGTCAACTCACTACAGTGTACAACTGCTTCTTGTTTATAGGCTATAGAAGGGTTTGGTACTCTGCGACTTGGTAAGTGGCAGCAAATGATGGTACCAATTCGTGAAATGACTGATGTGATGAGGGTTGTTAAAGAAGTCGTGTCAGTTAAACCAAGACAATGGGTTCGATTGAAGAGAGGAATCTATAAGGATGATCTTGCTCAGGTAAACAGACCAAAAGAAAGTTATGTAGCAGCTATTGAGAGTTGAAAACATTGAAATAGAATTGATATTTGACATGTGCATTGTATGCTTCAAAACAAAGTCAGTGAATTACAAGGAATGGATGGAGTTTGTATTGTTTAATTATTAGGGCAAGGTAAGTCCTAAAAAGGGCAGTTTTTTGTGAGGCTTTTTAGAGTCATTTTAAGAGTGAAGTGATTCAAGGTTTGAAAGAGAGTAAAACCTAAGGTTTCTACTGTGGTATTTAAGTTGTTGTGAGGTTTCCTAAAGTCTGTCATACTCTAATTTCTGATCTCTGCTAATTTCATCAGGTGGATTTTGTGAATACAGCAAGAAATCAGGTGAGGCTTTAAACTAAGTGGTGTTTTGATGATTACAATGATGCAATTATTCATCCTGCCATTCCAATCAGTCTCCACTTTCCTATCTCTTGGTTTTCTCCAAATGCTTCTCGTCAAGGTGCATTTGATCCAAGTTTGGACTACACCTTTTGATGGAATCACTGATGTATTGACTGCCATCCAGTTTAAATGTTTGTCTATTTAGTACCTCCAGGTATAATGCTACCAAAGGATACCAATGAAGAATTACTAAACTTCATGTGAAATTAGATTCTTATGTTACATATACTGTTCATTTAAGGTGACACTGAAGATGATTCCTAGAATAGACTACACAAGAATGAGAGGATTAGCTAAATCAGCTGAGGTACTGTAAGTTACATGTAACATTTTGGCTGGAAAACCTTTAGTAATTGGAAATAAAAACAAGTAACAGCTTTCAAATAGGAGTATATTTGATACTTAAATGATACTTAGCCAAAATGAATATCAATTGTAAAGTTTTTTCATTTGTTATGGATTAGGAGGGAAGGGAAGGGCTTAGCCAAGAGGGTTAACATGCTACAAAATCAAAGCTCCATAGGAGGCTACTCTGACAGGGAGCTTACTTATTACTGTTTACTGTTTTAACTGTGTTTATGGTAATTTATTACATTTATCAGTTAGTATGTGCTTGATGATTGGTCAATTTAGCATGCTATATTTCACTGTATGGTCCACTAAATTTAAAAGTTTGTTTGAATTGAACCCAGAGATAAAATGAAAATCTTGCTAACCTCGTTTCCATGGTCTGTACTTTAAGTTATACAACCTTATTTTGCCCACTTAGATTTATGACCTGAGTGCTTCATTCTTGGGCGATATATCCAAGCCAAATAAACCAGGTCTATAACTTACAGTACAGACCTCAAACTTGGGTAGTAAGAGATATTTATATGTACATTTGTAGGAATAGTTGCATGGGTAATCCCTGAATTGTGCATACTGTGTACCCTCTCATCAAAGGAAAGGCTTTTTCCTTTACCTCCTTATTTTCATCTTACAATTTTGTGTCCATTCAAAATTTCTAAAGGACGCTGTGGAAAAGAGAAAAAGGAAAAGGAAGCCACCACAAAAGTTATTTGATGCTGATGCCATAAGGTTAATTTTTGTTAGTTCTAAACTCTTCATTTAAATTACTGATTTTTTAGTACACTATACCTTAATATTTTACAAGCTCTCCTGGTAGATTGATTCATCTTTCTTATCCATCTGATTACAATCAGACATAGACCTAAATAGGGTAACACGACAGTAAAAGCAGCCATGGCCCTGGCTAAATAATCTCAGACAATAATTTCAATCAAACAAAACACCAATAACACCCCTTATTGGCAGAAGGCAACCTAAGAGCAAATTTGTTGAAACTTTTTGATCTGCAGTAAGAACAAAATTGTTTCTAATCATGTTTGCTGTCTCATGCAGGGGTATTGGTGGTGACATTGGACAGGATGGTGACTTCATGATCTTTGAAGGCAGTCGATATCGTGGTGGCTTCATGTACAAGACACTGGCCATGTCAGCTATTGTAAGCTTTTTTAAACATTAGGTGTAACAAAGCTTTATTCTTGAAGGTTCATGCACCAGAAACTTAGGGACATAAAAAAAACTATCTAACAGTTAAGACACTGAAGGCTTTTTACTGGGGGGAACCTTCCATACTGAAAGTTGATGATGTAAATTGGCCACCATAAAGAATTTCTTAAGTGGTCAAAGGGCTTAGGCTCAAGAATGTCAGCTTAAGAATCTTTTCACATCTTCAGCAGCAGGAATTGATGGTTACAGTCAGAGCAGTTTTTTAAGTTGTAAGAGTCTGTTGTAGTTCCTTTGGTAAGGGTAAATTAATTGAAAATGTTTGTCTGTTTATCAGGTTGTAGAGGGCATTAAACCCACTCTGTTAGAGCTTCAGAAATTTGAAACAGCACCTGAAGATGTGGAACTGGAAGGTAACAATTGTAGATCAGTTGCTGTTTGTATTGGTGATGGTGACAAAATCAAATGTACATTTTCTTTGCTGTATGTGTGTTTCACTACAAATCATATGAAATCCTCAAAAGGTCTGATGCTCTGTCCTTATGCAGAGAGGAATGATTGAAGTTAATTTTCAACAAAAAGTTAGAACCTACTTTACTTGATCTCCAATGGGACATCATAACAGTGATGCAAAGAAGTTTTGTATATTCCTTGAAACAGCTAGGTTAGAAATCATATGTAGATGCCAGCTCACTTTGTAACACCCTACAGGGAGTGTAGCATTTTCCATCCAATGAATAGATTCCATGGTGCCATGCTTCTGTGTAGTAACAGATCACAAATGACATCAAAATGTGGTAAAAACAAAAAAATTGGCAGAGAAGATCCAGCCAATGGTGTCTCTGATGTTCTTATTACATTTTGCCATCTTCTGTGGTTTCTTACTAAACTGTCACAGGGCACTATGAAATCTACTCGTTTTATTAAATAATAAGCCAAGTCATTCATGTTAATGTCATCTATGTGTCAGCCCCCAAAAAATCATAAGAAATAACCAATCAAAGTGCATGTATAGGTTAGCTTATTGTATAAAGTTATTTTTTTGTAGTACCAAAAGGTTCAAGGGAAGGTTCAGATGAGGAAAGACATACTTTTGTGACTGGTGATGTGGTCGAAGTTGCTGAAGGGGATTTGGCAAATTTAAAAGGCACAGTTCTTAGCATTGATGGAAACAAAATCACCATAATGCCAAAACATGAGGACCTAAAGGTTTGCACATGTAGATCTAGCACTTGCTTCTCATTTTTTAAATGTACAGCAATGTTTTGAGTTTGTGTTTGTAAGTGAGTTGAAGGATTTAGGGAATTTGTGTCAATGATTCTAGAGTTATCTTAAAATGCATGTTACTTGATGGCATACGTGATTCTAATAGTTTCTTTCTCTCTCTTTTTTTTGTCTGACAAAGAGCCAGGTGCAGAATACAATGAGTGGCAAAAATTTTTTCATGCTTCACTAATTTTGGGCATTTTTTTACAACTTACCTTTATCTCCCCTCTCCCCCTTTTCAATGTCACCTGGTGTTCGCAAAACGGTGACCAGTTTCTTGAAACATTGTTTGGGGGAAAGGGGGACTTTCAAGGAACTTATGAAGGGGAATTATGTGATTTCTGTTGGTTTTGTTGATTGGAGGGTTGTTGACCACTAACAGAGGCAGGACAATGCCTTGACTACTTTTTCTACTTATTGTAGAAAAATACTAAATACTAAATACTCCCCTTTTCTGTGGTGAAGCACAACATTTGAAAAAACTTCAAATCAACCTGTTTCTTCTGACTCCCCTCCCCCTCCTCCCTTAATGTAAGTAATGACTGATCCTTAAATAGTTTTAAATGAACTCTTCAACAGCCTGTGTGGAATTTTAATCAAGTTGAATAGAATAATAACTGGAGCTCTTGTTTAAGGCGTGGACAAATACTTACATCTCTCTGAAACTTATCACTTCATACGTCAACTTCGAGAATTCCAGCAACTTATTACTGCTGTTATTTCGTTTCACCTCTTATCTTTCAGGATCCATTAGAATTCCAGGCACAAGAACTGCAAAAACACTTCAAGATGGGTGATCATGTCAAGGTTATAGGTGGTCGGTATGAAGGGGACACTGGTCTGATTGTTAGAGTGGAAGATAATATGGTGGTACTTTTTGCAGATCTAACAATGCATGAGGTAGGTATGCAGCTTAGTTAGCCCTTACACTTACAACATCCGAATAGCTACTATTCAGTTGTCAAAATTGTTGAAACATTTCCCTCCTTTTCCCCTCGTCAGTGAAGGTCTGAGGAAAATCGGAGCAGCTGAAGAAATGTAGCATTACGAGGGAAGCGGAGTGTTTCGAGAAAATCTAACGAGTGTTGTACATGTAGTCTCCCCTCAGCTGCTTTAGGGTATTTAACTTGTTGCTGGCGGTTTGTGTGCGTTTCAAAGATGGTGTCGGAATCAGAGAAACTTTCCTTTTTTTGTCGGGCAGGTCCAACCGAGAAAAGTGGTCCACCTCGAAAGGGGGAACGGTTTTTGCTACTTTTTCGGTTGGACCGAACCGATCTATTCAGTTTTAGACCGAAATTTTGGATTAGTGGATTGAGCCCTTGGTGACCATCCCCTTGACATATAAGTCTGTGGAGTGACTTTTCAGCCACTTAAAATCTTAATCCTATAAATGTGGAGCTTAAAATATTGAAATGCTGTGGTCTCTGTTTACATTGTAGCTCAAAGTTTTACCCAAAGATCTTCAGCTATGTACAGAAAGGAGCAGTGGAGTGGACTCCATGGGACAACATCAGTGGGGAGACATGGTCCAATTGGAGTAAGTTTGCGTTCAAACCAAACCTAGACAAACCTTTGTTCTCTTGAATTTTTTGTTAACGTATTGATGATGAATGCATTTTCAAATGTTGAGGCTTCTTCTTTTTTTTCCTTTGTAGTCCTCAGACAGTGGGAGTTATCATTCGTCTTGACAGGGACATGTTTTCAGTGTTGAATCAGCATGGAAAAGTAAGTTTTAAGATCGCATTTTTATGGCCAACTCGTGTCTACGTTTACTCACCTTTATGTGTCGTATCCGAGCGGAAATTGCTGATTCAAGTCTCAACAAACTGGCTTGACAAAAAAGGTTGTCCAAAGTAAATCGGATGATCTTAGTTGGTAGCATGTTGTATGGTTTTCAACTATCAGGGCTCCAAGCTCCACTTTTTTTCCTCAGAGTCGCCAGTTAGCGACCTAAAATTTTGATATGGAGGCTAAAATATTATTTCAGTCGCCAGAAAAAAATAAAAGGCATTTTGCGCTATGTTACATGACATACTAAACTGCAAGCCACACCGCTTGTGTTTCGATGAGGATGACATGCGTTTCGGAAATTCACTCATCATTCCAAGGCTCAATACTCAGGTCACAGAGGCAAAAAGAGAACTTTAGTTTTTCTTGTAGAATGAAACGATGAAGCATGAGTAATGTTTTTTTTAATGAAAATATTTACCTCTCTTGGCTTCAGACCATAGAATACCAAATTGTGAAAGGGTTACAACATACTTCATGGCCGCTAACTCACGTCGACAAATTGGGGCCTTGTATAACAAATCTAGTTGCCAGGTTAATCATATGAGAAAAATGTCCTTCGCTGCTCCCAATTTTTAGGTTATTCAAGTAAAGCACCAGGCAGTGGGAAGAAGAAGAGAAAACAAAAACGCTGTAGCATTGGATTCTGAACAGGTAAACACTGAGTCATGTTGTAAAGACATTTCAGAAAAACCAAACTAAAAGTACTTTTATCATGTAGCTTGTTACAACAATTGCAATCATCATGACAACCAGTACTTCAATGTTATCAGCAGTGTACTCGTCGTGTAAGAATAATGAGACAGACTATGTGCTTTCTGCGGAGAGTGTCATTTTTCTCGCGCTACTTTGTAGTTTCCCATGTAAAGAAAAGTTAGGTGTTGTTTTAGGCGCTAAATGCTAAAGAGACAATGGCACGGCCTTAAGCACGGGTAGAGGGGAGTTTTTATCAGTATACATTATGGTATTTGCTCTTATAGGCGATAATTAAATATATATTATTTTTGTTTTCTTATTTCTCTAGAACACTGTTCAAGTCCGAGACATAGTGAAAGTCACTGAAGGTCCGCATGCTGTAAGTAACCAACATTTACCTGATATTTGAGTATTATACTCGATACTTTCTCTGAACAGGAAGGCTTAAGGCTTATCTCTCAATATAAAATCTTAATTTTCTTTTCAGGGTCTGCAAGGAGAGATCAAACATCTTTACCGCAGTTTTGCCTTTTTATCCTCCAAGATGGTCATTGAGAACGGTGGAGTCATTGTATGCAGGACGAAACATCTTGTTCTGGCGGGGGGTGGAAAGGTAATAACTTGTCGCACGCAGCATGCGGCGTAATCGTGGGAACTTGAATAGCATTAAGAGAGATATTTGTGAGAGAAAGGGCTAGGATGAGAAAAAGGAAAGAGATGAAATGGAAATTTCCAATTATTTTTATGTCCTTACCTTTATCCTAGGCGGCTTCAAATACGTTAGGAATCAGTGGATTTGCCCCAGCTTCACCACGAATAACGAGTCCCGCCAGAGAAGGAGGTGAGTGTTCACATACACTCTATGTCTCTTTTTGAGTTAGAAGTGCATCTGAGGGAGAGCATTTCGATTGAGTAGTGGGAAAATGAAAACATAAGTTAATGCAACGGCCCGTCAAACCAAAAAAAATTTATCCCAGCGCCCTGCAAAGGACTCGAAGAAAGGAACAAACAAAAATTGCCTGGCAGGCAGAAAAATGCCATTGATCAAGTCCCGATAGATTTTAGTTTTGCATCAGATTGGCCTTGAGGGTAGTCTTAGAGGTTCCAATTAAAACCGGGTACCGCGGGCCTTTAAGACCTCTTACCGCCGTCTTTTTAGCTTGTGAGGCTAAAAAGGGCTCTCGTCTTTAGATTCTCTTTACGGCCCTTTTCCTGGGCACAGCTGCCTATTACACCATCGGCGGCCGCTTGTGGAAAAATTTATTGAAAGTCTTGGGTAATCTCCTTTGTAACTGTTTTCAGAGTTTTCAGAGGTGTTACAAAACTCTCTCTCTCTCTCTCTCTCTCCCCCCCCCCTCCCCATCCCCCACCGGAAAAAAGGACGGCCTTGAAGGACACTACCTTGAGGATGACGCAAAAATTAAAGAAATCCTGGATTCCAGTAGTCACTCAATTTTAAAAATATTGCTCTGATGACGAGCTTTGTTGTTTAGCTGGCGGAGGTGGTGGTGGCGGCCGAGGTGGACATAGAGGAGGCATGGGTCGGGGACGTGGCCGCGGAGGTCGCGATATGTCGCTGATTTCCAAGACTGTTCGAATCTCACAAGGGCCATATAAAGGTAAATATCTTAGGCTGTTAAAAAGCGTGAATGTTCTGCTTTTTTAGCTTGATGATCGTTTGTTGAAGTTGAAATCATTTAAGGGCCCAGCGTGACTCGAATTTCTAAAACTGTGGTTGATTGAGCGCCGGAACATTCCCTAAGACGAGTTTTATTTAGTATCGTAAATGTCGAAGTTGGTTGAGCTCGTTTATTGCTTAACTCATTTACGAGTTCTCTGTAGTCCAGAGGTGGAGTATCAGCCGCAAAATTAGAAAGTCACAAGTCCGAATCTTGGTGGAGACTCAGGTGTTTTCTTTGCTCCACGCACGAAATAACTGCCTAACATCATTCTCTATTGGAAGACCTTGCTCAAAACGTACAACCTTTTTAAATCTATTTACACACAAACAGTGCTTTCAACATTGTTGATCCTAACTGATTAAGGTCGCCTACTAATGTGTATTAACCTTGTAAATGAACTAGTTCATCATAGAGTTCTCTGGAACTCAGTTGTAGAGCATCGAAACGCTAGATCGAAGGGGTCAGATTCAATTTCTATTGGGAGACTCGTATTTTATATTTTTCCCGCGCACATGAGCAATGAGTTGAACATCTTCCTTTTTACTACAATACAGCAGCAGGCCGATTGGTGAAAAGAGCTAAATTCTAGTCAAATCTGGTTCTTGTTTGACGTTGAAAATAAGCTACTTGATGAAATTGTATGTTTGCATGCAGGATATGTTGGTATCGTGAAAGATGCTACAGAAACTACTGCTCGGGTCGAGCTTCACAGCAGCGTAAAGACGATTTCTGTCGACAGAATGAGACTCACTATCGTTGGGTAAGCTAATAGCTTCATCATGGTTTGTGCATGTTCTTGCATCTTCGTCATTGACAATCCGTGTCCACCCTGGCCAATTTTGGCCAACTTTGGCCATCCTTGGCCATTCTTGGCCATCATTACTCTCTTGTGGTTCACCGTAAATGTTCCAGTAAGTTTTTGGTGCTGAGCATTGGTAAAGAGATGGGCCTCAAAGAGGGGGGGATCGCTGAATCGTTTATGGTATTCGTGCTTTTTGGTGTTTAATTATTTAATTTTTGAAGGTTTCTGTCAAATTACCAATATTTTTCATCGACTAAGAGAAATACTCAGAAGTAGAGAATATCGAGAGGTAGCTTCCTTAAAATCGCCGACAATGCTTCAGTGAATATATGCTTATTTTGTTCAATTTTTTGAGCTATGGCATTGGACTAAATTGGAAATAAGATCCTTTTTCGGATCAGTCTGTACCGAAGTGATTCCTGTCTTTTGTCCAACATGTAGGGTAATTGTACTCAAACATCATGTCCATTAAAATTCTTAGACAAATGGTAACATGTCATCTTATTTCATTTCCAGTGGTCGACCCAGCCAAGGCAGCTCTGTTTACAAGAGTACTCCTATGTATGGCTCCCAGACACCAATGTACGGTGCCCAGACTCCCATGCACGGCTCACGGACGCCCATGTACGGTTCTCAGACCCCAACTCATGGAGATGGTATGAGACCTAATATATAAAGCTCAGACTTAATTTTTTTCCTCATTAGATACTGAGCCATACTACTGCTATTTCCCTATTCTCTGATTGTAGGAAGCCGCACGCCACATTATGGCTCAATGACGCCTTCGCACGATCCTTCGCGCACTCCGCTTCACGGAGGAGCCTGGGATCCCACGCAGCCAAATACTCCAGCGCGCAACGATGACTTCGATTACAATTTTGACACGTCTACCCCTTCCCCTGGGGTAAGTTTTGTCCTCACTCTTGTGTTTCCTCTTTGGAATGGGACTTTCTTGTACGTTATTGATGACATTCTTTAGCGTTTTGCACCACATCTAATTGAAGGATAATTTTTTCGCCATGGGATGAACCAAGTTTCTGTCCCGCCATTTGCATTTCATGGAAAAATGAAAATGTGTTTACTTTCTCGTGATGCAGGTCTATGGAACTCCCAACCCAGCAACTCCAGGGGGATACGGCGGCCCGTATACTCCCAATACCCCCGGTGGTGGGATGTATGGCTCGGAGCCCACTTACTCTCCGTACACACAGACCCCATCTCCGGCCGGATTTGGTAATCCCATGACCCCTGGGAGTATTGCTCCAATATCACCGGCATTTAATCCACACACCCCTGGGGCCGGCATGGAAGAGTCGCACGCTGACTGGGTCACGACTGATATCGAAGTGCGAATTAATGAAAACCACGAGGTAAGTTTCAGTTTCACGCTTTGGTGTTAATTCAGTCAGTATTTCGATCAGTTAAAGGGAGTTCTCGTAGTCTACACTTAAACTAACGTCTGTCAATAAAACCAATATCAGAAGGTCGTTTCATGTGAAATTTAAAATTTAAGCAACGCCTTTTCTGCTTTGGGGATTATGTCAATGATTAATTTTTCGTTTCATTTGCCTTTCTGGAGAATGGTGTATTTGTGTTAGAAAAACAGGATAAGCACCTACATCCCCTCACAAAATATTACGCTAAAAACCCACAAAAACAAAAATAAACATGGTTGACGCTCATTTTAATTAATTTTTGTGCCAAGGACCCTCAGTTGATGGACAAAAAAGGCGTGGTCAGAACTGTGTCGGGAAACACGTGCACCGTGTATCTGTACGACGAAAAACGGGACGTCAGTGTTTCAATTAACAATGTGGACCCTGGTCAACCAGCTAAGCAGGATAAGGTATTCTTCGATCATCTTTTCATTTACTGATGCATACTGACTTGATTTGATAATCTGAAGGTAAAAATATCATAACTATTTTGCGTAGATCAGAGGTTTAGGTAGTCACGTCGTGAACTGTAGAGGCATACCTTGACAGAGACGCCCAACTCCTGACTTTTGCAAGACTCTTCAAATCACTTCCACTGATGTCTAAACACAGGCCCATCATCCACGGCCAACAGACTTCAACATAAACAAACAAATTTCCAATTCATTCTGTGGTAGATTTCTGCTCAGATTGTCTAGTTTGCATTGCTGGCGGTTTTAGGGCGCTCGATGAAAATTATGGCGGCACCGCTCATATATCGATTGGCGGAATTTTGAGATTTTTCGATCCCATGCCTATTGCGGCTTTGCCGCCTAACGTTTCAAATCACTTACAAAAGTGCCAGCTACACAGGCGAAGGTTATTTAATGACCAATGGGAGTCGTCTTCTGGACAAATTTAATTGAATGGTATCGCGTGACCCTATCTCATTGTTTACAGGTGAAAGTCATCTTTGGAGACGATCGTGAACGCATAGGAACTCTGATCAACATCGACGACCCGGATGGGATTATTAAGATGGAACAGACAGAGCAGCTCAAGATTCTACCGCTCAAATTTTTAGCTAAAATTGGACAAACCGTTTGAGCTCAAATTTATAATCATTATGTTCATTGCACTCCCTTGTATTGTGAAATGGAGTTTAAAATGTGAAATGGAGTATACATCTAAACTCAGGCGATTGGGATCACACAGGAAAGGGAAGTCTGATAAACTGTAGCTTTATTTAGATGTCAGACCGAAATAACCAAATAAAGGTGTTTCTTTAATGAATACTTGTAATTCTTGTTCAACTATCTTAATAAAGTTGTCATTCAGTGAAAGGTTTATGTTGTTATTTATGCTTTGTTTGTCCGTAAGTTTGTTAGTAAGAATTTATTTCAAGTAAACTTACTTTTACAGACGTTACGATTCTTGCTCTGTGTTTTACTTCAGAGTAAGTCTTATTTATGTTGCCTTTTGTGATAAGCCTCAGAACGGTTACAAATAAGAGAACAATTTACACCCCGGTAATGCAAATCAAGTTTGGAGTGAAACGGAGGAAAGGAGGATCGGAAGCCTTGGAGAGAAGGGGGCGAGGGATGGTAAAGCAGGGAATAAGAGCGGGAGTGTCTCCGTTTGATTCAATTTTGGCGGGTGCCAAGTTGCTGTTTTAAATGTTCAAATTGGAATAAATTCTGTCTTCAGTAAAAAGTGAGAACAAATCCGAGAATTCTTCGCTGAATTCACAACAGCTTCACTTGTTTCTTGTCATTATATTTTTTTTCCTTTCCTAAAAAAGCGATTCTCTTGAGCCGTTTGATTCAAGAATAACTTTAATAGATCGCATTTGTCAGGGTTTTTTCTTTAATTCAGCCATTATTCTCTTCGACTCCTGATTGTCTCAGCATATATTGATTAAATTCACTGGACCTTGAGATATTCATGTAGCTAGCTTAGTTCTCAAGGTGTCCAACTAAAGTTAAAAGTGAATTGCAATCCATTTAAATACAAATCTCCTTATGGAAGGGTGAATTACAAAATGTGTGAGGATTTATGACAATTCCAAAAGATTAGAGCCATAAACAAAATAATATTCAACTTTGCGGCGTCTTCTGATTGTTTTGACCTGTTAGCGGTTTAAAGACACGATGCGCATTGGTCACATAAGAACGAGGTAAGTGGGCACATGCACGAGGCATCCTATCGCGCATGCTTCCCTCGATGTAAACAATAGATTTGACATTACTTTATTTCATTCCTGCAGTTGATGAGGCCTTCTTAGGAGCGGCATTGGAGCTGTCGTTGTTCTTTCAACTCTAAGAATGGCAAAGCTTAAAACTAAGATAGCCATCTTAGCTGTACTAGGTGTTGTTTTAGCAGTGTTTTATCCGAAGATCAAAGCGGTGTACGGGAAACATGTAAAACCTCATGCAGACATAGCCGCGAATGTTGTTAAATTCATCAAAGATTTCCACATTTTTGGCTATCACATCCCGTGGAAATATGTGCTTCCTGGATTTGCCATATTTGTTGCCATTCAGCTGTTTAGGGTAAGTATCAATTGTAAAACATTTTACGGTTTTTGCTCTTTCCTGTAACCGTTTGACAGTACCAGCTTTATAACAACATTTTCATTGAATTGAATAAATAACCTAAATTGAAACGCAGAAAACAGCATTAAACCTTTAATTTCTGAGAATAATGAAAGCAAAATGTGGATTTTTTTAGTGTTGATATTCTGCAAAGATGGAACTCCTAATTGTGTTAATCGGAATGTTTTTGTGCGGCATTGACTAGACGAGCACCTGCTAATAGCGTTGTTGAAGATTGTGTACGGTGTTAACATAATTTTCTCAGTTACGACGTAAGTCAATTTTCCTGACTGAAATATTTTGTACAAAATTGCCTTGTCTTTTTTAAGAATATGTTCCCAAAATGGTCGGCATTCGGAAATATAATGTTTTATTGGTGAATAGTTAATTTCAAGTTTTTCTTTGGGCAGATATTCTAGGGTGGGGTAGGCTGTGAGGAAAAATGATGTTTTGGAATATGTTTATTTTAAGATTTAATTTACCTCTCGAATTGAAACGTTAGCTTTAACTTTTAAGGCAAACGTGAGATGAATTGGAGAAGTCTTGTTCCCATCCTGTTATTTCTTAAATATTACTTGAGTAAACCTTTAGTGAATAATTAAGTACAACTTTTAAATTTGAAGCACAGGCCACACCTTGGATTACTACTAGTGTTTGTGTTTTTGTAGTCAGGACAGGTACCTGAATACTTCCTATGGGTTTGGGAATAATTTACATTTTTGTATTGTACAAAGTTCACTCAAAATGCTTTTAATATTCCATCTTCTGGTTTTGAAAAAATTTTAAGGACCTTAAATAACAGAGAATTGAAGGATTTGAAAAGAAGCCAATTATATCAAACCTTTTTTTTCAGATATTTTCTAAAATTTTTGTAAATTATGAACAAAGTAATATGTTTGATAAGATTACCATGTCAGACTCTCTTCTATAACTGACTTGGGAGTAATTATCTTTTTTTGTGATAATAGAGGAGACGTAGGCTAAAGAAGCTTGCAGAGGAACAGAAGAAAAAAGACCAAACCTTTATGACTGAGGAGGAAGGTAATGAGACAGTTTTCATTGTTTCAACATTGTTTCTGGTTTTTTGTTTTAGTTAGTGATTGTAAATCAGTTTCCCTTTTATCACTTTCCCTTACTTCTGAAAACAGTTGTTTAATGCTAAAATCAGACCTCTTTAATAAAACATTTATGTGATGCTTAAACCCCACCTTTAAAACCCTGTAGGTTTTGTGAAAATTTAATCAACTCTGTGTGGAGTCTTTTCTATCCAGCAAACTCATCAGGCATTTGGCTATTAATACCAAACAGTTCTGTAGTTGATAACTTTATAATGTAAATGATTTTAAAATTTTTTGTAAATGCCATTTTGCAAATGGTATTTTTTCATAATGACTTGTGTACAAATAACTATTTCATCAGTGTAAATTATGATTCTATGCCAAGCCTGCATTCCCCCTGCTATTCATAAACATGATAAATCCCTTGCATCAGTCAGCAGGTTTGTCCAGTTGGATACAAATTATAGCATCAAAAATGCACTATTCTTCTTTTTGTTGTATCCAAAAAATACTGAGTATGGTGGTGTCTTTTTCACTGAAAACTATCTTGGAGATTGTGAAATGTCGTTTTGCACGTCCATTTCTTGAATTTTCATTTTGAGATGTTCAAATCAAATATGTCAAGTTACTTAAAACAGCTATCATGGTTTGTGGTATGCACTTCCAACTTTTTTTATAACCTTTAAATATACTTATATATAAATTTTTTTAATGCATGCACTCTTGATTGATAATTTATTTTACAATCTTTGAATTCATAAGCAGTCACAACCACTACTAACTGTTAAACAATACTTACAGTTAAATTAAGGAACCTTGCTTGTCTACTGCCCTAAGTCACATGTATACTTCTACACACCGGGAAACACTTGAACATCAGACTTGTTACTTTTGCTGGGATTTTAGCTGATAGAGTGGCAGGGTGAATGTATGGCTTTCCTCTAATCAACTGTAACATTAATCCTATCATTTAAAATCCATCTTTTAAACTTGCTGATAATTTTCTCTTAATCTCTCATTGCATTTCTTCCATTTATTTTTATTTGGTCTCCTCGCCAAAGTTGTAATAACTGTCTCATCTCTAAAATTGTACATCTGACTCTTCAAATTTAACCCAAAAACCATCAGTTTACTTAAAAATTCCCATGTCCTGTCAGCGACACACTTACAAAGATGGTCAACTTTTAATACTTAAGTAAAATGTCTGAGAAAAGTTCTGTCCCTTTCAGCACGTCAAGTGCATACCACAAACCATGTCCCAAAACCTGAGAGCCTTGACATCAAACCGGCCTGCAACCAAGCAGACCTGTCAATTGTTGGAAACCGTGTACGGACATACTTGTATTGGCCTTCAACAAGCTCAGTTAATGTTTTTGAACTAGCAAGAGCTGGCTTTGTGTTTACCGGTATAGACGATATTGTAAAATGCTTTAAGTGTCAGGGCACCCTTAAAAAATGGAAGCCCGGAGATGATCCCTTGGAGGGTCACAAAGAGTTCTATCCTGATTGTCCACATGTTGTGGCTCTTGAAGAAGTAAAAAAGCCAATTAATACTGAAACCCAACTGGAAGACCTGCTAACTGTTTGTGATGGAGTAAGCCATCGTCTGCAGCAGTTGCGTGCAATTCAGAGTAAGGCAACTGGAGTAGAGCCAGGTATGGAAACTGCTCAAGTATGTTGTCTCTAAGTGAAGCCAGTGTCCCCAGAAATGCCCTACTGTTAGCAACTGTGATAAGCAATCCTGGACAAAATTTATCGTAGTTTTGTCAGTTAGGGTGAATCAGAACTGGAAAAAAAGTAGTAGGGGTGGATGAAAGAGGACTTAACCCTTTACACCCTAACATCAGTATTAATATTCTCCATAATGTTCTCTATACATTTCCTGATGTGCTGGCAGGGAGAATTTGTTTAACAATTAAGAGGTTCTTTGGTCCTCCTTTCCTTTACTCTCATGACCTTAATATTTGATTCATGGGTGATATTGAAAGGAGAAATTAGATGTTAGTCACTCTTAGGGATCAAAGGGTTAAGACTGAAGAACATTTTTTTCCCTTAAACTTCTTTTGTTTTAATATTTACTAATAGTTAATTTCTTGAGCACATATTCATTATTCCACAGCTAAGAAGCATCTAACAGAGTTGCAGAAGCGGTTAGACACTACAGAACGCACAATGCACCTTGTTATGAAACAGATGGAAGCTGTAACTAAGTGTCTGGCTAAAACACTGGCTGACGATCCAGCTATGAGTGGTGATAAATCCTTAGCAGAGATCACAGAGGGACTTGTCAACTTAAAAGAAAGCAATGTTTGATGGGGTTCATTCTGTATTCGAACACTACAGAGCACTTGCACTTCTTAAAGTTCCCCTCACTAGTGAAATAGCCTTTTTAGGAAATGATTGCAGGCATGTACTGTGATTGGCCAGATATGGCAGAGCTCTTTCATTGTCAATAAGTGCAACTATGAAAAATAATTTTGCAAGATAAATTTCCCTAAAAATTTTGGGTACAATAACAAATAGGGATGACAGAAAGAACTTGCTAATTATAATAAAATCACATGAGAAGTAATAGTGCCAAGGGTGTCAGATGGCTCCTATTGCTGATGAAAATTAATTTTGAATGAAAAAGGAACTTTTTTATCACTGAATACATGTAAGAAATAAGAAAATACACAGAAAATAACTCTTTTATTGTCAAATAATTGGTTATTATTAGCTTGTTGAACATGAAATGAGGATACTGGTTGTCCAAATTTGTGCAAATTCAAAAAAGTTTGAAATAACATCAAATGAGTATTGAAAGGTTTTTGTCAAGCTGTAATGCATCACAGATTTATCTGACTATTTATTTCAAGTTATCTTATTTATGCACAGCAGTAGCTAAGTTATTTATTATCTAGTATGTGTAAAGACTAAACAGTTGTTTATTGAAAATAGACATCATGTAATGATCTTATATTATATAGATATTATTGTATGAAATATAGGGGAGACAACAACTAAAATTTTACCCTTTAATTTTGCCACTTAAAACATTTGGCACTCAGAATTTGTCAGACTATAGGTTAAGTCCATTTTTATTCAAATAATATCAATATGGCCTTGGTTTTCTGAAAAAAAAAGTAGTTTGTAAACATTTTTGAACCTGTTGTCATTGATTGCTCATAGTTAAAGATTTCAAATTTTGGTCCAGATTTTAAATTATAACTTGATGTACAGCTGTTTCAGTTCTTTTACATTTCCATATTTGTCTTAAAAATTGCTGGTTTTGGGCACGGAAATTTTTATGAAAATAAAATATGTTTAAAGTATATCCTTATGTGTGACTCAAAGTACATTGTGGTGTAACTCCTGTTTGGATTGTTTGTGAGTCAGTGATAACAATCTCATGCTGAGGTTTGTGGAAAACTTTTACCCCTTTCACTTCCAAGATCTCATTAGTAAATCTCTTTTACTGTCTGCCATACAATTCTTATGATGGTGGTTCTCAGAATTTGGTATTGGATCAACTAATAGTCCCCTAGTTGATATTTTTCTTTATTCTCAACATTTGTCTGCTTGACAATGGACTGATGTTGTAAGGAGATGTTCTATTCTGGTTATGGGAGTTAAGGGGTTTAGTGTTTTTTGGGGTAGACTGCTATTTTCTCATTTGACATTGAAAGATTTGGAGAAGTTTATGTTGGGTCAGAGGTAATCCTTCATTCCAAATATCCCTTCTTACAGAAACTTGGATGATGGTGATGTCCACTCAAATAGTTGACACCAGACTATCTTTGGTTGCCTCTGTCAGAGCATATTTCCTTACTTCTGTATACCATTTCTCCTTACCCATACTCCAAAGAGGTGGCTTATTTGAACAGAATTGATGAAAATGGTGCAAAAAAAACAAACTTCTAAGAAATTAAATTTTAATGTTGTTATCTCAACTTACACTTTCCATTTCATAGCAATTCAATACATTTAAAATATTTGAAGACATTTTTATCTGATTCCATATTTCATTATTTAATTTTTTTGTTTGATTTCTATTTTCTGATTACATATCAGCTATTTGATACTTAAAAATATACTTTGATTTTTCATTTTTGAATGGACAAAAACATGTTTTCTCTTATGTAACAAGTTGTACTAATATAGCATAAATATCTGTTTGAAACTTGAAACCATCAGCCATCAGGACTCCAGACAACTGGCTCTTGCATGCAATCCATGATCAATCCTTCATGATCTAATGGTGCATAAAACTGTTAACCTTTCAACTTTCACCTTCTGATTCATTCAGTAATTTTTCCTACTACATGTTGTATCTGCTGTAAAATTCCTTGGAAAGTGGTACTGAGAATTTAGTCTCATTAGGAAATACCCTGTCTAGATGATGATTTTGTTGATTCTCATCACTTGTGTGCTGGAAAATGTGTTAATTTTGTACAGAGAAGTTACATGTAAATCAGTTCAGAAAGTTTTAAGGGTTAAGAGGCTAGTGCTGTCACTGCTTAACTTGTTTCTGCCTCCCTTGAGGACAAAAATTTCATTCAAAATGTTAGAGCTGATGTTCAAAGTTAAACCTAATTGATGCAATCTACTGGTACATCAATTCCAGATTTACAAGAAAAAAAATCAACTTTCTTTTTTTGGGTTGCAGTAGAACATGAGATATTTTGGGCTTTGTTTATGGGCAAATGGGCATGAAAAGGAGACTCCCTTTATGAAAAAATTGAGACTTGCACCCATAATAATTGGGCTTGAAGAATAAAATGAATCAGGGAAAATTAGAAAAAAAAAGGTGAATAATTATAAAGTGTTAATTTGTCGTCAGTAAGATCAGAGAACAGTTGTTTGTGCTTGATGTTAAAAAGGCAAAATCATGACTGGATTCAAAATTCAATCAACACAATACTTTGGTTCTAGTATGGTTGTCACGAATCTAGGCATGCATAATTTAAAAAGCAGAGATCTCAACAGGTTAAGCTTTGAAATGCTTCAAATGTGTAATTCAATGATGCAAAGCATCCCACATTTTCTTGGTTTCCAACATAGCTCTTGGGATGTCACTGTAGTCCAACAAGTCTGCATTCCAAATGGCAATGCCAGTCAAATTTTCCTTAGCAGCAAAATCATACTTTATTTTCAAACTGTCAGGATTATCAAACCAAACCTGGTGTTTTCCACCCACACTGTCCTCATAGTTGAAAAAGTATGACTCAGAATCTTCATCCTTCTGGGGACCAGAGGATGCTCTGCTGACAGACAGGTCCATAATTTCTGCATACTCAATCTGTCTGCCAGCAGCATCACTGCAGTTTACTCCTCGGAATGGAACATGCTTAATCTTGCAGATCCTGTTGTCAACCAGTTCCAAACATGGGTAGTCATACCCATACCATGGTAAGCCAAGCACCAGTTTCTCTCGTCTGATTCCAAGACTTAAATATTCTTCCAGTGCTGGAAAGTAAGGCAAGAAAAAACAGGTCCTGATATCAGTACAGTTCCTTTGCACAATAAGAAATAAATTTGAAATTTATTTTGATTAGTAAAGGTCTGTTCATATCAAAATGAAAGCTTGCACTCTTTTTAAGTTACCTTCAACCAAGGTGATGATGTCAGATTGAAAAAACTGAGCTTTAAACATCCAGGCATTAAATGGTTAGCATAAAATTCCTTGCTCTACATATCTGGTACATCACCAGTGAAATATACTTGAATGACAAACTTTTTTACCAATGGCTTGAAAAAAATTTGGCCAAAATTTTCCAAGTTGGATTGTGGGCATTCACCCTTCCACATACCCTTTCAAATGGAAGGGGATTGAGGAAGGGTGAATTTGGTTGCTGTAGACAAAAAAATATGTACAGAATAAAAACTATTCAACCAATTGCAAAGGTTTGAGGGAGTGATTTACAATGTATACAAGAACTTAAATCTCAATTCTCCTCATTCTACAGCATGCTACAAAAATTTTCTCCAATTAAATAGGCAAGACATTTAATTTGTAAAAATTAAGCATTTACCAGCTTCTGTTTGTTTCAAGGGTGAGTTTGCCTTTGCTATGCAATCTCCAGTTTTGATCTGACTCTGCTCATCATATGCCATTACAACAAGAAAATCCACCACTTGAGAAAGAGCTTCTGCATCATAACATCGTCCATCAACACAGTCAGGAGACCACGCTACATCAAAAGATATCTGAAATGAACAATTAGAAACTGATCTACAGTTTCAAGGTAGTTCTAACTTCTTATGTTTATTTACCGGCAATGGGGTAACAGTGAAAAATCTTATGTATTATTGTCAATATCTTTATTATAAAAGTGATGGATTTATATGATTTGACTGCCAATGACTCTTTTGTCACCACAACTACTTGAGAACTTGCTTCTTGTAACGAAAAACTTGTCTGCTTGAGATTGTACTGATACTGTACAGAGAAATTCTATGTTGGTCATTCATGGGATTCAAAGGATTGAGCAGTATATTACTATGGACTAGCCCTAATTATGCTCCCAAAAAACTTGGCCCAAAGTGTTTCATTCATCGTGATGATTCATTTCAAGTGATTACCTGTGCATTTTTGACTGCAGCACGGAAGGCTGTTGCAGTTTCATTAACCAGCTTTGTGAGCAGTGTGACTTCCCTGGACCTCTTGGGTATTGGTGATTCAATATCAATATTGACTCCATCGGCACGCCGGGCCAAGGCTTCAGTAGTTAGGTTCTTCACCCACTTTGTCCTTATTTCCTTGCTGCTAAGTTTTTCTGTCGGAAAATTTGCTGCCAAAACAACTCGTACTCCCTGGAAATTAATGCCACAGTAATACATAAGGTATATGACTTGTTAACATTCCTGACCAAATAGCTTGTGCCACCATATCTTATTGCACTGCATTGTATCTCAACCCTTGAGGGCATAAATTCTCTACAAAACATATTGGGAACTAAAATGTTTCAAAAAACACATATCCAAGGTAACCCAATCAAAATTCAACAAGTGCATTTGATTTCTGGATCAAAAACAGTTGGTTAGAAACACAACTTCAGGTTTTTGGCTCTTGTATAGGAATTTCTGTTAGCACATTTTTCACTTAAAATGCTTCATGCAACGAAATACTTGTGAACAAGCAAACAAGGAAAAAAAAGTTGCTATTCCACACTAAAGCTTAGCGAGTTTACCACACCATTAGGCTGGACACATGCATTGTTGCTATATCAATAAATCAAATAAAACGGCAAGGAAAACAGCTCGACCTGCCTCACCAAAAGTATATGTATGTATATGTGTACAATGAAATTGAAAAATGAAATTAATCAAATTAAGTAAAGGAAATAAGTTGATCGAATAGAAGAAATCCAAGTTTTCTCAACGTGTTCAACCTTGTTACGGTTAGAGAACCATTCTAACGCTTGGTGATGTTTAGATTCTCGGAAAATTCCATGCAAATGAAGTCACAGCCTGTCATATCCCTCGGAACATGACCCGACAAGTCTTTGTCCTAATAAAACGCTTCCTTGAGTTTCTTATCCTATTTTTTTTGGAGGTTTAAAAAACTCCATGGGCAATCAATTAAATAAATCGCTCCAATACTTACTCTCTTGTGAGCTTCGCACATCAGTTCATCATCCCATGGTCGAAACAGTGCAATCGTCGTCACTTTTCCCCAATCGTATTTTCTCCAATCGTTCGGCTTAGTGGAAAACATTAGGAATTCTTTTCCTGGCGGTCTTGAGATTGTGTCGCATAATGACGGATCTTCACAAGGGCATTTTCCGCTAACAACGACAGAAATACCACTAAAAAGTAGGACGACGAAGGCATACCACCAGGCCGCCATGACTGAGTTTGACAGGGTCAAAGTTACTAGTCGAGATTTCAGATAGACAATGGGAGACTGGAAACGAGGAAAGGAATTTTTTTTTCCTGTGTCATATGATCGTCATTTGGTAATGACTTCTCAAGCGTGAAATTTAAGGAAAACAAATGTTTACTCCCAGAAGTCGGCCAAAATTTGCCAAAGGGGCAGCAAAGGGTGATATTTGCTCAGGTTACTGGTTCCATTCCAATATTATATCAATGTACCTAACTGTTTACTACGTATTTCCTTCCGATCTTAGTCGAGTTATATCTAACTGCGCTGCTAAAAGTAAGCATCCTAGCGATTTTAAGTATGCCTGGTTATGAAGCAGGGGTCGAAGGATTCTGGTAACGTCACGATAAAATTAACCTGATCCTTCCACAAGGCTCTGTAATATTATAATGATCCCCCCCTACGAATAAGGGAGGTTCAATTTGTGCTTCGATTGTGCGACTTTGATTATTACCAGCGTGCTTTCTGGGGGAGGATTATATACGCGGTGTGTACTAAGCGGATTTGGGCATAGATACTCAAGTTAACCTTTAGTACGCTGCCAAGAGTAATCATGTGACATCTTCTCTTTGCACTGTCTTCTTAAAGCTTTGAATTCTCACCAATGGTAAAGTATCAGTGGCCGGAAGTTCTTACTTTTAGCCATAAGATCGTTAATTGTGTTTTTGAAAATGTTTTGGTTGATGGGAGTAAGATCTTTGTCAACAGTTTTCCATTAAAACAGGTGTTAGAAAGCTGCAAAACTTCTTTTGGGTAGAGGTCGGCCCGCCAAACAACGACTGCCACCAACACACCCCTCCCCTCCCGCCTCCCTAGAATTGGATAATTTCTGATTCCGCCCGTCGAGTCTACATGGTTAGTTTGCATTAGCGGTTGTCTTCAAACGTAGTTTCAGACTTCAATCCCGACGGAGGTGCTTTCACTTGACGCTCTTCAACATGAACGGCTATCTTCTATGCATTTTGCCATTGTTCGCTTTACCTAACGGTAAGTGAATTGTCGCTTGAATTTGCATTGAATTCTTGCGATAGTTAGTTAGTTAGTCTGGCAAGTTATGGTAATACTTGAATTATGACCCAATTGTGGCAATTAGTGTACAAAAGAGTTTGCTTTCTGAGTGTTGTTTAGACTCAGAGTAGCAATTGAGCCAAAACTGGTTATCTATACTTCCAACAAAATGTCAGAAAAGCGATTGAGCTCAAACTAATCAAAGATTAATTTTCAGCCGTTTCGTTTAATAATTATCGGGTGTGAATCTAATCTGCTGGAACGGTAGCAAGTGTATTTATAAATTGGCTCGCGTCTGCAAAATGAAAAATAACATCGCATCGATCTGTGGCTTTTTCTCCTCTACTTGTCTTAAGAAAACTATCTTTAGGCGATCACACTCGTCAGAGAAATGCGTCCAAGAAGAAGATAATCAGTGTGCGCGATAGATTATGGTTGTTAATAGGCTCCGTTTATAACGATTGCCGATCTACATGGCTTTGATAGTTTAATAGTAGACCTGTGTTATTTAGTTTTCACATAAACCTTGGTTTCCACTTGGGGCGTACGGTTAAGTAGTTGGGGGCCAAGGTGAGGAAGCATGCCGTTCTTTTCTTCCTCCATGGTGAATTTGGCATTTGGCGCCATATAGACTCCTAAAGGTCGGTTCCTATCGCTATTTTTTATGTGTTTATGTGTAACTAAATTATTGAAAAGGAAATGGCAGATATTTTCTAGGTTTAAGGCTCCGAAATTTGTCCAATCCAAAGTCTTTGGGAATGTTTGCTCATGTTGTGTAGGTCTTTCGTTAGTTCGGCTAATATCGGAAAATTTCCGAGTCACACTTCGGCCTTTCGGGTCAACATCATCAGTTTACATTAGCCGTGTTGTCGAAGTTCAATTCCCGACAGCAGTGCTTTCAGTAGACGCTCTTCAAGATGAACGGCTATCTTATGTGCATTTTGCCATTGTTCGCTTTACCAAACAGTAAGTGAATTGTCGCATGAATTGAATTCTTGCGATAGATATTTTATTCTGGCAAATTTTTGGTAAAGTTTAAAGTATGGCAACGCATGAAAGGGTTTGCTAAACAATTGGGAGTGTTGTTTAGACTAGAACTCAGAATAGCTGACTCAAGGTAATCCATAGTCCAAAAAAAAGGGGTTGTAAACAAAGTAATCAAAAGTCGATTTTCGCTGTCGCGCTGTTCAACGTTGGTTTTTTGATAACGAGTGTGAACTTTGAATCTCGCCGACTTCACGGGTGTAAATTGACACAAAGAAAATATTTTTATGAATAATTTTATTTAACCACGATAAAATATTCAGCATAGCTGGTGGGTATTTTATCGTGCTTTATTCGTAAAAAAAAATACATTCCTTCGTGAACGGCTTCTGAACGACTTACTTCTGTAGACTGGAAAGTTAGATTGCATTTGATTTTTGCAGTTGATGCAGACCTTTCATTGTTCGTCTCTACCTTGTAAAGGTAGTGATGTTTACCACTCCTCATTCATTAGAGGCGAATTTCGTGCGAACAATCGATTCAATTCATGCCAGTTGGTGCCTTAATTATGCAAGCTGAAAACACAGCGCACATTTTTAAGGGCTCTGTCTGATCTTTGAAGGTATCTATTTTGTACATAACTATCTAAGATTTCCAGTAGTGTTTTACACAGTAATTTTTCAGGTTTTTTACCCAATTATGCTTATTTCACTACTCACTTCGCACAGAATTGCTATAATCCTACCGTCTTCATGGAGTTGACAGAAAAAAAAAACAGCAAGAGTGCTGTGTTACGGTTTAACGAGAAAATATTTGGCAAAAGCAGGGATGAATAAAACACTTTGGTGTTCGCAAGGAAGATCGGAATTAATTTACGGCATGCTTTGTTCGTTGATTTCGCCTCTATGTAAAACCGCATAATAATCGAAATTGACATCTACCAGAAATGAAGGTAATTAAGGCAAATAAACTGATGCGCTATCATACGTTAAAGGATACATGAAATTTTAACGACCTCAGTTGTGAAAAATATTAATTTTATTTCGGGCGGAGTATCCTCTTCTTTTTCGAGCGCGAAAATGTTCAGCGTACAGCCAAATCACAATAAAATTGCCTTCTTCACAATATAAAGCTCTATCAGCTCAGGATCACTGTATATGTATGCAGGGGATACTACGGTCTATTGTATAGGGGAAATTGCAGACACAGCTATTGCACAGTTAAATGCAGCGCTGCAAGAGTTACATGCCTGGTACCTTAACAATCTTTCAACACTTCATCCATGGAATTGGAATATTATAAATTTTAAATTTTATCACTCTACCATATAGTAACTTAAACATATATTTTAATTATACATGTATTTAAATTTGATATTTGATATCTCTTTATATATCTAAAACTTTTAATTTAACTTTGTAGTTATTTTATTTTATGCACGACCCCACAAGCTACTAGCTTTAACTACTATCGTGTTAAAATAAAGGTTTGTCGTATCGTATCGTATCATCCAGGCAAGAGTGAGGTTATGTTACTCGGTAAAGGAACCCCGATGGGACCGATAGCTCTTGAGCTCTTAGGAAACTCAATTCTTACGTGGGTTACGAAAGCACGCTTGCTGGGCTTGACAGTTGACCAAAACTGAACTTGCTAAAACGGTACAGATTTCTCCCAGGAGACATATTGAAAGAATTTTATTTTAAAGTAATTTTGACTTCTGAAAATTGGGTTTAGTTCTGTGAGGATCTTGTAGTAATTCTGATATATTCGGTTCAATAGAAAGACTTCACTGCAGGGCAGTAAAAATTATATTTAAACCACCTAAAGATAAATCATATGACATCATCTGACGTGCTTGGATACGACCAGTCGCCTACACTTTCTTTGTATTATAAATTAGACATCTTCAAGCTTTTTACAACGGCTATAGTACCACTGTCCCCGACACACTGTCTGAAAAACATCCTTAAATGTCACTCAAATGGTTACTCTCTGAGGTGACGCTACCTTTTAACAGTATTCAGGTTCTAAGCAAGATACGTAAAAGACTCGCTCAAATATCGCGGTGCTGTGTTATGGAACACTATTTGCTACTATGAACAAGAAGTTGGACGCTCGAGTCTCAATAATCTGAAAAAAAAAATTAACACCTACTCACCAGAGACTACTTTAAGGAATTCAAATTTGACATACTTTCCGCTAGCTTATACATACCGATTATTTTGTTACTTAGAAGTCATAACATATGTCATTTTCTACTTTCAAATTCAAGTTATATTCACACAACGTTTGTACCGATTATTTTTTTTACTTAGAAGTCATAACATATATCATTTTCTATTTTCAGATTCAAGTTATATTCAAATAACGTTTAATTTTCCTTTTTTCTTCTCACGACCCCACGAGCATGTAGCTCAAAATATTATCGCGTATAAATAAAGGTCATCATAAATGTTATCAAAGCACAAGGACCAAACTGCATCATTTCGATTCCACTCTCCACAGAAAACCGACAAAAAAGTTCATTACGTTTTAGTGATATCGTTGTTGTTGGTTATTATCGAAGGCTTTTCCTCAGCGCATCCGTAAAAACATTGATATGCCATATTAAAATGAATCTTTCAAATTCAAATATGCCAAGTTTGGCTGACAAGTAGCTTGTCTTAGCAGATCTTCCCAAACAATTGTTGATAGAGAAAGTGCCTCTAACAGCGAATCGTCTAACAATGTGAAGAAAGCGAACAATCTAAGTATTGACAGTGTGATCTCCGGAAAAAAATAAAAATGGAGATGAAAATGTGCGAACCTCAATCCCTACGCTATCACATATTTCGCGAGAAGGTCATTTACAAAAAGATATTATGTAATTTTACGTCGTTACTGATTCTAATATAAGTAAGAGCTTCCCAAATATAGTTTGTACGATGGTCAATCCAGAATAATCTGAACAACGACGAAAGCGTGAAATTCTCAGTGATGGAGCATTAGCTTTAATCACGAATTTAATTAAGGGACAAACTCCATTGTCATCACCTTCGTGGATTTACTTTACCGAAAATGAATTAAAATACGAGAGAAAAAAAAATTCTGATTGGACGTCATTACCACCTGTGCCACAAAGCCTCGTTTCCAGGGTCCTCTCTTTCCCTCCCTCGATAACGAGGTTGAATAATGTTCAATTCAAGTCGTACTTGATCCTTGAATGATAAGTCACGATAAAGTAATCATAGATTAATTTTGGGGATCTATTTTTCAACTAACTCCATAATAATCCTATTTTCCCTTCTTTTCAGTAGTTCTGGCCATCACCTGCTACACTTGCACACCAAACCCACCGACTGTGGCATGCACAACACTGGGTGATTTGAATGTCACCGATTGTGACGCGGATCCGAATATACCATCTGGTATGGCTGACGTGTGTTTCAAAGTGTTAATTGTAGCGAAAATGGGACAAATGGCACAAATGACTACGAATATGTTTGGCTGTGGAATGAAGGTAAGCTTTGATCCTGCGCAGTTAAAATTTGGCTTTTTTAGCTAAACTGGTTAAGTTAACTAACATTATATAAGTTAAAACCTAACCCTAAGTTTTTTTTAAAATTTCATAAAAGTAAGATCTCGTCTCGTCATTTCGGCGTTATCACGACGCCTTTGAGAGTAGATTAAAACGGAAGAAAAAGCGAAGCGACTGTTTCAGTGAATGGTGGGGAGGTACAGGGGGCATAGCTAGGGGGGTGGTCCTGGTTGGGTATAATTAGGGGGTGTCTTGTGGTGAGGCTTGGATATGGAGTGTTCCGGGGGTGTTATGTGACCCTTGTTTATATTAGATAGGTTCGGCTTTCGGTCTATTCCATAAAAATCTCAGTTCTGTAATTAAGGTTCGTGAAAGCGTGCTAATCCGAAGAATGTTCATGGCATAGACCTTATAAGGTTCTAGGTACCCCATTTACCTGTCCTTCTCACCGCGTGATCTCAGATGAACTCGAGCTCAATGCTACACATGAAAGCGCAGCGGTGTAAGCCACATGCATGTAAGACGCGCGGAACTACGCCTCTGTGGTGGTGTGGAACAATTTCAAAGCAGTCCCAGTTTAATTTAGAATTTCGACACAGTTTGAAACTATTCTAAAATAATTTCGTGTGCATCAATCACTTGTAAACAATCAAGGTTCTCGCACAAATCTCGTTGCAATTAACTAATTCAGAAGCTTGGATAAGTGTTTCAATGTAAGAGCAAGGGGTGGGATGGGGAGTACAATAATAATTTTAATCTAACAGGTTGCAAACAAACGAATTTGTTTTATGATAAAATGTTTCCACTTTTCCAGAAATGATGGGTAGTGACACGAAAGCTTTGACAATTTCTTTCCCCCCCCCCTCTTCTCCCAGCTTAATCCATAAAAATGTTCAAGAAAAAACTCTTTTCGACTATTGCTATCATATATTTTATTTTTTCTTATTTAAATCTTTACACAGTCAATGTGCCAAGACCTCCAGGCAAAGTCCTGCAATGCCTCGCAACTGCAACCTGGAATGACCTATGAAAAATGCGAGGCCACGTGCTGTGAACAGAACAAGTGCAATGGGCTTGCAGACAGCACCTCGTCAAGCGTAAACGTCTCGCCAAGTGTAAACGCCTCGTCAAGTGTAAACGCCTCTCCAAGTGTAAACGCCCCGCCAAGTGTAAACGCCTCGCTAAGTGGCCCGGCAACCAGTGTTCCTGTAAATACTACTGCCACAGGAACCCCACCAAAACCTACCAGTGGTGCCACAGCATACAACAAAATTGTATCATTCGCCACCACCTTTACAAGCGCACTCTATGTGCTTTTTTTTGTGTACTGACTTTGAGCAGTGATGATTGTAAGAGTTGCTGAAAAAAAGGTTTACCTGGTGCTAAAATATATACGTTTTTGTTTGTTTTTTACTATTTAAAGACAAATAATTTAGTTTCGTAGCCGATCAAATTTCCCATCGTTTGCAATCACACTACACACAGTTTGATTGAATTGGGTGGCCATCCGCTGGATTCCCCCTTGTATCAGAGTTAGACAAGTCCAGTAAATTTGCACAGAACTGTTTTTATTGTAAACGCTAAATAGAACAGAGTGAGTGATCCGCGGTCTTTCAAACGGGACCTTTGAGTCAATAGAACACAGATTTCAAAAAGTCAACAATGTAATCTTAATTGCAATAGGAGAAAGATAAAGCGAAAATTTCTAATCAAGTTGTTTGCTTAGAAAGGGTTTATGTTTATGAGTGTGGAGTGTGGTTTATATAAATGTAGTGCTTAATTCTAGCGTCTGCGTCTGTTCAGGAAGGTTAGTTTTAGTGTAAATTCATTTTTCAATAGATAGATAATAAATAATCAAAATTTTGGACTTGGGACGTATTGTTTTCCTTATACAGATTTTCGGTTTGATGTGGCACCCACTAATACTTATACAGTGTTCATTTTAGCTGCTTTTCCTTTGGCCTGTTGGTGATGGTTTGTAAGGTTTTTGAGAGTTAATTTACACAATTACCAGGTTTAGGGCGGCCATGATAAAAAGCAAACATGAACAGCGACTTAAGAATTTTCCAGTCGGCGACCCAAACTTTTTTATTAAGACAAAGTGCATTTTGACTACTTGTAATTATCGTATTTGCACATTTCTAATGTACAGTTGTGGTTGGAAGTTTTCGCTTATTGGTTTCATATTAATGTTGTTACGTTACGCGATCTCCGTAGTGATTATGAAAAAAAAGGGGCAGCAAAGGGTGATATTTACTCAGGTTACTGGTTCCATTCCAATATTATATCAATGTACCTAACTGTTTACTACGTATTTCCTACGATCTTAGTCGAGTTATATCTAACTGCGCCGCTAAAAGTAAGCAACCTAGCGATTTTAAGAATGCCTGGTTATGAAGCAGGGGTCGAAGGATTCTGGTAACGTCACGATAAAATTAACCTGATCTTTCCACAAGGCTCTGTAATATTATAATGATCCCCCCTACGAACAAGAGAGGTTCAATTTGTGCTTCAATCGGTGCGACTTTGATTATTACCAGCATGCTTTCTGGGGGAAGATTATTTACTCGTTATTTACTGAGCGGATTTGGGCATAGATACTCAAGTTAACCTTTCGTACGCTGCCAAGAGTAATCATGTGATATCTTCTCTTTGCACTGTCTTATTAAAGCTTTGAATTCTCACCAAAAGCCGACCAACAAATTTATGTATGTTTGTCGAAAGACCTTTATTTAAATCCCTCATATCCTTGAGATAAGGATTAATCAAAAACTTTGTCTCCTATTAGTCAGAGACAAATTTTGAACTGAATTTAACGATTTCGATCTTCACGATGTGTTTTTCTCATAAAAATTATACTGTTGCTTATGGCTGGTTTCCATAGGATATTCTGGGTCGTTTCAGGCGTCCAAAAAAAGGTCTTCTAGGATGATTGGGACAATTATGTGAAAATACATCGAAGGAAACACAAAGGCTTTACGATGAGGGCGATTTCAAGATCAGGTCAGATCATTGAAGGAGGCATTATGTTACTGGAAAAATAAAGGGGGTAAGTTTCTAAAGAAACCGTGGCGCTGCATGGGTGGGAGAGTATACATGTAACAAGACAATTTGGTATTATCAACTGAGTTGATAATGTAAATTGTCCACCGTTAACAGTTTAGTGGTGTTTTAGAGCTAGGTTCCTTAACAGTACGTTGACAAAAAAAAGTGTTTGAGGGCCAGGAGACCTTCGTTATGAATGACAGTATGAAGAGATGTAATATTCATCGCAAAAAGAAGTTTGTCTAGGCCAAGGAAAGTAAAGTCGTGAAAAATTTCAAGTGCCTTTTGGCTTTCTCTAATGTATGATAGTAAAGTATCAGTGGCCGCCAGTTCTTATGTTTAGGTATAAAATCGTTAATCGTGTTTTTGACAATGTTTTGGTTGATGGGAGTGAGATCTGTCAACTTTTCCATTAAAACAGGTGTTGGAGAGCCGCAAAGCTTCTTTTTGGTGGAGGTTGCCCGCCAAACAACGACTGCCACCAACACCCCCTCCCCTCCCCCCTCCCTAGAATTGGATAATTTCTGATTCCGCCCGTCGAGTCTACATGGTTAGTTTGCATTAGCGGCTGTCGTCAAACGTATTTTCAGACTTCAATTCTGACAGAGGTGTTTTCACTTGACGCTCTTCAAGATGAACGGCTATCTTCTGTGCATTTTGCCATTGTTCGCTTTACCGAACGGTGAGTGAATTGCCGCTTGAATTTCCATTAAGTTCTTGCGATAGTTAGTTAGTTAGTCTGGCAAGTTATGGTAATACTTGAATTATGACCCAGTTATGGCAATTAGTATACAAAGGAGTTTGCTTGGACATTTCTGAGTGATGCTAAGACTCAGAATGACAACTGAGCCAAAACTGGTTATCTACACTTGAAACAAAATGTCAAAAAAAGCGATTGAACACAAACTAATCAAAGGTTAGTTTCCACCGTTTAATCTAATAATTAATGGGTGTGGATCTAATCTACTGAAACGGCAGCAAATGTATTTATAAACAGCTCGCGTCTGTAAAATGAAAAGTAACATCCCATTGTTTTACGATCTGTGGCTTTTTCTCCTCTACTTGTCTTAAAAAAACTATCTTAAAGCGATCACACTCGTCAGAGAAATGCGTTAAAGAGGAAGATAATCGGCGTGCGCGATAGAGCATGGTTGTTAATAAGCTCCGTTTATAAGGATTGCCGATCTACATGGCTTTGATTGTGTAATTGTAGACCTGTATTATTTAGTTTTCACATAAACCTTGGTCTCCACTTGGGGCCCACGGTTAAGTAGTTGAGTGCCAAGGAAAGGAAGCATGTCGTTCTTTTCTACCTCTACAGTGAATTTGGCCTTTGGCGTCATAAAAGACTCCGAAACGTCAGTTCACATCGCTATCTATTACGTGTTTATGTGTAACTGAATTATTGAAAAGGAAATGGGAGATATTTTCTAGGTTTAAGGCTTAGAAATTTGTCCAATCCAAAGTCTCCTTGGATGTTTGGTCATATCGTGGAGGTCTTTCGTCAGTTCGGCCAATATCGGAAAATTTCCGAGTAACACTTTGGCCTTTTAGATCAACATCATCAGTTTACATCAGCCGGGTTGTCGAAGTTCAATTCCCGACAGCAGTGCTTTCACTTGACGCTCTCCAAGATGAACGGCTATCCTCTGTGTATTTTGCCATTGTTCGCTTTACCAAACAGTAAGTGAATTGCCGCTTGTATTCGCATTGAATTATTGGGATAGATAGTTTATTCAGGCAAATTATGCATGGCAAAGCTTCAAGTTTGGCAATGTATGATGCGTTGGCAAAATGATTAGGAGTGTTATCAAGGCTCAGAATAGCAATGTAGCCAAAAAAATAATTCACCGTCTAAAAAAGCGATTGTAAACAAAGTAATCGAAAGTCGATTTTCGCTGTCGCGCTGTTCAACGTTGGTTTTTTAAGAATGAGTGTGAACTTTGAATCTCACCAACTTCACGGGTGTAAACTGACACGGAGTAAAGTTCTTTTTAAAGAATAATTTTATTTAACCACGATAAAAATATTCAGCATAGCTGGTGAGTATGAGCGGCTTACGTCTGTATACTGAAAAGTTAGATCTGTAAGATATGGTTTAGTTCTGTGGGAATCTTGTAGTAATTCTGATATATTCGGTTCAATAGAAAGACTTCACTGCAGGGCAGCAAGAATTGTATTTAATCTGTCTAAAGACTTATCATATGACATCATCTGACGTGCTTAGACATGACCAGTGGCCTACACTTTTTTTGTATTATAAATTAGACATCTTCAGGCTTTTTTACAAAGGCTATAGTGCCACTGTCCCGGACTCACTGTCTGAAAATATCCTTAAATGTCACTAAAATGGTTACTCTGGTTATTAGTATTCAGGTTCCAAACAAGATACGTAAAAGACTCGCTCAAATATCGCGGTTCTGTGTTATGGAACACTGTTTGTTACCATAAACAAGAACTTGGACGCTCAAGTCTCAATAATCTAAAAAACGCCTACTCACCAGAGACTTCTTTAAGGAATTCTAATTTGACATACTATCCGCATCTACTGCTCGCCTTATACATACCGATTTTTTTTATTTAGAAGTCATAATATATATCATTTTCTATTTTCAAATTCAAGTTATATTTACACAACGTGTAATTTTCCTTTTTTTGTCACACGACCCCTCAAGCATGTAGCTTAAAATATTATCGCGTATAAATAAAGGTCATCATAAATGTTATCGAAGCACAAGGACCAAACTGCATCATTCCGATTCCACTCTCCACAGAAAACCGACAAAAAAGGTCATTACGTTCTAGTGATATCGTTGTCGTTGGTTATTATCGAAGGCTTTTCCTCAGCGCATCCGTAAAAGCATTGGTATGCCATGTTAATATGCATCTTTCAAATTCAAATATGCCAAGTTTGGCTGACAAGTAGCTTGTCTTGGCTGATCTTCCCAAACAATTGTTGAAAGAGAAAGTGCCATTAGCAGCGAACCGTCTAATAAGATAGAGAGAGCTAGAAATCTAAGTATCAACGGTTTGATTACCGGAAAAAATAAAAATAAAGATAAAAATGTGCGAATCTTAATCCTTACGCTCTCACATCTTTCGCGAGAACGTAATTTACAAAAACAAATGGTGCGATTTTACGCCGTTACTGATTCCAATATAAGTAAGAAATAGCTTCCCAAATATAGTTTGTATTGTCGTCAATCCAAAATAATCTGGAAAACGACGAAAGCGTCGAATTCTCACTGATGGAGCATTAGTTTTACTCACGAATTTTATTAACAGACAAAGTCTGTTGTCATCATCTTTGTGGGTTTATTTTGCCGAAAATGAATTATGATACGAGAGAAAAGAAAAATTCTGATTGGACGCCATTACCACCTGTGCCACAAAGCCTCATTTCCAGGTTCCTCTCTTTTCTTCCCTCGATAACGAGGTTGAATTATGTTTAAACCAAGTCGTACTGGATCATTGAATGACAAGTCACGATAAAATAATCATAGATAACTTTTGGGGATCAATTTGTCAAATAATTCCATAATAATCTTCTTTTCCCTTCTTTTCAGTAGTTCTGGCCATTACCTGCTACACTTGCACACCAAACCCACCGACTGTGGCATGCACAACACTGGGTGATTTGAATGTCACCGATTGTGACGCGGATCCGAATATACAATCTGGTATGGCTGACGTGTGTATCAAAGTGTTAACTGTGGTGAAAATGGGACAAATGGGACAAATGACTATGAATATGTTTAGCTGTGGAATGAAGGTAAGCTTTGATCCTGCGCAGTTAAAATTTGGCTGTTTTCGCTAAACTGGTTAAGTTAACTAACATTATATAAGATAAAGTTTTTAAAATTCGATAAATTAAGATTTCGTCTCGTCATTTCGGCGTTATCACGACGCCTTTGAGAGTAGATAAAAAAGGAAGAAAAGCGAAGTGACTGTTTCAGTGAATAGTGGGGAGGTACAGGGAGCATAGCTAGGGGGGTGGTCCGGGGGTTTGGTATAAATAGGGGGTGGTCCTGTGGTGGCGCTTGGATATGGTGTGGTCCGGGGGTAATGTGACCCTTGTCTATTTCAGATTGGTTTGGCTTTCGGTCTATTCCATAAAAATCTTCTGTAGTTCAGGTTCGCGAGAACGTGCTTACCCGAAGAATCTTTATAGCAAAGACCCTATAAGGTTCTAGGTACCCCATCTACCTGTCCTTCTTACCGCGTGAGCTCAGATGAACTCGAGCTCAATGATACACATGAAAGAGCAGCAGTGTAAGCCACTTTCATGTAAGATGCGCAGAACTACGCCTTTGTGATGGTGTGGAACAATTTCAAAACAGTCGTAGCTTAATTAAGAATTTCGACACGGTTTGAAACTGTTCTGAAATAATTTATTGTGCATCAATCTGGGCAAAGAGATGAATCACTTGTAAACAATCAAGGTTCTCGCACAAATCTCGTTGCCATTAAACAATTGAGAAGCGCGGATAAGTGTTTCAATGTAAGAGCAAGGGGTGCGATGGGGAGCACAATAATAATTTTAATCTAACAGGTTGCGAACAAACAAGTTTGTTTTATATTAAAATATTTTTACGATGATACGAAAGCTTTGACTGTTTCTTCCCCCTCTCTTAGCTGACTCCTTAAAAATGTTCATAAAAAATCACTCTTTTCGACTCTTGTTATCATTTATTTTCTTTTTTCTTATTTCAATCTTTACACAGTCAATGTGCCAAGACCTCCAGGCAAAGTCTTGCAATGCCTCGCAACTGCAACCTGGAATGACCTTTAAAAAATGCGAAGCCACGTGCTGTGAGCAGAGCAAATGCAACGGGCTTGCAAACAGCACCTCGCCAAGTGTAAACGCCTCGCCAAGTGTAAACGCCTTGCCAAGTGTCAACGCCTCGCCAAGTGTAAACGCCTCACCAAGTGGCCCGGCAACCAGTATTCCTGTAAAAACTACGGCCACAGGAACCCCACCAAAACCTACCAGTGGTGCCACAGCATACAACAAAGTTGTATTATTTGCCACCATCTTTACAAGCGTACTCTATGTGCTTTTTTTCGTGTACTGACTTTGAGCAGTGATCATTGTTAGAGTGCTAAAAACAAGGCTAACCAGGTGCTAGAATGTGTTTGTTTTGATTTGCTTTTTACTATTTTAAGACAAATAATTTTGTTTCGTAGCCAATCAGATTTCCCATCTTTTGCAACTACTCTACATACACAAAAGTGATGGGCTCCTGACATACAGTATAAGTGAATTAGGAGACCACTCGCTGGATTCCCGCCTATATCAGAGTTAGAAAAGTCCAGTAAATTGCACAGAACTGTTTTTTTTGTTAACTTTAAACAGAACAGAGTGAGTCATCCGCAGCCTTTGAGTAACTAGAACACAGATTTCTAAAAGTGATGAATATAATCTAAACTGGGCAAATAATAGGGCAAAGATAAAGATGAAACTTTCTTATCAAGTTGTTTGCTTAGAAAGGGTTTATGTAAATGAGGTGCTTAATTCTGGTGTCTGTGTCTGTTTAGGAAGGTCACTTTCAGTGTATAAGTATATAATATAAGTTTTTGTTTTTGTATGTTTAACATTATAGTCAATAGTTCTTAAAGTATTTTAGTATAATTTAAACACGATTCTTACGAAGACCATTTAAAATGATATGATTTCGTGTATAAATAAAGATTGATGATGATGATAATGATGTGTGTTCATTTTTCAATACATAGATAATCAATAATCAAAATTTGGGACTTGAGACGTAATGTTTTCCTTATACAGATTTTCGGTTTGATGTGACACCCACTAATACTTTTACAGTGTTCATTATAGCTGCTATTCCTTTGGCCTGATAGGATTTCGTCAATCTATCTTGATCATCAGATTATTTTCTATAAACTTTCCAGTAATTTTCCCCGCGTCGTGGTTCGTAACCTGTCTCGAGAGAGTCATTCCATACGCTATCGCTACGAAATTTTTAATTAAACAGGCGAGCTGTTTTGCGCGGGTTTTATGGTGATGGTGTGTAAAAGTTTTTGAGAATTAATTTACATCAGTTACCCTGTTTGGCACGGCCATGATAAAAAGCAAACATGAACAGTGACTTAGAATTTTCCAGTCGGCGACCCAAACGTTTTTATCAAGACAAAATACATTTTGACGACTTATAATTATCGTACTTGCAGATTTCTAATGTACAATTTTGGAGTTAGGTTCCTTAACAATACGTTGATAAAAAAAAAAGTATTTGAGGGCCGGGAGACCTTCGCCATTGGGAATGACAGTATGGAGAGATGTAATATTCATCACAGAAAGAAATCTGTTTAGGCCAAGGAAATTAAAGTCGTGAAAAATTTCAAGTGCGTTTCGGCTTTCTTTAATGTATGATGGTAAAGTTTTGACGATAACAGCCATAATTTTGTCTAAATAACTGGAAATAATTTCGGTGAGACAACTGCAGGTAGGGACCATGGGTCGAGCTGGGTTGTTAGGTTTGTGGATTTTATGTAACAAGTAAATACACGAAGTTCTAGAAGTGGTAATGGTAAGATTTTTTGCAGTGGCCGGCAATTCTTGTTTAGCGATAAGATCAGTAATCGTGTTTGTAACAATATTTTGGTTGAGGGAGAGAGATCTTTGTCAACTTTTCCACGAAAACAGGTGTCAGAAAGTAGTCGCAAAGCTTCTTTTTGGTAAAGGTCGGCCCGTCAAACAATGACTGCCACCAACACCCCTCCCTTCCCCCCAGAATTGGACAATTTCCGATTAACACTTCCGCCTGTCGAGTCTACAAGGTTAGTTTGCATTAGCGGCTGCCTTCGAACGTAGTTTCAAACTTCAATCCCGACGGAGGTGCTTTCACTTGACGCTCTTCAAGATGAACGGCTATCTTCTGTGCATTTTGCCATTGTTCGCTCTACCAAACGGTTAGTGAATTGCCGTTTGAATTTGCATTGAATTCTTGCGATAGTTAGTTAGTCTAGCAAGTTATGGTAGTACTTAAATTATGACCCAGTTATGGCAATTAATCAACGAAGGAATTTGCTTGGACATTTCTGAGTGTTGTTAAGACTCGCAATAGCAATTGAGCCAAAACTGGTTAACTATACTCGAAAGAAAAATATCCTAAAAAGCGATTGAACACAAACTAATCAAAGGTTAATTGTCGCCGTTTGGTTTAATAATTATTGAGTGTGAATCTAATCTACTGAAATGTATTTACAAACGGCTTGCGTCTGTAAAATAAAAAGTAACATCGCATTGTTTCATAATCTGTGGCTTTTTCTCTTCTACTATTCAGGCGATCACACTCGTCAGAGAAATGCGTCCAAGAGGAAGATAATCGGTGTGCGCGATCGAGCATGGTTGTCGATAAGCTCCGTTTATAACGATTGCCTACATGGCTTTGATAGTTTAATAGTAGACCTGTGTTAGTTGGTTTTCACATAAACCTTGGTTTCCACTTGGGTGCACAGTTAAGTAGCTGAGTGCCAAGGAAAGGAAGCATGCCGTTCTTTTTTACCTCCATGGTGAATTTGGCCTTTGGCGTCATATAGACCCCAAAACGTCGGTTCCTATTGCTATTTTTTACGTGTTTATGTGTAACTAAATTATTGAAAAGGAAATGGCAGATATTTTCTAGGTTTAAGGCTCCGAAATTTGTCCAATCCAAAGTCTCTGGGAATATTTGGTCATGTTGTGTAGGTCTTTCGTTAGTTCCGCTAACATCGGAAAATTTCCGAGTAACACTTCGGCCTTTCGGGTCAACATCATCAGTTTATATACATTGGGCGTGTTGTCGAAGTTCAATTCCCGACAGCGGTGCTTTCACTTGACGCTCTTCAAGATGAACGGCTATCTTATGTGCATTTTGCCATTGTTCGCTTTTCCAAACAGTAAGTGAATTGTCGCTTGAATTCGCATTGAATTCTTGCGATAGATATTTTATTCTGACAAATTATGGTAAAGTTTAAAGTATGGCAACGTAGGAAAGGGTTTGCTAAACAATTGGGAATGTTGTTTAGACTAGAACTCAGAATAGCTGACTCAAGGTAATCCATAGTCCAAAAAAAGGGATTGTAAACAAAGTAATCAAAAGTCGATTTTCGCTGTCGCGCTGTTCAACGTTGGCTTTTTAATAACGAGTGTGAACTTTGAATCGCGCCGACTTCACGGGTGTAAATTGACACAAAGAAAATATTTTTATGAATAATTTCATTTAACCACGATAAAATATTCAGCACAGCTGGTGGGTATTTTATCGTGCTTTAATAAAGTTATTCGTAAAAAAAAATATTCCTTCGTGAACGGGTTATGAACGGCTTAAGTCTGTAGACTGGAAAGTTAGATTGCATTTGATTTTTGCAGTTGATGCAGACCTTCTTATTGTTCGTCTCTACCTAGTGAAGGTAGTGATTTTTACCACTCTTTATTAATTAGAGGCGAATTTCGTGCGAACAGTGGATTCAATTCATGCCAGCTGGTGCCTTAATTATGCAAGCTGAAAACACGGCGCACATTTTTAAGGGCTCTGTCTGATCTTTAAAGGTATCTATTTTGCATATAACTATCTAAGATTTCCAGTAGTGTTTTACACAGTAATTTTTCAGGGTTTTTTACCCAATTATGCTTATTTCACTACTCACTTCGCACAGAATTGCTATAATCCTTCCGTCTTCATGGAGTTGACAGAAAAAAAAAAAAAACAGTAAGAGTGCTGTGTTACGGTTTAACGAGAAAATATTTGGCAAACGCAGGGATGAATAAAACACTTTGGTGTTCGCAAGGAAGATCGGAATTAATTTACGGCATGCTTTGTTCGTTGATTTCGCCTCTATGTAAAACCGCATAATAATCGAAATTGACATCTACCAGAAATGAAGGTAATTAGTATAGGAAATCGTATGAACGCGAGTGCATTTCGTGATTTATGGGCACGAGTGATGTTTTGAAAGTTCTCAAAATTGCACGAGCCGTAGGCGAGTGCAATTTGAGAACTTTCAAAACATCACGAGTGACCATAAATCACGAAATGCACGAGCAGGTTCATACGATTTTTTATTTATTATATTCTCGACAAAATTATGCAGACATTTTATCGAGTTGTTCGTGCTCGTATTCTTCCATTTTTGGGTTTACTTTTCGTTGAGTCGCCCATGTTTGCCAGACATTTAACCAGGTCTGTGTAGCTTTGAACGTGTTTTTGTTTTTCGCATTTTCTTTAAGTTGCTCAACGATGTTTTGGTTTGACAAAGCAAACCGGCTGTCAGCCATTTTTTTATAATTTGGTGTTCAAATTTGGCGCTTCCCCGGTGTTTCCATGGCAACTTCTCCGTATTGCACTCTATAACCTCTATTGCACTCTATAACCTATTTATGCATTCATCATTGACCAATCAGAAACGCGATATTTTGTTGAGTATATAATAAAGGCAAATAAACTGATGCGCTATCATACGTTAAAGGATACATGAAATTTTAACGACCTCAGTTGTGAAAAATATTGTTTTTATTTCGGGCGGAGTATCCTCTTCTTTTTCGAGCGCGAAAATGTTCAGCGTACAGCCAAATCGTAATAAAATTGCCTTCTTCACGAATATAAAGCTCTATCAGCTCAGGATCACTGTATACGTATGCAGACAATACTACGGTCTATTGTATAGGGGAAATTGCAGACACAGATATTGCACAGTTAAATGCAGCGCTGCAAGAGTTACATACATGGTGCCTTAACAATCTTTCAACACTTCATCCATGGAATTGGAATATTATAAATTTTAAATTTTATCGCTTTACTATATAGTAACTTAAACATATGTTTTAATTATACATGTATTTAAGTTTGGTATTTCATATCTTGTTTTATATCTAAAACTTTTAATTTAACTTTGTAGTTATTTTATTTTATGCTCGACCCCACAAGCTACTAGCTTTAACTACTAATAAAAGTTTGTCGTATCGTATCGTATTATCCAGGCAAGAGTGAGGTTATGTTACTCAGTAAAGGAACCCCAATGGGACCGATAGCTCTTGAGCTATTAGGAAACTCAATTCTTACGTGGGTTACGAAAGCACGCTTGCTGGGCTTAACAGTTGACCAGAACTGAACTTGCTAAAACGGTACAGATTTCTCCCAGGAGACATATTGAAAGAATTTTATTTTAAAGTAATTTTGACTTCTGAAAATTGGGTTTAGTTCTGTGAGGATCTTGTAGTAATTCTGATATATTCGGTTCAACAGAAAGACTACACTGCAGGGCAGTAAGAATTATATTTAATCTACTTAAAGATAAATCATATGACATCATCCGACGTGCTTGAATACGACCAGTGGCCTACACTTTCTTTGTACTATAAATCAGACATCTTCAAGCTTTTTTACAAAGGCTATAGTGCCACTATCCCCGACTCACTGTCTGAAAACATCCTTAAATGTCGCTCAAATGGTTACTCTCTGAGGGGACGCGACCTTTTGACAGTATTCAGGTTCCAAACAAGATACGTAAAAGACTCGCTCAAATATCGCGGTGCTGTGTTATGGAACACTGTTTGCTACTATGAACAAGAAGTTGGACACTCGAGTCTCAATAATCTGAAAAAAATTAACGCCTACTCACCGGAGACTACTTTAAGGAATTCAAATTTGACATACTTTCCGCTTCTACTGCTCGCTTATACATACCGATTATTTTTTTACTTAGAAGTCATAACACCTATCATTTTCTATTTTCAAATTCAAGTTATATTCACATAACGTGAAATTTTCCTTTTTTTTTCACACGACTCCACAAGCTTATAGCTTAAAATATTATCGTGCATAAATAAAGGTCATCATAAAGGTTATGAAAACACAATGACCAAACTGCATCATCATAGTGGTATCGTTGTTGTTGGTTATTATCGAAGGCTTTTCCCTAGCGCATCCGTAAAAACATTGATATGCCATATTAAAATGCATCTTTCAAATTCAAATATGCCAAGTTTGGCTGACAAGTAGCCTGTCTTAGCTGATCTTCCCAAACAATTGTTGATAGAGAAAGAGCTTCCAGCAGCGAATCGTCTGACAATAAGAAGAAAGCTAACAATCTAAGTATTGACAGTATGATCACCGGAAAAAAAATCAAAAATGAAGATGAAAATGTGCGAATCTCAATCCCTACGCTCTCGCAACTTTCGCGAGAAGGTCATTTACAAAAAGACATTGTGTAATTTTACGCCGTTACTGATTCTAATATAAGTAAGAGATAGCTTCCCAAATATAGTTTGTACGATGGTCAATCCAGAATAATCTGAACAACGACGAAAGCGTGAAATTCTCACTGATGGAGCATTAGTTTTACTCACGAATTTAATTAAGGGACAAACTCCATTGTCATCACCTTCGTGGGTTTACTTGAATATGAGAGAAAAAAAAATTCTGATTGGACGCCCTTACCACCTGTGCCACAAAGCCTCGTTTCCAGGGTCCTCTCTTTCCCTCCTTCGATAACGAAGTTGAATTATGTTTAACTCAAGTCGTACTGGATCATTGAATGATTAGTCACGATAAAATGATCATAGATAACTTTTGGGGATCAATTTGTTCACTAACTCCATAATAATCCTATTTTCCCTTCTTTTCAGCAGTTCTGGCCATCACCTGCTACACTTGCACACCAAAGTTTCCGACTGAGGCATGCACAACACTGGGTGATTTGAATGTCACCGATTGTGACGCGGATCCGAATATACCATCCGGTATGGCTGACGTGTGTTTCAAAGCGTTGATTGTAGCGAAAATGGGACAAGTGGCACAAATGACTGCGAATTGGTTTAGCTGTGGAAGGAAGGTAAGCTTTGATCCTGCGGCTTTTAGCTAAACTGGTTAAGTTAACTAACATTATATAAGTTAAAACCTAACCCTAAAAATTTTTAAAATTCATAAAACTAAGATCTCGTCTCGTCATTTCGGCGTTATCACGACGCCTTTGAGAGTAGATTAAAACGGAAGAAAAAGTGAAGCGACTGTTTTAGTGAATGGTGTGGAGGTACAGGGGGCATAGTTAGGGGGGTGGTCCTGGTTGGTACAATTAGGGGGTGTCCTGTGGCGAGGCTTGGATATGGAGTGTTCCGGGGGTGTTATGTGATCCTTGTCTTTTTTAGATAGGTTGGGCTTTCAGTCTATTTCATAAAAATCTCAGTTCTGTAATTCAGGTTCGCGAAAGCGTGCTAATCCGAAGAATCTTCATGGCATAGACCTTATGAGGTTCTAGGTACCCCATTTACCTGTCCTTCTCACCGCGTGATCTCAGATGAACTCGAGCTCAATGCTACACATGAAAGAGGAGCGGTGTAGGCCACTCTCATGTAAGACACGTGGAACTACGCCTCTGTGATGGTGTGGAACAATTTCAAAACAGTCCCAGTTTAATTTAGAATTTCGACACAGTTTGAAACTATTCTGAAATAATTTCTTGTGCACCAATCTAGGCAAAGAAATGAATCACCCGTAAACAATCAAGGTTCTCGCACAAATCTCGTTGCAGTTAACCCATTCAGAAGCTTGGATAAGTGTTTCAATGTAAGAGCAAGGGGTGGGATGGGGAGTACAATAATAATTTTAATCTAACAGGTCGCAAACAAACGAATTTGTTTTATGATGAAATGTTTCCACTTTTCCAGAAATGATGGGTAGTGACACGAAAGCTTTGACAATTTCTTTCCCCCCCACCCTTCTCTCAGCTTAATCCATAAAAATGTTCAAGAAAAAACTCTTTTCGACCATTGCTATCATATATTTTATTTTTTCTTATTTCAATCTTTACACAGTCAATGTGCCAAGACTTCCGGGCAAAGTTTTGCAATGCCTCGCAACTGCAACCTGGAATAATCTATGAAAAATGCGAGGCCACGTGCTGTGAACAGAACAAGTGCAATGGGCTTGCAGACAGCACCTCGTCAAGCGTAAACGCCTTACCAGCATACAACAAAGTTGTATCATTCGCCACCACCTTTACAAGTGCCCTCTATGTGCTTTTTTTTGTGTACTGACTTTGAGCAGTGATCATTATAAGAGTTGCTGAAAACAAGGTTTACCAGGTGCTAAAAGGTGCTAGCGATTTTAAGAATGCCTGGTTATAATGCAGGGGTCGAAGGATTCTGGTAACGTCACAGTAAAATTAACCTGATCCTTGTATGAGGCTCTGTAATATTATAATGATCCCCCTTACGAACAAGGGAGGTTCAATTTGTGCTTCAAGTGGTGCGACTTTGATTATTACCAGCGTGCTTTCTGGGGGAAGATTATTTACTCGTTATTTACTGAGCGGATTTGGGCATAGGTACTCAAGTTAACCTTTCGTACGCTGCTAAGAGTAATCATGTGACATCTTCTCTTTGCATTATCTTGTGACAGCTTTGACTTCTCACCGCAAGCCGACCAACAAATTTATGTATGTTTGTCAAAAGACCTTTGTTTAATTCCTCATATCCTTGAGATAAGGATTAATCAAAAACTTTGCCTCCTATTAGTCAGATACAAATTTTGAACTGAATTTAACGATTTCGATCTTCACGAGGCGTTTTTCTCATAAAAGTTATTGTTATATACTTATGGCTGGTTTCCATATAATATTCTGTGTCGTTTTAGGCATCCAAAAAAAGGTATTCTGGGACGATTGGGACAATTATGTGAAAATACAATGAAGGAAACGCGGTGGTTTTACGATGAGCGCGATTTCGAGATCAGGTCAGATCATTGAACAAGGCATTATGTTACTGGATAAATAAAGGCGGTAAGTTTCTAAAGAAACTGTGGTGCTGCATCAGTGGAGTATACATGTAACAAGGCAATTTGGTATTATCAACTGAGATGATAATGTAAATTGGCCACCGTTAACAGTTTAGTGGTGTTTTAGAGTTAGGGTCCTTAACAGTACGTTGATAAAAAAATAAATACTTCAAAATGTTTGAAGGCCAGGAGACCTTCGCCATCGCAAATTACAGTATAAAGAGATGTAGTGTCCATCGCGAAAAGAACTTTGTCTTGGCCAAGGAAATTAAAGTCGTGAAAAATTTAAAGTGCGTGTTGGCTTTCTTTAATATATGATGGTAAAGTTTTGACGATAAGAGCCATAATTTTGTCTAAATAGCTGGAAACAATTTCGGTGAGCCAACTGCGGGCAGGGACGATGGGTCGACCTGGGTTGTTAGGTTTGTGGATTTTAGGTAAAAAGTAAATACACGAAGTTCTAGTAGTGGTGATGGTGAGTTTTTTGCAGTGGCCGGTAATTCTCGTCTAGCAATAAGATCGTTAATCGTGTTTTTGACAATGTTTTGGTTGATGGGAGTGAGATCTTTATCAACTTTTCCATTACAACAGGTGTTAGAAAGCCGCAAAAAAATAAGATAATTCCCGATTCCGCCTGTCGAGTCCATATGGTTACTTGCATTAGCGGTTGTCGTTGACTTCAATCCCGACGGAGGTGCTTTCACTTAATGCTCTTCAAGATGAACGGCTATCTTCTGTGCATTTTGCCATTGTTCGCTTTACCAAACGGTAAGTGAATTGTCGCTTGAATTCGCATGGAATTCTTGCGATAGATAGTTCGATCTGGCAAATTATGGTAAAGCTTTAAGTATGGCAGTGTATGTAAGCGTTTACAAAACGATTAGGAGTGTTATTAAGACTCAGAGTAGCAATGGACCCTAAAAAGAAAATCCACTGTCCAAAAGAGCGGCTGTAAACAAAATAATCAAGAGTCGATTGTCGCTGTCGCGCTGTTCAACGTTGGTTTTTTGATAATGGGTGTGAACTGTGAATCTCACCGACTTCACGGGTGTAAACTGATGTTAAACGATAAAAATAGTAATATATCTAATCCGAAAACATTGTAAGGGTTTCCTATATTGGTGTTGGAAAATGAATGGAAGTAATATATTAGCGTAAGCCATTCATTAAACATTGCCAGAAAAAAGCCAGTGATCATTTCTTATTCCTTTTGGCGGTCTTACCTTCCAGGTAGAGTTTGGTCACCTTTTTCCTTATTATGATCGTGAATTTGACGTGGAGACAGATGTTTTTACGTAAACTGCGGTTTGCGGCTAGATATCGGTATATTTCCATTATGTTGCTAAAAGATAATTTATTACTAAGAATATGACTCTACCTTATAAAATTGATAAAGGAATTTCGTGGAAATAACCCTCCCTTATACTTTCACCTCTTTAATAATCTCGTTTTTAGGCTAAATCCATGTCGTATTCCCTATCTGGAAAATATTTTTTAAAATTTAAATTAGCACGTTCAATTCCTTTTTTTTAGAGGTGACTTAAGGTGTAAACATGTAGTACTTTTCATCTTCCGCACTGAATTATTAATCAGATAACTTATACAGCTAGCACGTGAATTATTAATCAGTTTATTCTACTGTTATGTAACAGTCTTCGAAGACTATTTTATCTTAACATATCTTTTCGAGTATGAAAAGAGTACTTATACAGCTAGCACGTGGCTCTTTTAGGGGCGGTACCTTGGGTACGACCTTTCTTCTCCGAATTTTCTGTTTATTCTACTGTTATGTAACAGTCTTCGAAGACTATTTTATCTTAACATATCTTTTCGAGTATGATTTTAATTCTGTTAGCAAGTTTATTATAATTTTTATATTACCAATCTCCTTTTTGTTTCGCCCGACCTTGATCGTAAGACTAAGAAATTTAAAGTAGAAAGTTATTTGTAAAGCGTAAACATCGCGAAGGTGCCTATTTAGTATACGAACTCTGCTCTGCGTAGCTTAGCGTGATTCGCTAGTTAAGTGTGAAAGCATGACGAAGGTTAGAGATTGGCAGCTCAGTAGGCGTCACTCTTATAAGCGGTGACCCACACTTTCCTTGAGAGACTAGAGCTAGTCCCCGTTGTATTAACTGCTTAATAAAAGAGAGAATAAAAGAAATGGTTAACTGAACGACGAGTGTTAGGAAATTTCTTCTGACACTGACACAAAGGAAATGTTTTCTATGAACAGCTTACGTCTGTAGACTGAGTTAGATCGCATTTGATTTTTGTAGTTGATGCAGACCTTTCATTGTTCGTCTCTACCTTGTAAAGGCAGTGATATTTACTCTTTATTTGTTAAAGGTGAATTTCGTGCGAACAATAGATTCAAGTCATGCCAGACAGCGCCTCAATTATCTAATCTTTGAATGTATTTATTTTGCATATAATTTTCTAAGGTTTCCAGTAGTGTTTCACGCAGTAATTTCTCAGTTTTTTTTACCCAACTATGCTTATTTCACTGCTTACTTCGGCTTACTGTAATTTGCGAAACAAAACGAAACGAAGTGAAACTCTGTCAGTTGCGAAATGGAAATATGCTAATGATTTGCAAAACAGAAATCTGTAATTTGCGAAATGGGAATATGCTTATGATTTGCAAAACAGGAATCTGTACTTCTGTGATTAGCGAAACGAGAATCCCTGCGGAAAACTTCACAAGCTTGGAGAATAAATCGGTCAGTTCACCATAAGTGTGGATCACCGGTGTCTAGGTTAAAACATAAGCATGCTATACATGCAAGAGTTATTTTTTTGGGTGGATTAATTAATTGAAACATTGTAAGTGATGTCTATATTTTTACAAAAGAAAAGAGTATTAACGCGGAAAAGAACGAAAACGTCGAATTAACTCACTCACAGGTATTTTGTGGTTGATTGTGTGTGTTGTGCGAATAACTATAACCAAAAGTAAACTGTATCGGTGCCACGGATACCTATTAGTACAAAATGCAGAGCGCAGACCGGATATAAAATGTAGACTAAGTACAAAATGTAGACTGCAGACTGCAGACTCCAGAGTGGGTACAAAATGCAGACTTAATACAATTTCAAGCATTCATACAGTCTCCTCACTTTGCGTGCGAGTTGGTTGGTGTGATGTCTGTGCAGATTTTACCAACTTAATAAAAATAGATGCAGATGTAAATGAGATGTCACTATTGACTATTTAAGGGCCTATTTACACGGTGCGACTTTGTCGCATGCGACAAGCTTACGACAGGCTTATGACACGAATTGTTTCGTGTAAATCAAACCTACAACTCGCTTACGACTCTTAAGTCATGTCGTAGGCCTGTCGTAAGCTTGTCGCATGCGACAAAGTCGTGCCGTGTAAATAGGCCTTAACACGTGCAACATTCGAGAAAAAATTGACAGCTTTGCTCTTGGTCCGTAATATCATCTTTTTAAGCGGTATGTGTTTATTTTGTTGACTAAAATGCGGACCGAGACCAAAACTGTTCTTTCGACTTGACATATTTTCAACGTTAGTAAATCACATCCTACTAACTTATACCTCCGCAAATCATTCCTTCCAGATAACAGAATCAAATACAAATACTAACGATGGTATCCGAATTCGTCCTTAGCCAAACGACTCCACAAGATCACTTTCTCCAGGCATCGAAAACATTTCCATTCGTCCAGTGTTCTCAAAATTACCCTCGAAACAGCCAAACAATTTCCCTTAACAGCCAATAATGACACAAAATCCACCTTGCAACACACTTGCAACTGTTCAAACTTCTAACATCGAAAGACCCGATCCAAGAGTAACACACCACGATGTTTACCATGAATTTGACTGCAACCAAACCACCAACCATCTTTCGTAGAAAAATTGTTGTTGAATGAAAACACCTCTTAACATTGCATATCATTCAAAAACGATGTCACACGACAAAGCTTCCTAGAAGCCACAAAAATTCGTCCAAAGATAATTTTAATCAGACATTCATCTACAGAAAGCACCGAGCAAACCAATACAGAAAAATATTGTCGGCTCACTCAACAAATCATGAATCATGCTACACAGCTTGTCGTTAAAGAACAGCTCAAATCAAAATGTTTGGTGCAATTCATCAGCACCTCAAGCAATATTTGTCCACTCACTCTCGTCGTGAAGTAACAATAACCATGATCGTGCTACAGTGCACAGGACTCGTTCTAGTGGTATCATTGTTGTTGGTTATTATAGAAGGCTTTTCCCTAGCGCATCCGTAAAAACACTCGGATATTCCATGTTAATATGTACCTTTCAATTCAAATATGTCATGTTCGGCTGACAAGTAGCTTTCCTTAGCTGGTCCCCCCCAAACAATTGTTGATAGAGAAAGTGCTTCTAACAGCGAATCGTGTAATAAAATAGAGAGAGCTAACAATCTAAGTATTGACAGTATGATCACTGGAAAAAAACGTAGTATCGAAATAAATATGAAAATGTGCGAATCTCAATCCCTACGCTCTCACATCTTTCGTGGGAGGGTCTTTACAAAAAGACACAAAGCCTCGTTTCCAGGGTCCTCTCTTTTCCTCTCTCGATAACGAGGTTGAATAATGTCACATTCAAGTCGTACTGGATCCTTGAATGATAATTCACGTTAAAATAATCATAGATAAATTTTGGGGATCAATTTGTGAACTTACTCTATAATTTCAGTAGTTCTGGCCATCACCTGCTACACTTGCACACCAAACCCACCTACAGTGTCATGCACAACACTGGCTGATTTGAATGTCACCGATTGTGACGCGGATCCGACCGTACCATCAGGCATGGCTGACGTGTGTAGCAAAAGATTAGCTGTAGCGAAAATGGGGCAAATGAACCAGACTATGAATATGTTTAGCTGTGGAACAAAGGTAAGCTTTGATCCTGCGCAGTTAAAATATGGCTTTTTCTGCTAAACTGGTTAAGTTTATTAACGTTATTCAAGTCAAAGTTTTAAAAATTTCATAAAACTAAGATCTCGTCTCGTCATTTCGGCGTTATCACGACGCCTTTGAGAGTAGATAAAAAAGGAAAAAAAAGCGAAGCGACTGTTTCAGTGGATGGTGTAGAGGTACAGGGAGCATAGTTAGGGGGGGTGGTCCTGGGGCTGGGTATAAATAGGGGGTGATCCTAGGCATGGATATGGTGTGGTCCGGGGGTGTCTTTTACCCTTCTCTATTATAGATAAGTTTGGCTCTCAGTCTATTCCATAAAAGCCTTCTGTAATTCAGGTTCGTGAAAACGTGCTAATCCGAAGAATCTTAATGGTATAGACCTTATAAGGTTCTATATACCCCATCTATCTGTCCTTCTCACCGCTTGAGCTTGGTGAACTCGCGCTCAACGGCACATGAAAGAGCAGCAGTGTAAGCCACTCTTATGTAAGACGCGTGGAACTACGCCTTGTGGTGGCGTGGAACAATTTCAAAACAGTCCCAGTTTAGTTTAGAATTTCGACACAGTTTAAAACTGTTCTAAAATAATTTCTTGTGCACCAATCTCGGCAGAGAGGTGAATCACTTGTAAACAATCAAAGTTCTCTCACAAAATCTCGTTGCAAGTAACTAATTCAGAGGTGTGGATAAGTGTTTCGATATAAGAGGCTGGGGTGGGATGGGGAGTACAATAATAATTAAATCTTACAGGTTGCAAACAAACAAGTTTGTTTTATAATAAAACATTTTCACTTTTTCAGAAAGGATGGATGCTGACGCGAAAGCTTTGACAATTTCTCCCACCTCTCTCAGCTTACTCCGTAAAAATGTTCAAGAAATAACTCTTTTCGACAATTACTATCATTTATTTATTTTTTCTTATTTCAATCTTTACACAGTCAATGTGCCAAGACTTCCAGGCAAAGTCATGCAATGCCTCGCTACTGCCACCTGGAATGACCTTTAAAAAATGCGAAGCCACGTGTTGTGAACAGAACAAGTGCAACGGGCTTGCAGAGAGCACCTCGCCAAGTGTGAATGCCGCGCCAAGTGTAAACGCTTGGCCAAGTGTAAATGCCTCGCCAAGTGTAAACACCTCGCTAAGTGTAAACGCCTCTCCAAGTGTAGACGCCTCGCCAAGTGTAAACGCCTCGCCAAGTGCAAACGCCTCGCCAAGTGTAAACACCTCACCAAGTGTAAACGCCTCACCAAGTGGCCCGGTAACCAGTGTTCCTGTAAAAACTATGGCCACAGGAACCCCACCGAAGCCTTCTAGTGGTGCCACAACATACAACAAAGTTGTATCATTCGCCACCACCCTTACAAGCGTACTCTATGTGCTTTTTTGTATGTACTGACTTTGAGCAGTGATAATTGTAAGAGTGCTGAAAACAACGTTAACCAGGTGCTAGAGTCTGTTTGTTTTTGTTTGTTTTTTGCTATTTAAAGACAAATAATTCAAATTTCGTAGCCGATCAAATTTCTCATCTTTTGTAACTACTCTACATACAGTATAAGTGAACTAAGCGGCCACCCGCTAGATTCCCGCCTGTATCAAAGTTGGACAAGTCCAGTAAATTACATAGAACTGTTTTTATTGTTAAACACTAAATAGAACAGAGTGAGCGATCCGCGGCCTTTCAAACGGAACCTTTGAGTCAATAAAACACAGATTTCAATAAGTCAACAATGTAATCTTAATTGCAATGGGAGAGAGATAAAGCGAAAATTTCTTATCAAGTTGTTTGCTTAGAAAGGGTTTCTGTAAATGAGGTGCTTAATTCTAATGTCAGCGTCTGTTCAGGAAGGTTTGTGTCAGTGTAAGTTCATTTTTCCAAAAAAAATGGTAGATTGATAGATGATCAAGCTAATAAAAATGTTGGACTTGGGACGTATTGTTTTCCTTATACAAATTTTCGATTTGATTACCCACTAATGTCCGTACAGTGTTCATTTTAGCTGCTATTCTTTTGGCCTGTTAAGAATTCTGATTCCTTTTTATAAATTTTTCAGTAACTCTCCCCGCGTAGTAGTTCGTAACCTGTCTCATGAGAGAGTCATTCTAACTGCTATATTGATACGAAATTAATTAAACAGGCAAGCTGTTTTCCACGGGTTTTATGGTGATAGTTTGAAGAGGTTTTTGAGTATGAATTATCCGGTTTGGCGCCGCCATGATAAAAGCAAACAGCGACTTTTCCAGTCCGCGACACAAACGTTTTTATTGAGACAAAGTGCATTTTGACGACTTGTAATTATCGTATTTGCTCATTTCTAACGTACCATTGCGGTTGGAAGTTTTCGCTTATTGGTTTCATATTCATGTTGTTACGTTACGCGATCACCGTGGTGATGATATCAGTAGAAAAAGGGACAGCAAAGGATGATATTTACTCAGGTTACTTGGTCCATTAAAGTCTACATACTCCTAATTGCGCAAATTTGTCATGGAAAATAGCAGAAAGTAAAACTTTAAAAAGGTAAAACCCAAATTCAGAAATTAATTATGTGAACCAAAACTCCACTATTCATGTCATACATGTATACAAATTTTCCAGAAACTTTCCTATTTGTAAAGGAATCGATTTCATTGCACCTTTAAAAGCAGACGTCAGGACTGAAAGTATCACGAGAAGGAAATTTATTGACTCATTAATTTTTCTCTGGCTTTCATTTACCTTGGACAGCGTAATTGCGATCAGTTCTTTATAAAAAGCTGATGTGCTGCTGCATATCAGAATGTAGTACGTTTAATGCATTTTATCATGTGGTAGGAATTTGAGGCAGGTTGGTATTGACAAATATCGCATTTATGAAGTTTGGCTTGGCCCGAAACAAACCTTAGCCAATAATGTCTCATTTCACGACAGTATTTAGTCATGAATTATTGAACTATGCTAATATGAATTCAGTACCTAACGAAAAACAACTATTCCCTGTAGGCAGCCGTCGGCTAATTTACAGCGCTCAACATGAATTTTTTCTTGATTTGTGTTCTGTCTGTAACAGCTTCTTTACCTTGTGGTAGGTATTTTTTGTTATGTGCTTTGTTTTAATCAATATTTGTTTTGATTTGAGTTATTTTGCTGCAGTTTTCTGTCAAGTTACGTCTACGCTAAATCGACCTGATAGCAAAACCAGCCCTTAGAATTGCAAACTTTAAAATATCTTCTTATCATTTTACATTTTATTGGAGATAATCGTTTTGGCTGTTCCTAACCCCATCTATCATGATGAGTGCTACGGAAATCTTGAAAAAAAAAAAACCACTGGAATGAGCTTAGTACCATGATTTGTATGGCTGCGCACGATTTAAAGTTAATAGCAGGGACTAGATATGTCTCGAATATATCCTTTTTCTATATGTGTCTATTATTTGTCGAATGTCACTAATGTTAAGAATCATGATTTATGGAAAGCTTATTAAGTAAAAAAGAAGGGCAGGGGAGAAATCTTGGCGGCAATAACAAATTTTCGCTTAAGATTACTACGCCTTCAGTTATAATTATCATACATGGTCGGTTTGGGAATCTAACTCTGTTGACGTTTAATGTATTTTTCATGATTGAGCTTACAAAAAAGAGATACAAAACGATTAATAATAATCATTACATGTAAACTATAACCTGTTTAAACGAAAGGAACAGTTTCAGCGTTAAGTATTTTGTGGTCCAGTACTTTTTTAAGTTTATGGTCAACTACCGCCTTGAAGCCATCTCAAGATATGAGCAAAATAATACATCCAGCCGATTATAAACTTCCCTGAATAAAGGTCCCCGTTTATCTCTTCTTGTTTTGAGAGATAGGAACTGTGCTGTGAATTCGGCATTAAAATTAAATTCTCTTTAGACTAAATCATTCTATAATTTTTGTGCTAGGTAAAATTTTAATGTTTAGTTCGTTTGACATGCAAATCTTGTATCTCTTACAAGTGCTTACCGAATGAAAACCACACCTAAATCTTTTTACCTGATCAAGGTGTCAAACAGAACAAAAGCATTTACATAACAATGATGATTTAACGAAGTTGATGCATCTAGGGATTAACATGTCAACAAAGAACGTTTTGGGGTTTGGTGATCATCAAAAGGAATAATTGGTGTTAGGTACGCAACTATTTTCAGAAGACAGTCTTTGCCTCTTTCTGTGTCTTGCTGTTTGGTTTGTTTGATAGGACAGTGCTAAGTAACGTAAGAGTAAACTTGTGCAAGTATGTTAGGCAGGCTTTGTCAGTCAAAAGCTACAACTCTTGCCCCTCCACAACATTTTTTTTATATGAAACAGTCAGCTCTTGGGCTTTGTCCAAACCACACGTATGTACAGTAAATGCTCTGATACTATGCAAATGGTATATACTAGCATCATTCATTCGGGCTTGGAAGCGTTTCAGTACAAAAAAGGCTTGTATTTCAAAACAGGCAGTGGCGCGTAACTCTCTCTTTGCTTTATCGCTTGATTCAAAGATTCGAGAAAAGAAAAATCAATGAAAAGGAACAAAATTATAGGGATAACTAGGGAAGGTTAGGCAAGTAGCAACCTGTGTTGTGTTTTGTTGTGTTTTTTTTTCGTCTCCCTGTCATGGTTAGTGTCAGAACTGCTTGACGAATCAGCCACCCTTAAATTTTCAGTGTGCAATTTAAAAAAAAAAAATTAACCTTCAAACAGGATAAGTAATTTCGGCTCTCGGTACACATTTTAAACTGAAGCGAAATAGAATTAAAATTAGCGCCTGCTCAATGATGAGAAAGATTCCAATGGATCATATTATCTAAAAAATTGGTAACGCCTTTCCGTTTTGTGTCTACAGCACTGGGATTACTGTGCTACGATTGCACCCCAGGGTTACAGAACATGTGCACTGGTAACAACATTACCGTAACTAATTGCACGGGAATGTATGACGCATGCCAAACATCTGGATTGCAAATCAGTCTGAAGCTTCCAAAGGTAAAAATGGACATGAGGGTGATGTCATGCAGCATGAAGGTAAGCGTGCTATAAAATAGTAACCAACAACATCGACAGAAATCTTATTTTCACTTTTTTTTTTGTCCTGGTCGGCGGATAACATTTACCTGTTTACGTTGGCCAGTCTGTCAATGTCTAATACAAGCCATAAAAAAGATTTTAATAAGGCAAAAATACTACCAAAAAAAGCGGAAAGAAAAAAGTTAAAAAGAACGAGAGCAGACCTAACACCTAAGCAAAATTGTTTTTAGATATTTTCTGGCTTGTGTTGAGTTTTCCCTTACAAATTACGTTCTCTGTTAATCAGACAAGTTCTGAGATTCAAAAGGCAATTTTTCATTATGTGGTCCGGGGGTAGGGGGGTGCACTTAACCGGGATAGTTAGGGTGGGAAGGGGGAGGGGTGGCTGATTCTTTCAAACCGTTCTTTATACTACCCTGTGTAAGACAACGAATTGTGTTGATTATGGGAAGAATGTCCATAATGAGAAAACATCTTTCAAAGTTAGATAGATTTAGAGCACTTTTCGATTGAGTGTCGTGATAACAAAACTAGAGTAATCGCAAAAACCAATCAGAGAAAATGTCCCCGTGAGCCAATGAGAATTCAAAGAAGGCGACCAAGAAGCAATTAGTTTTTAGTTTGCATCTGATTGGTTGAAAGGATAGCAAGATAATTCTGGACTAATTACTAGGCGAGGTTGAACAAAACCAATGCAATCCCGGATTCGATATTCAATTGAAAACTTCCCCTCAAGCAATTTTTTCAACTCTACCAATGTAAACCACGCATCGCCAAGTCCCCACCCAGTTAAGACGCAAAATAACGAAATGGAAAACCCTGTGTCAAGGACTTAGAACCAGAATGAAAGCCTCAGTGAAAAGAGTGTAATTCCATAAGGCCTGTCGGTATCTCGAGAGACTCAAAATAAATAACAGACACTCCTGAGAGGTGACTTTTTCTACCTAATAACATTGAAAAGATAGTACATTTTTGGCTGGGTCCTCGAATAAAGACAGATATGATATGTTTTCCTATGAGCATGGAACGAAGAGAAAATGTGGGTCTTCGGCGAGGAATAGAATCAAATGGCCTTCGGAATTCGTGCTCCCATCTTAGTCCGCCTTCTTGTTAAAGCAGATAACATCAGATCCGAGAGCGAATACCATTTTCCTTTATTCTCTAAGATATTAGTTTTTTTATTCAACATTTCTAAAAATCATCACCCAGTCGCTATTAACGAAAAGCTTGATTTTTTTTCTTAGTCTGCGTGCTCCAAAATAACCACAGACGGCTGTAAAAATGTGACGTCCTTAACCAAGGCAGTCCCAGGCTCCAAAGTAGATGCTTGTGGCGTCAGTTGCTGCTATACCGATAAATGCAACACCAAAGACCTCGTGGTACTTTCGAAACCCACCGCTAAATCCGTGGCACCATTCTCTGAGGTATCCTTGATTATCAACCTGCTGGTGTTCCTCTTGTCAGCTGGAATCGCTGTTACTGCGATTTAGTGGAAAGAGGCGAGCCCAAAAGGCCGCCACTTTGGCTTTCTGCAAGGTCGTGATAATAACTCGGGATTTGGTGTGCTAACCCTCAGCAATTATTTAAGTTTGTGATTAGTGGTATTTTTTCAAAGCGTGATTATGCTGCTTCATTTTAGAAACGTTTTTCAAGTACCAATCTGGTAAAGAAAAATAACAGAGGTTAGGAAATCTAGACAATGGTTTGTCAGCTCTACGCTGTCAAAGATTTTGATGTTTATGATTCTTTGTGTTCTACTGTTTATTTTTAAATTTTTATTAAGTGCACTTGATTATTTAAATTGAGTTTTCACCTTATATTACTATTAAAGAGCGCGCAAATCAACTTATTTCTATCTCTACTTCTCTTCTAAACGTATTATTGACCCCGAAATGGGTGGATACTTGGGGGGTCTTTTACGAACTTTTGATCGCATACAGTCGACCACTGCGCATCCTTAGTTTTGGCCTTCGTTCGCTTTGATATTGTTTTATCATTTTGTTCATAGAAGACATGGAAATGGTAAACAATTTCCGCCATGAATACATAATTTTGTAGTCAGTCCGAAAAAAGAAAATCCGTCGTGTCATTTCAGTAAAGGTCTCTTTTAGGCTGCACGAAAGGTTAAAAAAACAAGATATCCTTCTTTGAATTATAAAAACCAAAAATTAGTGTAGTGCACCACAAGATGCTTTATAACATAGCTAGTAAATTTGTCTAATCAAATTCAACTGCGTGAGCGTGCTTCATATTTCTATTGTGCACGCTCATGACGTCAGCAAACAAATCCCTCGAGAAAAAAATTTTCTCCGCAATTTTTTACTTTTACATCGGGTTGAAAATGTTATAAAACAATTGGTTCATACGTCAGCTGTGCGTTCATCGAAATATGAGGCACTTGGGAAGTTTGGAGAGCACTTAAGAAGCTAGAGCTACTCTTACGCATCTTTCGAGCTCTCCAAACTTCCCGCGTGCTTCATATCTCGATGAACGCACGCTGACCTATGAACCAATTGTTAATTAGAGCAACAACAATTACAAACGATACCTCTTGCATGATTCCAGCTTCCTGCCGAAAAATTAAAAAAATTTGACGGACTACAGTATAATCACATGGAGATACATAGGAAACTATCTAGCCAATTGCTCGGTGAGGAAGCAATTGACCACGGAGTCGATGCCAACATTAGCGTTTGTTTTTCTATCTGTTTCGCTCTTGATATCTACTGTCAAAGTTCAAATGACCCTTTGACTCCCAAGATCTAATTGTGAACTTTCCCCAGTAGCTATTACACATTTCCTTGTAAATTTAGTGTTAGCTCAAGATAACAACTTCTACCTGATAAATTTGAGTATTCTCGTTACCTGTTTGCTGGATGATCTCATGTATGGATACTATAACAGAGTAGAAGTTACCCTTTAATCACTTCTGAGAGTTAAAAGGTTCATTCCTGTATAAATACCTGGGTGGACGGTTTCTATCAAGCTGGCACTTCAAATATCCTTATTGGTTTCCGTTAAATGACTCATTTCAAAAACTTCTGGGGTTTTCACTGAATCGAACTGGTGTCATCGTGGCGTGCGAAGGTTGAAAAGCCGTCACCATTCCACCGAAGGAATCTGTCACGGAGACCTGGTAACTACATTAATCTCAATTCAAACCATGACGTCAGGGTGTGATGGTTCATTGCAGCTACAGAATCTGGAAAGACGCGACCAGAGGATTAGTGTCTTGTGAGGATTTATTTCTATTGATACGATGAAAGGCTCAATCCTGATTAGTGTACTGCTAATTGCTCTTCCATGTGGTAAGTACTAGAATTAACTGAATTACTTTAAAAAAAGCCTATCAGTTTTAATGCAGAGAGACATTTGCTTGTTTGATTTCCAGTGCTCGTTTTTGGAAAACATATTAACACATTTATATGACGTAAGGCCTTATTTTTTCAAGGGTAGAAAATTTATATCAGTAAACATTGTTCAAAAGCTAATAAGTGCATGAGATTCATTCTATTTTGCTAAATCACACACAGATTTACTAAGTTAAAATCTCTAAGATTATCAGTGATTCGGTATTTCAGTCAACATTATGGAAAACTTCCAATTTTCTGGTCTGCTGTGGACAGCTTGACGACTTGTATTAAGGTAGCCGATGTGTTTAAGCGCTGTTATCCAAAAATCCTGGAAATTTTCTTGTTTCAAGGTTTAAAACATTCTTAATCCACAGTCCTGCTGCAAAAGCTTTTAACGTTTTCACATAAAAGGCGTTGAAAAGCGTTATGCTAATTTCAGTACTCCCGTTGTTGTGACCTCTTTGATTACTCAAACAATAACACGCCTTACTTAATATTCTGTTGCGACTATCTAAGTAAAAAGAGCAATGTTTAAATATTTATTTAGGGGCAAGTTTTATATAAAAAATTTCAATTCAAATATATATACAGACATTGCGGACAGAGCCTTGTTACCTTTAGTCATTGCTTTCTGAAGACTTTTCCACAATGATACTTAAAAAATAAAGAAAATATTCGCTAATTGCACATTTCGCGGCGAGGAATTATCCTAACAGTCAAGGGTTTCAACAAAATTATCTCTTTGTTATAAAGCAGGTGAAACAAAAAGTGTCATTTTTCAGCATATTTTCGCAAAGAAACCAGTGAACTTATTTTTTGCCGAGCACCATTCCTTTAAGAAGCTCATACAGCTTGCGGTGTAAAGAATAAAGCATCTTCTAATATAATAATGACAACAAGTTTAAGAAGTGACTCATGATAGCTTTTGTATTCAAAGGAAAAGATATAAAAGTGTATGAATTCAATTGTCCGCCGGCGCCGTCGTCGTTTGCAGTTCGTTTTGTTGCTGCCTAGTCTTGTTTTTATTTCAGACTCTGTAAACTCCAATCATCTTCTCAATAACAAGTTTTTCGAAAGGAATCATTTGTGATAAGGCACCACTACCTTTGAGCTCTTGATTGTAGTTTGTGGTAACAACACACTGCTAACAATGAACTTACTAACGAGCCACGGCTTCTTTTGTGAATCAGACCCAAAGGAAGATCCAACACGTACCAAAAAAGGATACAAAAGATGGCGGCTCCTGTGTGGTTACTGAATAACACTTGGCCCGCAACAAAAAAGCACAAAACAAAATGCCAGCGTTTTGTCTTGAAAAGTACTGCATTGTATGGCAATCCAGTGGTTTGAGACCACAAGAATGTTACGGAGCCTCACCGTTTTCGATTGCATTTCCAAACACAGAATTTGGTGTGCAACTTTTTTTCCCGCTGGTATTGAACACGCAGCAAATCAGGGTAAAATTTCCGCACAGCCCCATACTATTGTAAAACAAATCTGTTTTCCCAATGGCAATCTATTGTTTTTGTCATTGTTTCCTCTATCCAAGAACTGAATGCATAATGTAGTATGGGGCTGTGCGGAAATTTTACCCAAATCAAGCCAGGTGTTTGAATAAGTTCTTCTACTGCGTATTAGCGTCACCTTGGACTGTTGTTTTTGCAGTGTGTTTTTACTGATAATTTATTGTAAGAAATTCATTTTTAAATCTTGCACATTTGATAAACCAGAGTCATTTTATGGTAATTTGCATGTTGTTAAAGAAATAGTAATAGGTTTATCAAATAAACTCTTTCTTCGAGTGTGTGATTGACAGTCAGGAATTGGCTTTTTTGTTCCAAATTGTTTTATCATGATGCCTGTTCTAAGCAGACCACAAATGAAGCGAACACCAACAGATGTCCCGACTTTTGCCGACTCTTCATTCAGCCCACACTTTCCTATTTCTGTATTTAGCGGACACCGTAAAAGCTTTTAAGTAGAGATTTGAAAAAAATTAGAAAACAAAACCACGTTTCATATATGAAGTAATAATATTTCCTGTGAATTGAAATTTCAGCTCTTGGAATAAAGTGTCTCAGCTGCAAGTTTGGCGGACTTAAGTCTATGTGTGATTCAGTGTCAAATAGTTCCTATACTAACTGTACGGGAGTTCTTGACGCATGCGTGACCACCGGAATGATGGTCAAGTTTAAACTTGGCATGGAAAAGCAGGCGTATACTATGACATGCGGGCAAATGGTAGGTTGAGTATAACTCTGGGAGTTCTTCAGACGGTTAGTCTTTCGGTCGGTCTGGTCAATTGACAGTGAATCAGTTAGTTTGGCCGGCTAGACATTTTTCACTCATTCAGTTAGTCAGTCAAAAAGTTAAACAATCTGCCAGTCAGTTAGTTACCTAGTCAGTAAGTCACTTAGCCCAACAGTCATCAAGAAGCCAGCCAGCCAGTTAATCATACCTTCCCTCCGCCCTATTCAGATTTTAAATCACCTTGCTTTTCTCTTTACAGACCCTTTGTTCCAAACTTGAAACGGAGAACTGTGGTCCTGAAGGCGTAAGAAAGTATGTTGACAAGATTCCAGGAGTTAAAGTGACCAAGTGTGGAGTAGCCTGCTGCCAGACAGACATGTGCAACAACAAAGACCTTGTTAAACCAAAACCACTGCCGCCAGTGGCCTTGGCTGCTTTTACGAGCGCTTCTCTTATGGCCAGCTGTATCTCGCTTTTGTTGGGATTTGCTCTGATGGTGTAATCTCACTTACCTAACGCAGTTTTTGACACGAAGATTTTCAGTCAAAAGCTGCAGAAAGTAGCAAGCTTTTTTTATTCCACTTTTTCATATATTATTTTGATTGTAAGGACAGGACTCCTTGATATTTCAAGGAAAAAGGTTTAAGTAACATTTCTCATTTCATAGGAAAGATGTAAAGATTTTTTCCTGCTTCGTGGTGAAAATCTTCTTTCCGTTCATAATTGTTCTTGTATCCAACGCTTAATAAATGTAACACCTTTACTGTACAGTTTCTCTTACATGTTAGTGCATGCATAACGTTTGGAATAATTATTCCTGTAGAAGATCTTAAGAAAGATACCGAAGCCACAATGCATGATTCCGGCAGCGCGTTTTGACTTGAAATCATTCAAATCCTGAGGAAGCCCTTAGTAGGATAAAAAAAAAAGCCTGGTACGGACTAAAAGATTCTAAGCAAATACCATGGAATAATAACTTTTATCGTTAACATCTGTTTGAAAACCTCTGCAATCAGTGTCTACACTATCAAACAAATTGTGGCTCTGTCCAAACTGGAGAGTTTTCACGAAGCGTGAGGCTGGGTAACCAAATCGTTAGTAAAGGGTAAATTCAGAATCATCAACTGACTCGCCGTTTACACGACCAATGAAACCGAATCGTTTTGAAAACGCTCCTTATTTGAAAGCTGGTTTTCAGAACGACCCGGTTCTGATAACGAACTCGACCGGCGCCGTGTAAACGAAAGGCGTGCCCGTATCGAAACCGATGCGGTTACAAATGAAACCGCTTCCGTGTAAACGGTGCCTGAGTAGATGACGTAAATTGGCCACCGTAAAAAGTTTCAAAGCTGACGTTTCGAGAGTTAACCCTTCGTCAGAGCGAATGGAAGAATTGTGGGTTCCTCCATTCTCTCTGACGAAGGGCTAACGCTCGAAATGTCAGCTTTGAAACTCTCGACGGTGTTCAATTTACGTTGTCAACTTGGTTTATAATACCAAATAACGAGATCATTACTTGTTTAATTGTGGGATGGGTGGGTTAGTGAGATAGTTCAACATTATAATCTAGACAGGTCATCGTTCCTTCAGTTGCACCCAAATTTTGTTTAGTCTAACAAACTTCTCAACAACCTCGACAGTATTCTTTTCGCAAAGTAACTCGTCATCAAATTCTTGTGAATTGTCAACTCTGCGCCAAAATGTTTCTGAAAACGAAGACAATATTCGATTTCTGATGAGTCACTAGCTTGAAAATACTCAAAACGGAGGGCTCTAGGGCAGAAATTAATTTTAAGACTGAAGACGACTGACTGTGCGTATTGTTCTGGAATACAAAGCAGTCGGTTTTGTTTATCCTGTTTCATCTTGTCGTTAGCACTGCTTGCTCGATTTTCTAAGAATAGAAGTGCCGTTCTCAGGGTTTATTTGCGGAATTATATTATCTGCAAAGAAAAGTTTCAAATCTTGGTGCGCGCGTGCATGTGACAAGCTTCATATATCAAGACGGATTCCCTCGCGCGCTCGTGAAGTAAATGTCCTATATGAAGTATAATAAGCATTTCATTGTAACGTCAAAGTTTCGTTCGTTTTGAGATTTGCTTTTGTGTGGTTAAAAAAGAGAGGGAAATAATCTCGAGATAATTGAAATGCGATTCGTTTTTATTTGTAGCAGGCTGTTCTGCCTTGTTTTACTGGTTGCTTCTCCTGCTGAGGGACCAGGTAAGAAAAGTGTTTTCCGCGAAGTACAGTTCGGGAAGAATAAAACTAAATCTCATCGGTTAAGTCACTGAATGCGGGTTAATTTGAACTAAGCTGCGAACGTTTTCATTCACTGGCGATTTAAATTCTAAAATCCATTTAGAGAACAAGTCATTGGTTAATTTGCAAATCAACATTGCTTCCCAAGTTGTCTTTTTTTCTGATTTTATCCCTGTCACCCAAGGAATGCAAGAGTGTCCGAGATTTCGAGAATCCATAACGGAGAGTATCCAGTCCTTCTCGATTGCTTTGGCAGTCTTAAATTAGTTAGTTTAGTTGTACGGGATATAAAATTCTAATTTTGGTCAAGAAAATGCCGAGAACTTTTTCGGCGCCGACTGCGGCATAAAATGGTAAGCCTTTCAGTACTACTGAGTAGCTGGTGACGTTATGAGAAATAGCATTCATAAACATGAGCATGCGCCCTGATGCGCGGATATTAACAAATCGTTTTCAGTCAACAACAGTTTCAAACGGTTTCAACTTGTGTAAAGCAAAAACTACACTTATAAAGTTTCCTAGGCAAGCACTGTTGTAAAGAAACTTCAATTCTGTAAACTACTCAAACACACTTCCCTAAAAGGAAATTTACTTTTGTCTACTGAGTAAACTTGTAATAATGGATTAGGCAGAATTCATTTAAGACTGTACGTGCAAAACCTAAAAGTAATGCGCCACTCTTTTTTGTAAACCGTTATAAAAAGTGACTCGTTTTTTGTCATTCATATCATGCAGGAATTTTCGTACTACTAGCTTATGGATCACACAGGTGACTGACTGGACACTAGACTGCATCTTGGACGTAGAAATTAGTAAAATACAGGATAAGTACGATTGGGGAATGAACTAAACTCAGAATACTAAAATTATGACACGCTTTAAAGGAAAAAAATCTGAACATCCTTAAAAAAGGCAAGTCACGAATCATTAAGAAAAGACTTCTGAATGTGTCCTGGAAGTTGAGTGAGCAAGTTGTTTGGTATTTTGACGTAAAGCTGAGTTTTACAATCGTACATAGCGCCTCGGCCTAAATACCCGTACTCTATCTCCAGATAAGCTTTGAGGTCGTTCATACCAGTAACTTCCAGCCCTTCAAAAGAGTAGGTTTTTATAGGGAAAAATATTGATTTTGGGAAGGCTTTCTTTTTGTAATCGTAGACACCCGGTAAATTCCAGTTGACACAGAAGCATTTCGGATCATCGGGATGTTCGCTAAGAGTAAAAACATCCACATGTGCCAGACCTATATCAAAATGTTCATCGGTCTCGAATCCAAACTGTCTGAAAAGCTTTCTAGTGGCAATGAATTTTATACGTTTCCCTCCGACTCCGCAAAATGGAATCTCCTTTCCTCCTCCATCAAACCAGCCTCGCTTGCGAAGGGAACATTCATCTGACATTAAAACATCACCGTCTTTCAATGCCGGAAATTTATCAATATTGCGGACAACGTTTGAGAAATCAGTTTCAAGAATAGCCACATCTATATCGCCATCGTGTTTGATAATTTTTCCACCTTCACGATAAACAGCTAGGGCTGTACCACCATAAATAAAGTAACTGACGTTTACCCTATTAAAGTAGTCTGCAACAAGTTTCATCAGATGGACTCTCAGTGGTTTAAAACTTTCATTTTCTTTCAGCTTTTGTTGAAAGTTGTCGGCGCGACAACTTCCCCACATATCAAGACTGAGGTGTTCTGCTGATTCTTCTTCTTGGAAAATGACATCCAGACCCAGTCTATCTGAGATATTCATGCCAGAATCCTCTGAGGAGGCCTGGTCTGGCATAGACATGCTTCCTGTAAAAAAAAAATTACGGACAAATGAGCCGAATTTCTGAAAATTTAGCAAAAATAACCAATATTACTTCTAAAAGGGGGAAAAGGGGGAGATGTGGTGGCGTATTGGTTAGTGCCCTGGACTCTGGGACAAGAGGACTAGGTTCGAGTCTCGGCTGGGTTCATTGTGTTGTGTTCTTAGGCATAATACTTTACTTTCACAGTTCCTCTTCCAGCCCGGGAGTGTCATGAGTATTGATGCATTGTCAGGGAAGCCTTACAAAATGCTGGGGAGGGGGGGTAAGGTGACCTTTTGATGTACTGGCATTCTCTCCAAGGAGGGGAGAGTGGCAATAATCCTACTATAGTCGCTTCATGCTAAGGAAACTGGGTTAAGCTCCAGCTGGATGGGCCACTTAGCTCACTTAGCTCATATATAGACTTTACCCCCCCTTCTTTCCTTTTTTTTTGTACTTTTGAAAATAAGATACCCAGAAGGCCAATCAATTGTCTATACTTTGCTTCCATGCTATTTCAGAATTGATTGATTAATTGAATCTATGGAAAATGAATTTCTGAAAAAAAGAAACATTTTCTCAGTTATCATACAGCTATGAATAAATATAGTTTACACACATCCCAACCTCGAAATTAAGTTTTCTTCAATATTCCTTGACTAGGCATTGTTAAGAAAGACAGTCAGTTCATAAATCAATCATGCAATGGTAATGAATGTTACAGTTGATCAGAGATTATTATCATGTGTTCATGCTTTCATAATTCAACTGCAAAATAAGAGCATGCTACTGAAATGGAATTCACATCATGCAAGTTGTCGCATACCCAGGAAATCTCATCTGCTCAGTTTACCCTGTAATTATCTCTTTTTGTGTTTTAACTTACCAGAAATTGTAGGTTAAAATATGTCAAGTGAATATATACCAAGTGAAATAAACCAACGGAAAAAAACTCTTTACGCAGGGGTAGTTATAAAATTAACCCAGTGGCTGTCATCAGTGATGAGTGGGGAATCCCATAGTCTAACCACTCTCCAGGGGCAGGTTGATTGAGGCATTTAGCATAAAATCCAGGATTAAAATAGTGGAATAGAGAAATAGAGGAAGTAGAATGCGCAAAATGTTAGTGGAATAGAGAAATAGAGGAAGTAGAATGCTCAAAATGTTAGTGGAATAGAGAAATAGAGGAAGTAGAATGCTCAAAATGTTAGTGGAATAGAGAAATAGAGGAAGTAGAATGCTCAAAATGTTAGTGGAATAGAGAAATAGAGGAAGTAGAATGCTCTAAATGTTAGTGGAATAGAGAAATAGAGGAAGTAGAATGCTCTAAATGTTAGTGGAATAGAGAAATAGAGGAAGTAGAATGCTCAAAATGTTAGTGGAATAGAGAAATAGAGGAAGTAGAATGCTCTAAATGTTAGTGGAATAGAGAAATAGAGGAAGTAGAATGCTCTAAATGTTAGTGGAATAGAGAAATAGAGGAAGTAGAATGCTCAAAATGTTAGTGGAATAGAGAAATAGAGGAAGTAGAATGCTCAAAATGTTAGTGGAATAGAGAAATAGAGGAAGTAGAATGCTCAAAATGTTAGTGGAATAGAGAAATAGAGGAAGTAGAATGCTCAAAATGTTAGTGGAATAGAGAAATAGAGGAAGTAGAATGCTCTAAATGTTAGTGGAATAGAGAAATAGAGGAAGTAGAATGCTCAAAATGTTAGTGGAATAGAGAAATAGAGGAAGTAGAATGCTCAAAATGTTAGTGGAATAGAGAAATAGAGGAAGTAGAATGCTCTAAATGTTAGTGGAATAGAGAAATAGAGGAAGTAGAATGCTCAAAATGTTAGTGGAATAGAGAAATAGAGGAAGTAGAATGCTCAAAATGTTAGTGGAATAGAGAAATAGAGGAAGTAGAATGCTCAAAATGTTAGTGGAATAGAGAAATAGAGGAAGTAGAATGCTCTAAATGTTAGTGGAATAGAGAAATAGAGGAAGTAGAATGCTCAAAATGTTAGTGGAATAGAGAAATAGAGGAAGTAGAATGCTCAAAATGTTAGTGGAATAGAGAAATAGAGGAAGTAGAATGCTCTAAATGTTAGTGGAATAGAGAAATAGAGGAAGTAGAATGCTCAAAATGTTAGTGGAATAGAGAAATAGAGGAAGTAGAATGCTCAAAATGTTAGTGGAATAGAGAAATAGAGGAAGTAGAATGCTCTAAATGTTAGTGGAATAGAGAAATAGAGGAAGTAGAATGCTCAAAATGTTAGTGGAATAGAGAAATAGAGGAAGTAGAATGCTCAAAATGTTAGTGGAATAGAGAAATAGAGGAAGTAGAATGCTCAAAATGTTAGTGGAATAGAGAAATAGAGGAAGTAGAATGCTCTAAATGTTAGTGGAATAGAGAAATAGAGGAAGTAGAATGCTCAAAATGTTAGTGGAATAGAGAAATAGAGGAAGTAGAATGCTCAAAATGTTAGTGGAATAGAGAAATAGAGGAAGTAGAATGCTCTAAATGTTAGTGGAATAGAGAAATAGAGGAAGTAGAATGCTCAAAATGTTAGTGGAATAGAGAAATAGAGGAAGTAGAATGCTCAAAATGTTAGTGGAATAGAGAAATAGAGGAAGTAGAATGCTCAAAATGTTAGTGGAATAGAGAAATAGAGGAAGTAGAATGCTCAAAATGTTAGTGGAATAGAGAAATAGAGGAAGTAGAATGCTCTAAATGTTAGTGGAATAGAGAAATAGAGGAAGTAGAATGCTCAAAATGTTAGTGGAATAGAGAAATAGAGGAAGTAGAATGCTCTAAATGTTAGTGGAATAGAGAAATAGAGGAAGTAGAATGCTCAAAATGTTAGTGGAATAGAGAAATAGAGGAAGTAGAATGCTCTAAATGTTAGTGGAATAGAGAAATAGAGGAAGTAGAATGCTCAAAATGTTAGTGGAATAGAGAAATAGAGGAAGTAGAATGCTCAAAATGTTAGCTTTAGAAACTTTTAACTGTGGCCAACTTATATCAGCAACTTATGCAACAGTGAAGATTGCTTTCAAATTCATTTCCTTAACCTGCAGTTCACATATATGATTTTTATATATTTACATTCATTTATCATCAACTTAGTTGATAAAACCAAACCTTATCTTTCATATTGCATGAAGGAGAATAAATCTGTTCTTGTCAAATACCAGGAAAACCTCAAAAAATGAGGGGGAGGAGGGCTGGTGTACCTACAATGGATTAGAATCCCATCCAAGGGGAGGGACAAGCTCCAGCAAGGTGAGCAACTCAGCTCAATTGCCGACTTAATCTAACTTTTACCATTACAGAGTCTACCCTATATTTTGAAAACCTATCAAAGACAGAGTCAAGTCAAAATTTACTGCACACTGTTTACAAAGAAGTACAATGAAGATATCAAAAAGTAGCCACAATACAACTTTTGTTTGGGGAAAAAATATCAAACTAAATTACAAGAATACCTAATGGTGTACAGTGTTTGAGTTGGTCATTGTCATATGGTAAGGAAAAGTACAATTCATAAAAGAGAAACAAAATGACTATGACAGATTTCAGGTTTAAAACATGCTTTCAGGACATGCCACTTTAGTTATCAATGCTGCTGAATTAGCACATAGTACATCTTGTTTTGTTGAAACCAAGCACACATCTATTTTCCATATAAAAATCAAGCCCAGTTTTTTCTTGGGAGGAACTGTCAAATAACAATTTAAGAAGATTTAAGAAAGCAGATTACTTCAAAACTAATTTTTTGAATTGACAGTGCTTATAAGCAAATGCAAACTTTCAAGAATAGAGTAAGTAAAATGCTACTAGATCTCTAATGAAGAAAATCATGAAATTTCTTTAACTCTGTTGGAAATAAGAGGAAGAGAACCAGTTATGGCTGACTGATTGAATCACCTTACAAGAGGATTGGAGCAAGACAGCTAGCTCAAAGCAGGTAAATAACTGTAATTTGAACATTCTAACTAGCAACAGTCCAAACAGTTTGAAAGCTTCCATTTAACTTATGTCCAGGGAAAGTCTCTATGAGAATCCTTAGACTTGCACAAGAGCAAATGTACATGTACTTGCCAAGTTTCCTAATTCAAATTGAAGTCTGAACATAAGCCTGAACATTACCAACATGTAACATTTACAAATATGTCACTATAAATTCCGGCAAAATGACACCATATGACCACAAGCTGGTGTTCAGTTCCTCAAACGGAAACACACCTTTGTGTTATCATCCACTAGACTAACAACAAGAATACTGGAAGTCCGAGTTATACTCTGAAAATTGTGGTGTATGTTTTTGATCCATATTTTCGATCTGCCAGTATTTGACACAAGTGATGCTTGTGACACGGCAGAGATGAGAACACACCTCGAATGAGTATGATTGTGACTCAAATCCAAACTTGTTGGCCAAGTCTTCAAAGCATGGTCGACATGGATTCTAATTGCCTAAGTCCATGGCAGCTCGATATGAATTAGTACTTATCGTATTTAGAAAAAACAACCCCTGTTTCAGCAAAGCTTTGTGGAACAAGGGCAATCCGCAGAAAAATAAAATCTAGTGGATTTTCACGAACCACACGCACGAGTATAAACCTCTCCAAATTTAGCACACAACACACGACTATTCCAACGATATTTGCTGTCTCCGTTCGATTCTGCATCATGGATATTTTACATGACTCGGTAAAGTTTCCGCATGTAGTATGGGGCTGTGCGGAAATTTTACCCATGACTCTCCGTGCTTACAGTTATAGTTTAAGGTAATATTTTACCTGGTAAAATTCAGATTTTCCGCGATCAGCGCTTTTAGAATCCTGCTAACGCTCCAGTACACACTATAAACAGCAGCGTGGATGCAAATGAGTTTAGGGATTACATAGATGAGCCCGCGTTCTTCGTGAAACTGATACCGGTTTCCCTATCAAAAGGTATTCCGATAAATAGGTTTAAAATACACAGAATACTTGCCTTCTTTTATTTAGTTGAGGTTCTTTCATTTATCATTATTTGCAGCCATTTTGGCAAAAGAACGTCTTCCATCATCATATCGGCAGGTTCTTTACAGCTTTCAAGGAAAGTTCTGCGAACGATTTCCGCGCTTACCGGAAGACAAGGAGAAAGCATTTGAGAACAAGAGCCCATTTCTTCTTTATTGGTGCATGGGATGAATGTCATACCTTTCACGTGCTTTTAAATCAATTCTTGTTGCTTGCTACTAAGATACATGCTTTTGAGAACTTTGATTTGTGACTTAACCGACCCCGAATTAGAAATTAAGTCCTCCTGCCCAACGCTTGAGCAAGGATATGATAATAAGGATATGATGATAAGGATATGATGATAAGGATATGATGATAAGGATATGATAATAAGGATATGATAATAAGGATATGATAATAAGGATATGATAATAAGGATATGATAATAAGGATATGATAATAAGGATATGATAATAAGGATATGATAATAAGGATATGATAATAAGGATATGATAATAAGGATATGATAATAAAGAGATAAGAAGGAAGAAAAGCCGGAAGGGCTAGCAACAAAAACCGCCCCCGTCCCTCTTAGCTCAAGGTCTGGATCCGCTATTGAACATGATGGTGATCTGATTGAATGTAATCTTTTGACTGTTGCCTTCAAAATTTCTAAATGTCAAATGTACCCTCCTTCAAGAATTTATTATTTTTAACCCAATGCATGTTTAATCCTCTAATTTTCTAGAAAAACGATCGCTCTTTTTGTCACAATTACTTTTTAGTGTCTTCCTCGCCAAAGCTATCTATGGCATAACTACAAAATACAATCCAGGCATAGACTGCATGAAGCTCACTTCGCACAAGAAGAAGGCTTTGAAATTTTCACGTTGCCGTTTATCTGAACAGATTGAAAATCAGGCCACGAAAACACGTCTCCCCGTCCTCTAAAGCACCACTTGGAAATCTTTAAGACTTTTATGGCAGGCAAAGTGCGGCTCCAAATGTTAAAATTAGCCAGTTCGCCAATAAATGGCACGTTTTTGAAAGTTTTGTCAGATTTTTGTTCTTGACCAAGCACGAATGTTCCTCCAGGGGGAATAACATAACCGACTTTAAAACGGCTTCTATTTGATACCGCAACACCATCCTTGAAAAACGACCACGCCCCATCAGAGTTGTCCCATATGGTGCAGGTGTGATGCCATTTCCCATCGTTTACTGTCGCCATAATTTTCCTGCGGAAAAAGAGGTTGGAATTGACAAGTGAATTACACTTAAAAGCCTCATGCTATTTGTAAGAATGGCCGGCCACAGTGGGCTTCACAAAGCTGTCACTTTAAAATAAATTCGCATGGTATTGGGGGAAACTTCAAGTCGAAATTGAGTGCCTTTCACTCTTATTTTCTTTCATGGACAATAATGACAAGGTAACAAGTGAAATACATGGAGAATGATTCAATCACTGCAGGGCAACCAACAAAATAAACTTCCAGTGAAAATACAAATCCTTCGTTTTTGTTTGATAATGAATTTTTTTTCCTTCGCATTTGCAATTTGTCTATGATGATGGCGACCTTGGTGTAAATATCTATTTTTGTTACTGTTGTAAACAGCTCTTCTTCTTTTGTTAGTTTTTGTTTTTACTTTGTTTTACTGTTTTTTTACTGCAAAGGACTAAATATAAGATTGATAAAACAAATGTCAACATTTATAACATTTTGTCACCGGAAAATGTAATTACTTTACAATGTAACGCACTTTTGTTTTTCATAGAAGCGTAACATTTCATAACGACCACAGAAGGTGATCTTAACTATAAAGTGAAGGCTTCGTATTTTGCTCAGAGGTGTGGTCTGTGACAGTGTGTTAGTGCTTTAGTGCTTTCGTGCTAACATGCATCCCGTCGATCAGTCTGTCCTTTTTTCCCTTCATCCATCAATCCATCAAGTCGCAACAGCTCGGTCGTTTGAGTAATTTCTTACCTTGAATTTCCTCCCACAGTAAGCGACAAACTTTTCCTGTCGACGACTTGCAACATTAACTCTATGATTCCTTTGGAACTCAGGTAACTAAAGATGGTCAGACGATCTCTTGTCGCGTTAAGCCAGAAGCAGAAACTTATCTGTGACAAATGGACCATCGGGCCCTGCTTCTGAACGTAGTTATCAGTTGTACCAACAGATGGAAAAGAAAAACTGAAATCTGGAATCGGATAGGGAAATGAGACATAACAGCCCTTCTTCCGTCATTCCCGTGTGTCTGTCTGTCTGTCTGTCTGCTATTCGTTCTGACGAAGGGATTATGCTCGAAACATCAGCTCAGAAACTCTTTACTGTGGCTAATTTACAACATCAACTTAGTTAATGAAACCAAATTATCTTGTCTGTCTGTCTATCTGCTTAACCACCCTTTTTCCACCTCATCGTTCCTTTTTTCCTCTGCCTTTACTGTTCGTCTGTCGATCTGCAATTCTGTTATCTGTCTGTACGTCTGTTTGTTAAATATTCTTAATAATTTTTATATGTAAAAAATATTTACTAGAAGCAAGACAAAGGAAATGGAATATTGGAATCATAGCGTTCGTCAATCCGCTATTTGTAATGATATTCTTGATGAAAAGGCAGAAGAGATAAGAGAGACGAAGACAACGTGCTCAGTGGAAAAATGGCTCCGGGGCGTGGATAGACAGGAGTTTCTTCAGTGGAGAGCAAAGGCGGCTAACCCTAGACATAAACAGATAGAAAAAAATGTTCCACGGCAACCCTAGGAAAGAACCTTGCGAAAAATCCGGCTCTCAGAGACGCCATTGGGGTTCATGCTTGAATAAAGGGTAACTTGAGCCAAAATTTTGACCTATTTAATTGGTTGATTGACTACGGATCTATCCATTTATCAATTTTTGGTGTAATTTCAATTCTACCTTTGACATATAAGAACCTACTCCTGTTTCCATCCTCACTGTCTGTGCTTGATGACGGATCACAGATATTAGTATCCTAAAAAAAAAATTCCAGAATCAATGATTAGATCTGTCAGATCTGTCAGTACACAACTTTGACCCATTCAAACAGAAAAGTAAATCCGTATCACTTATTTCAATCAAATGAAGCCTTTTTTCTTTAAGTAGACAGTAGCATTGTGAAACAGTGGTTGAATTCGATATGCTTTCCGGGTCACCTCTGAAAAGACCTATGAGCTTTTTATACAGAACTGATTTTTTGCCAATGAGAATTTTTTCATGAACGAAGCAAGTATATATTTTGCTCAACTCGCCGCAAGGGTCTCAGATTTGGCTCCAGTCCTTCACTTATGAGAAGGCAACATCCTTCTATAACTCCCAGTATGCTTCAGAATTGCTCTCTGAATTTTGTAACAATATCTGCAAGTTCTCAAAGCTTGCCAAATTTGAACAAAAACTTGACAATTTCTTTCGACTCAAGTGACGTTTTTGATGTATTCACAGATATCAGGTATCTTTGGTTGACATCTGTGACCTGAAGTTTTATAAGGGCTCTAAAATCACTCCCGGTCAAGTTCTCCAAAACGTCCTCAAATACGATGGAAAATGAATAACCTTACCTTTTTCGAGGTTAACTGCTGAAAGATCGCTCCTTTCAAGTACATCAGAGAGCTTTTTTGGTCGCATAAACTCTCTATTCCACAACTCAGCATTTCACAGACTCCAAGATCGTCCGAGGAACGATCGAAATTGTAGGAAACACAAATCGGATCGTTGTGACATTTTATGATGCAGTTCAACCAGTCTGTGTCACTTAAAGAGCGATACACATGCCTAGATCCTGCACGGGGCACCAATATACGATTAGAAAACGTTGCTGGATAAAAAGCTAGTGTTGCGCCTAAAAATTCAGTAGTGGAAAAGAACCAAATGTAAAGGATTATTTTTATAATAATAACACTGCTAAAGCATCGACCCCCGCGCTGTGCACGTGAGAAAAGCACAAAATACATTATGAAGTGCCTCTTGTAAGATAAAGAAATTGCCAACGAAGCTCTTCCGATCTTGAGTTGCACAATCACTCTTCACAGTTGAGCATTTTAGTAATATGAGGTTCCCCCTAAGCTGCCCAACTCACCTGTCAGATGTTTTTGTTCCTGTCATTAGAGTAAATTACTTTCGCATTAAACGTCAAGGAAATGGAAAATGCTTTGAAAAAGAGACAAACATCTGTGTAAACGCGCTTTTGTTTAACTGAAGAAAAAAAAACTGTTTTCTATTCGAAGCTAAAAAACGACTGAATTAAAACCTGGCTTTTTCAATCCCCTAATTTTGACCCGATACTAATGTTTTCGACGACAAAACAGAACACGGTTGATAACACTTTGCTATGAATTATTCGATTGGTCGATACTTCGGCACTTTTTCGTTCTCCTTATTAAAAATACCCTCTTACGTAAATCTCTGAAGCCAAAGTATTTTTCGGGAACACTCCTTGTCGCTTGATCACGTTTTATGATGTAGAAGCCATCCAACAATTTTGATACTTTTTCAACCAAAAACTAAAATTCCTTTTTAATGCTACACAGTTTGTATGGCCTCTTCATTTGATATACATATCAAAGGGAGGGGGCGAGACAGGATACGGTGGAACTGATCCTTGATTAGTCTATGCTCGAGAAGGAGACGTCTCGGGACTGATGTTATTCGATTGTTTTTCGACAGGTTGCCTCTCACAATAACTATAAAAATATTTCGATCCCCACTTCGACCTAGGATTCGTGCGGGGTTTCAAGTTTTCAGGTTTAGTTGGACATAACTTTGCTGCGATTGCTTTTCGGCGAATATTATAGCGCTCAGTGGAGGATCAGCACAAAAGAAGAAAAAATCCAACTTTTCTTGAAGATATATAGATTTATAATTGAATGCATAAATGAAAATAGCCTTTAAAGACATTCTAAATTTTTGAGTACCAACAAAAAAGGTTGCGATTTTGCGCTAGATACCGACATGCACACTGGGTCTAATTTATTTCTCCTGTTCTCGAGTATTAGGAAAGGCGAATGAACTATATCTGCTCCTTTTTCAAAGAAGAAAGTTGAAAAAAAATACGCTTTTATTTCGGCTAAAGAAAATATACACTGGGGAAGGCCATTGAAAGGTCGAGTAGGATTTGACCAGGATTTGACAGGGGTATCACTTTGTTTTTATTTCTCACGTGAAAAAGCTAGTGTGTGGTTTTACGTTTTTCGGGGTTATAGCTCAGTCAGGCAAAACGCACAAACCGAAAGACATTAATCTTAAATGTGTTTGCTCAGCTACAAACCGAAACCTAAACTTTATAATAACTCAGGGTTTCATTTTTTAATCATTTTTTTGACTACCCTGCATGTAGTGATGTTTAGTTTTGCATACATTCCTGAAGCACTGTTTAAGTCTACGAAGGTAAATTTAGTAAACGCTAGTAAGTTTATTCAGGCAACAAAACAATTTATTTGCCAATTTTATGAAGTTAAACTGTTAATACAAGATAGGGCGTCTGTTTAACTGTCTGCAGTGAACTTTTTTTCTTACAACATAAATGTGATTGATACGACCTTTACGTGATGAGAATATCAGAGAGCTATTTGATTAATAATAACGAGAACATCAAAGCAAACTTTTCAAAACTAAAAGAAATCTTCAGTTCTACGTATCGCTGACTAGCTGCAAAATTAGTTTTGATTCTTCAGCGACTAAATCAAAAAACATGTCACTGCTACAAGACTGTTAACAGTAAATGGTTTAAACTGAATGTATGTCTGATGCGGTCATCTCACATATGCGTTTTGCCACTTTCTCTACCTCGGACTGAATAATGCTTTCATCCCTCAGGTAAAATATGTTGTTGTACTTTTCCATATTATCCACACCAGCACCAGCAATTTCCAAAAGCTCTATAGGATCTGGAAAGCCGATACCAACCACAATAATTTGTACTCCTTGCAGTTCAAGTCTACGGGCGACTGGCGCTGCGGGACTATCAGGAGATGGAACACTTTGACTCACTTGCTTGCCGTCTGTCAAAAGCACAAGAACCTGGGAAGCAAAAATAAAAATGAAATGAGCCCTGCTATGTATTTAGATAAATGAATGAGTAAATGAATGAACGAACTAGTGAATGACGAATAAATGGATGAATTAAGAGACTATTCGATACTTATCGCCTGACGGAGGGGGGGGGGGGGTTATGGTTGTGTGACGATAAAGGTTATCTGATTCTCATAAGTCTCTGTAATATTTTATGAGCCCTTCTTATTAGCAGGTAATTTGCAATCAATTTTCTATAGCCTCTCTCTATAATCATTTGGCGACGACTGATTCCCCTTCCATTCCCCCTGAGTACCATGTGATCCCTCCGAAATCCTCCCACCCTCTTTCCCCCCCCCCCCCCCCGACGATAAATAAACAGCGACTGGTCCCTGATCACTTTGTATAAGAGTAAACCAAACAAGATCAGTGATAAATGAGGATGGATGAAATCCATACCAGCTTCATTCCCAGGCTGCTTTCTAACACTGAAATGGCGAAGTGCTCTGAATAAGAGCTTGAGGATTTACACTGACCCCGGCGCCGATTATAAAAAATTCCTTATGACAGAGCTCAATGAAAGATTTTCCAAAAGCAACCCAAATTTATAGCCAAACCTGATCGTATCCTCTGGCTCCACCAGCTTCAGTAAACAATTTTTCACCCGCAAGTTCCAGCGCTCGATCTATGACTTTGTCACGAGTCGTATCATTCGAATTACCAGGGCCCCAGGACTCGATCAGTTTTAACATGTCTTCCTTGTATGTGGCACTTAACAACAGTTTGTTGAAATCGAAAAGTAACTGAGTGCGCTGATCGAACCCAATGACACCAATGTGGGTCATATCGTGATTGACAGGGAACTTATTGATGAGTGCCTCTGCAAACTTCTTTTCCAATCCCCACTCATCTTCTGTCCTTCTCTCCATCGTGATTCCAATGTCAATAGCTTTGTTGCATAAGGGTGGTGCATTGAGAACTGTTGATTCCAAACATTTTTTATTTCTTAATCTTTGTAACCAGGCTCCAGCTCGTTTAGATTTGCAAATAACTACTTGATTAGGAACATTAGTTATCGCCTAGGAGGAGGGTTGGGGGGACGCCTAGGAGGGGTGGTGTGGGGAGGATTCCCCCTCTTAAGCTCTGTTGTATTCCAATGACCCTCTCACAGGCATTCAATTTTCTATAGTCTCCACTTTAGGCTCTGTTAAGGAAAGCTGATCCTCCCTCCCCCCTGTAAAACCATGTGATCCCCCTCAGACCTTCCGCTCCCCCTCCCCTCCTTCCAGGCGCAAAATAATAAGTGGTCCATAGCGAGGTGTGAGTTTTTTTGATTGTTTGTTTTTTTTTATCGGATCATTCACAGAATGCATGTCCAAATGCCAGTGTAGCTCTAAATATCAACTTGAAAATTAATCAATTTTTTTCGTTTTTTATAGTGATTGATTCTACAAACTCGACTTTCCAATGAGGAAGGGTAAGTTGGAAATGTCTAGAAACTGAAAGTCATCAGCTATATACATTTCTCACGTATGTTTAACATAATCTCTACTTTAACAATGTAAGTGACACCATATAACAGGTATATGCTAACTGGTGAGTAAAAACTATAAGAGATATTGTATCGGCATAACCTTAGCTATACAAGGATACCTTTCACGTATTACGATACACGTATTTCCCTACTGTCAATTGTTATTTAGGAATTTCTTCCTCTATTCTTTCCTACTTATCTCTTCTCCCCGCCCATTTTTGAAGTTTCAAACGTGTCTTTTTACTCGTAAACTTATCGTCTCTCTCCAATCTCACGTGTTTATAAACGACTGACAACTTTTCCGTCTACTACTCCTTTACAGCAGCAACCAAAATGAACGCATTTAACGATTTCTGCTGCAGATACATGATATGCCCAACCAAACAGGAGGGCTGAGTATGTTTTGTATTACCTGTGTTTCTCTTTAATTCCCTCAGCGCTTTCCATTTTGCAAAGCCTACTTTGGGGGCCTGACAAAATTGAATAAAAAAAAACATGAATTAGAAATGTGGGGCAACAAAATGATTTGTACAGGCTACGAGGATCGAAATTGCGCTTCATACTTTCAATTAAATAATGTTACTATTTTCAATTTCCTTGTTACTTTTATTGCTCAGCTTATTGAGTCATTTACTTACTTTTAATTTGTTTTTTCAGTTTGTGTACACTTTTGTTTTGCGAAATGAAAATGCGCGTTTATGGTTTCTATAATGCAGTTTTTTAATCTACTTTCATTTCTCAGTCAGAGATTTTTTTAAAGCATTTTAAAACTGATCATTCTTTCACTCTGAAAAGAAAAAATATCAAAATTATGTCAAAGAGTTTCCTAGAAGTATCATGTGGCTGATGTTCATTCCCTAAATTTTCACCATACTGCTCTTATTGTTGTTATCTGTATTTTATGCTCTCTCTGGCTCTGTAGGCGTAATGAGGTGTGATCTGTTCGAAAGAATCAACGTCGTTGTAAGAGGAATTGAAAGAGAGATTGTTACACTCAGAAATTTCACAATATGTGAATGTCCTCTAACCTTGTCTTTCTTGAAAAAGGGGAAGTGTTACCCAGAAAAACTTCAGTCTCAAATCGAAGGAAAAATACTGTGCATTTATGAAAGTTTAAAATGATCATGCAGTAGAATAATTCGTAGTGTTAGCTAAGTTATACAGAGTTAAATTTTATAAAACTCACCATTCTCTCGGCCGTGCTTAAAGCGATCAGCAGAAAAATCGCCAAAACTCTAATGTTAGCCATGTCGTGTGGTTGAAAGTAACTGCAAAATGAAGAATGAAAACTGCATTAAGTATAAAAGTTATTTTGACATAAGGCAGGTACTCAATCAACAGCCCATTGAGAATGTATGATCTGACCTGCTCTGTGCGTGATAAGTTAAACAAAGGAACTTCTTTTCTGCTTAGCACATTGAACACACTAACAGCAGCTTTTTATACATTACTTGTACATTTTGCTCATTCGATCATGTTTTCCAAAGTAAGCAAACACAGAGCCGAAGAGCATGTACTATCATGGGCTTTCTGCTCTGAAATTGCTTGTTTACATTTGGTTTTTTTTAATTGCAGTTAGTAATAGCTAACAAGGAATATTTGGCATATTAAATTTTTCCTTTTTAAAATCGCAGCTAATAGAAGCTGCGAAGACAGGTTAAAACACTTTCTCTGTCATGATTTCATGTATATCAAGCTAAGTTTGGCCATTTTATGCCATTTTCAAAAGAAACTGTAACTAATATTGGACAAACTAGAGTTCATATGTGATTGGGCAAATGCCGATTTATTCAATTTTAAGGGTTTTTTCTGCATTATCTCAGTGTGGTCACAGTCCAACAGGATGAACACATACTTTCTTTGCGAGGAATGATAGACACCAATAAAAATAAATCGGGAATTTGCAAAGGTGCTCTGATTATTTTCGTCTCTCCCAGCATCTTTAAAGAGAGCAGGAGAGAGGAAATGAAAATTTCAACCTCTTTGTTGTAAATTATATCTAATTTTAATCTGGTCTTAAGGCTTTAAAATTGTTCTTTACCGATGAAAGGGAAAAAGAGGCCTCTTGAAATGTCGTTTCTTGTAAGTTTGAGCTGCAGCTGCAATAGTCGTAAAAAATGCCACATTTCGTGTCTTTATTATCAAACTCAACATCTAGTTTTTGAAGAAAAGAAGTATGAAAAGTCGAAACCTGAACGTTTCGTAAACCTGAAAGTTCGTAACCTGAACAGTTACAGAAACGTAACTCCAAATAGAATCTATTAACATTTTGATTTAAGACCGGCCCTTAAATTACGACGAAATGGGAGAACGCACGCATCGCGCTTTGGGTGATCAGAAGTCCGAACAAGAAAATGTGGTCCCAAAATTTTTTGGCTTACTCTACTTTACTGGAAAGAGCGCAAACAACACTGAACGCCTTTATGAAATTTATTTTAAAAGAAGATACCAGAAAGTAGATACACTTTGCATGGACGAATATTTACACAGTGCGCCTGGCAATAAAACCCCAGATAATGAACTCTAGGTCCGTCATCAATTCATATTATCTACGGTGCATTGCACACTCAAAACATTCAAAGGGAACTTACGGCTTGAGTGGAGAGTGTTGCTTCGCTGTACTCAGCTGAGGTAAAGGGTGAGGTTTGTTTGCTCACCTTTGATAACGATTCATTATATCCAAGGCATTTGATATACGACACGCGATGTGGGCTCGCCAATCAATCTACCACTCCCCCGTGAATTTTGAATACTCGCCGACATTTGCAATATCCAAAATCAAAGCTAACACTCTGATTAAAGTGAAAGAATCCGGGACGCCAAATCATTAATCTTACCCAGGATATGAGCCTTTACATGAAGTTATTGTGCAGCAACGATCTACAAATTAAACTTCTCCCTAATTTTCTGCTGACCTTCTTTAATGCTGGGTGGCCATGGTAAGATTCTTTATTTTAACTCTAGTTCATCAATTCACAATGATTTTATTAACTGATACTAAGATCCCATAAAAGGTATAGCGATTATATTATAGTCAGAGAAAATTTCCGCCGATTTCCTTGGCTGTCCTTAAACAGAACACACCTCAAGATAGGGTGGAGATTATACTCTCGATAACAAGACTGACCAAAGCCTGTTTTCGTGTCCCACCCACCTGATCCAAAGACCACTCACCTTAGTTTTCATCTCTTAAAACAATTTTTGTGTGCATATATTTCAGGATATCTCCCTAAACTATTCTTTACTAGCGAGAGATAGACAATTTCAGTAGTTTGCAGATTGAACCAGGATCGACATTCCTACATTTCATGCTCCAATGACTGACCAAATTTCGAATGCAATTCTTTCAGATTTAAAACAACAAAATTCAAGAAACAAATACCGGCCAATTAGTTTTAATATCAGGACGTCTGTGACATGTTGAAGATGCTAAATATACGTGTGAATACCGGCTGTTTTTGTTGTTTCTATTGCCATTAGGACATGATTCAGCTGTGCAACACAAGAACAATATAACACAAAAAATGTTGCGCAAAAAAAAAACAAAAAAAACAAACTTAAAGTTCTTTGTAAAACGGCGAAGGAGAAACCTGAATCTTTTTATGGTTTTCTCGATGTAAGTTTTATGGATCCCGCATGAAAGATTACTCACTGAGCATCATAACTTTTCCGAATACGTCTTTTTGCTTCATCGTGTCAAACCCCAGTTTTGATGATAGATTTCTTTATGAATTTTAGTAGAGCTAGAGGACAGGTCAAGATTGCAAATTTTTAACTGTCACTCAAGTTTCTTCGCTTTCTGGGATAAATCATGATTTTAGAGCATGCAATTTACCATTACTTTTAGTCAAAAAGGACCTTTCGTTAAAAAAAAGATGTTCTCTTTATTTATAATAACTGTTTACGATATCGAGGCGATAAATCTTGCCGTGTGCTTAGCCTAGTATCATCAACAATTGTCTATTGATACTTTTGCTCAGACAGAGGTATATCAAAAGGTTGAAAACAATGACTATAAAAGGCAGCGCTCAATATCAGCAACAACGTTTCCATACTCAAGAAACTTCCCTTCATTCCTTGCATTATGCAATTATTTCTATCAGGGGTTCATTCAAAGCCAGATAATTGAGCTGAAAACGCTAAAAATTCTTATTGCAAATAGAACAAGGAGTCTAAAGTCGAAACTGTTCAACAGATAATTGCTGATAAACCAAGTCAATTGCTTTCAAGAAGAGTTGAAAAAATAAACGAAAACCCTGGCGTAATGCTACAAGTTTAAAACTCCAAACCAGCGAAGTTTTCACCCGAAGATTTAAAAAGCTTAATTAAATCGATAACTCATTGCATCTTTACAGTAACAACTGCAACCCTAACGTATTTTAAAAATACACTGAACAATCCAGAATGGGTAAAACGTAAACAATCTATAATAAATTGTCGAGGGTAGCAGGAAATTTCCGTTTTGTATTGCTTTGTGTCTGATCCAGAGGCATCACGTTGTGTCCAAGCATGTTACATTTTTGATATTAAGCATTTGTTTTTTCTGTTTGAATATTTTTCTGGGCGCTCTCGTGTCTGCTGTAAGTGAACCACAATGATATTTCGACTTCAAAACAAAGTGTTCGGCTCTCGCCATTTTAAAATGTCATATCCGTTTTACGATATTTCTCAACGCTATATCTATAATTTAGTGTTAGAAAGAGTCTGCTACATAAAATGACTCATCGTTGCACGAAAGGCTGATGAAAAGAGCAGCAATTGCACTACCGCCCTTATTTGACCTTAAGGTGTAAACTTTTGGAGGTGTAGCTTACAATTTGGTATTGCTTGGGATCTTAATTCTAGAATAAACAACTTAAATAAATCAGTCGTATCTCTGACAAATTTTGTCCATTCTGATGAGTCTTTTAAGCGGGAATATGTGACGTCATTACCGCGCGGTCAAGTCGGTGTCTAATTACAGCCGCCCAATTTACAAAGTTTTGTAAATAACTGTATATGCCTTTTGTTAGAGATACAAGTTCTTCGTGGGTGAATAAGAATCACCGGAGAAGATTCTTTCGACCTGTTTCTCCGCTGTTGCAAGGAGTTTAAAGTACATTACTAACTGTGACTTTAATCAAGTTCTTGAGGACTTCATAACCTTAGCTTGTTATAGATCATACAATCAATTGATAATTGAACTGCAACGGCGGAAAATTTGGGCTCCTCCCTGGAGTGCTTTTCGCTCTCGGATGTTTGAAAGTGTTTTGAAGTGACCCAGGTTCAGTAAGCGAATTCAATTTTGAAATCTCATGCATTAACTTTTTTAAGGGGATCTGAAGGAATGAAAAGCGTATGTTGTATCGTTTCTAGTTCAGCGCGTTTGGTGGTTACTCGACTTAATAAAATTTTTTCTTCAAGAGGAGAAAAAACGTTATTTTCCTAGGCCTTAAAACCTAAAGGAAAAGCTGTTTGAAAGAATTCTCTTCGCTATTGACTAGAATTGCTGATGGATTGAAATATAAATTTTTGGCGCCTAGCCATGATATAGTTGAAACTCAATTAATAGGATTTTTAAAGAGCAATTACGGCCAAAAGGTTTGCTAACAACTTCATGGTTCTGTGGGGAAGTTTCCTCCAGCAATGACTTGAAAATGACGTTTATTGGATCTGGACAAAAAAGCGTTACCTTACCTGAACGACCGGATTTCGCAGCTTTCAGCCAGTCAAATTGTTTCCAGCCCGCTTGCAACTAGTTGAATGACTTGAAATTGTGTTGGCGTGCCTCTATAAGCAAAACTGCTGATGCAAATAATGTGTTCCAATAATCTTTCCCTCAGGACTTGTTTACAGGTCGAGAGAGAAAAGAACATAAAACAACCAATCACGCGAACCAAACATTTGCTGAAAGTAATGATTACAGTCAAATAGCCAGTCAGCCAAGAAACTGAAAGATAAGACCGAGCTCGAGTTATTTCAAATACAGGAGAAACGTTCTGAAAATATATCATTAGTATCGCGTTGTTAACAAATTGCCAATTATCAATTGGGAGGTGAACCGCGAAACAAAAGTAAAACGTGCACCCAAACATTAATATATTATTTTATTTTTTGTCTGTTCACCACATATTTACGAAAGAAATAGCGAAACAATATTGCCTTGAAATCCCTGATGAAAAGTACAGCAGTGACTTTTTTATCAATGTGTGTGTACATCAGTAGACCAAGCACTGGGCGGAAGAAACGGGTGCGTAAAATTAATTTTGGCGGGGAATGAGCTGAGCCTAATTACTTAAAATTAATCTTATTTGTTCCTTTCCCGTCTGTCTCGATCTCATCCACATTTTTGGAGAGAGTTAAAATTAGCTCACACACGCTTATCATGATTACAAGGAAGCTGTGAGCACCGTGGTCAGCATGAGTAGATAAGCCGTTCTCCTGTCCCCGTGTGGCAAGTTTGACATATTTACAGCCGCTCAATAATTTCGATGAAATAAAGTATTCAAATTATGAATTCACTATCGTCAACGCTGGGAAACATTCCGGCCCAATGCTGAGAACACTGTACTTCAGAACGACTGATTGAGAACCCCAGGGTCTAGCTGTGACTTGCTCCTTATGTTGTGTTCTCGAGGAGGCCACATTAACCCTTACATTTTCTCTCTGTACCCGGCCGGGAGTCTAAAGGGTCGCTGGCTAGTAAACTACACGCATCAAGGAACTCTGTGATGGAATACTATCCAATCTAAGAGTACATGGAATAACTTACGTCGCTTTATTCCGAATGAATCTTTCCCTCCTGCCTTCTGACCTTATTCAACAATGGAACTAACAAGTGATAGCCTGCAAATCAGACGTATTTTCTGGGAGGCGGGTGCTAGATGTTCCCCCCTTCCACGAAATGACTGTAATCTAGTGTAAAGTCTACCTTGTAGTTATTTTTAGAATATTCAATTTGTTATGATTTATTTGTCTCACCTTTATCCTTCTTTAAATTTCTGCCCTCTGTTCGATAGTAACAATGAAATATGATTAATCAAGATAGAACCCCTAAATTTTGCTTTTCAGATGTCGCTTATAAGAAAAGGAAGAAGGACATAATATTACTTTCAATCGCATAATTTTCAGAGAATCGCATAGAATGTTTTAACCTTAAAATTTTAGAGATTTTGAATAGCAGAAGTTTTTACCGCTCTTCCACGAATGACTTTGACATTACTTTTAAGTTTACCATGGAGTTATTGTAAGAATGTTTCAATTTTAGTTCAAACCTGATATTTTTTTCTTGTTGTCCTTTTTGATATTTCTGATTTTGAGCTGTAGCCAAGAAGCTCATTAAAAAAATGTTCAAAGCTTGTAGCAAATTTCAATTTTGTGTGACAATAAAAGAGAGACTTTCAGGTTGCTACGATGAAATAAAATTTTCATGTGAAAAGATGATCAGCTTGGTCAAGGAACAAAAGTTATATCGAGTAGATCATTACGGCGAGAGAGATCAAGAGCAAGAAATTACAAACAGCAGCAAAAAGGAACATATATTTCAAAGATGACATAAACTCACGATGCACTCACTGCAATAGTCTACTGTTATAATTCCTAAATGCACTCTGACAAAACGAGATGAAAACCAAAAACCTTCTCTTAATTAATTAACCCTGAAGAAAAAAAATTCACTTAAGACTCGAGTTTTATTTATTGCTTTTCGTTTTTGTTCCAAGAAGTGTTCAAGTCACTGCATGCCTCAAGCAGAAAAACAGTTATCCTTTATGTCGCAATAAATTGTGCACCAGATGTTACATATTTATTTAATTAGGCAAGTTAAAGCTGAACTGATCAATTGTATTTGACTTTTACTTGTGAAGACGTCCACTGTACTGTTATGTGCACGCAAATGGAAGATGTAAAATCGACTAAGGATAATTCATTTGAAGCAAACTCCTATGATGGTTAAAAAAAAATAAAGGAATAAAGAACACATCCGGGTATTTGTGTGAGAGCCATGTTGCTTATGTGAACACCTACACATGTTACAAAAACAACTTACATTTCGCAGTTGCCCATGACGACTTGTTCCTTAGTTTTCGATCCACTTCCAAGCGCACCCGTAGATGTCGACATCAACAATAATGTTATCAGCAAGCTGACTTCGAGGACTTGTAGGAAGGATGTTTTACTCAACAGCTGTTTGACGCCGGTGCAACGAATAGCGAGTAAAACCGAGTGAGCTTTAAGGTAAGAATCAAATGGAATGAAAAGCCATAAAGGAGAACGTTCGAGTTCTTATTAGTTTTGGTCTCCATGATGCTTGTCACTCTACGCAATTATGAACGCAATTATGAACATAACGGCCTTTAAGATTTCCGTATTGTCTTCCAGCCAGCGAGGATGTTGGCACTCAGTGTTAACATTAATTTGCAGCTACCTTCGTAATCATGCTGCTTATTAATTTTTTCTATCATACGTGATTTGGTTCTTTTTTGTCCCTTGCGTTACGTTGGGCCTATATCCCTTCAATAGCAATAAACCTTCATAGATGCAAATATGATATACTTGAGTAAGGCAAAGTGATTATGTATTGTTTATTCTCTTGGTTAAGCATTCACACTGTAATGTGGAAAATAGAAGGCTATCTCAGTGAATTTATTTTTAAGAAAATATATTCCAATTTGAAGTTAAGCGTAACGTATTTACCCAGGTTAGACCACCCGTTTTAGGGTCATTTAATATGAAATCGAAAGAATTCCAGTGAAACTGAAAAACATTCCTTTACTCGGCGGAAGGACTCGGGAGAGCTCATTTTCTACTCTGGGGAGGGGGAAGTTAAATATTATGGTTGTCAAAACGAGGTTTATAGTTTAAAGCTTTGCATCGGAAGCAAAAATGTCTCTATTAGCGATAAAATACAAACGTGGACATCTTGAGATTCTAAACCAACTTCTCCTTCCTCACAAGTCAGTATATGAGGAGATTAGAGGCGTAGAAGATGGCTGGCAAGCGATAAAAGCAATGAAGGTTAGTTAGGCAAACCAGCTCACAAATAATGTTAGCGAAGTGAGCTAATTTTAAAATAATGAGAACCCATTCAATTTCCTTTAATTTAAAACCTTTATTTTGGGATAGGTGGCTTTTTTGGAGCAAAATTATACGAATGTTTTTCAAAGGCCGTGATATAGGCAAGGATAGCTTTTATATGTACTAATCTCGTTTAGAAGCTAGCGCTATTTTGTGAAATCGTAATAAGGACCTCAATTGTCCACGTGGATATCCAGGGTTGCTGACTCAGGGAACGTTTTGGAACGTTGATACAAGTACGTTTTCATTTCGGCGGCTCGAAAGGTTTTTACGAAGAGTGAAGGTGGAATACTTCTTATTTATTTTAATGTTAATTCAATTCGAAAAAGAAAGTTACCATCGAATTTAATCATGGCTTCTTGGAAAAATTGTGCCGAAAGTGCCCAAATAGTTTGTGATTTATGTGCAAAGAGTAGGATAACGAGCAAACTTGCTCAGTTCCATGTTAATCTTGAGGAGACAATTTCACCCGGCACAAATCAAGATAGTTTGCATCCTTTAATTTATGGGAATATTTCCCACTCTCTTGTAAACAGTGGATCAAAACAAACATCTATTAAAAAAATTGCTGAATTAGCTTCCTTCCTAACCAAGAGAGGTGGATGGTTAGGAAACGATGAGGGAAAGAAAAAGGAACAAATATTTTTAGGAATTCGACTTCATACTGAAGAGCAACAAAAATTCAAGACAGGTTTGGCTGATAAAGATAAAAAGAAGACAATCTCCAATGGATCATTTCCAGAAATATATACTGTAAATAAATTGGGTATACTTGTTCATTCAGTTCAGGGGAAAGGATTACGGGGTGTAGTGAGATGAAGGAAAACTGTTTGTGAACCATACATTCCAAAGAGAAAATCAAATTCTATGTTACTGAGAGTCTGTACACATTTACTTACAAGTGGATTTGGATCAAGACTACAGTAAACTAAGCACAGATGAAGAACAGTTTATTACAGATTTATTGTGTTAGACAGAATTATGTTGAACATAAAGCTCTAGTGATTTGGATTGAAACTTATGCAGTGGACTCATAAGTGTCTTTGACTCCACTTTTCCCTTTCTCTTTCTCTTTGCATTGTGGTGCCTGCACTACAATACCAGAAAGAAACAACATAGAACTTGTGTTAACTGTTGTATAGACATGTGTTGTGCCAATTTTCAGGAAGAAGAATTTTAAGAAAATGGTACACTAGCTGAAAGAAATACAAATATTTAAGATGGTGAAACACATGCAACCATTTCTGGTTAATTTTCTTGAAACATTGCATAATGAAACCAACATGTGTAGTTTTTAATGTTTTGGTTCCTACTGTGATGGATGATGTGATTGATGTTCATAAGAACTCCCTGAGAAAACTAGATCTTAGAAAGGAATTGGAGAATATTCAGCAATGCTATGTACTCACTTAAGTTGTAGGTTAACTTGCAGTGTAGCCTACACTGCAAAAGTCACGAAACAGTTGGCTCAAATTTGGTTTGCTTACAGTTAGATTTGCACCTGTTACATGGTTGGTGACAGTCAATTTTTTTGTAGTAAGTACAACTTTAAATCCTGATGAAATTTAGTTGGTTATTTTTGTTGTTGAAAAATGATCATGCATTAGAGCACTGATATTGTAATATGACTAACAGTCATATTTATGAACAAGTTACAATGTGCTATGGCAAATTTTTCTAGTGTATGTGATGTATGTTATAGAGTCATTTATTTCAATCTATGCATTCAGTAAATGAGCATTTGATTTAGTGAATACTCAAACCTTTCAGAGATACATGCATATTTTATTGTTCCAGGTTCGTGGAGCTCCTGCAATTGCTTTGGTTGGTGCCTTGAGTCTTGCAGTAGAGATTTTACCAATGTCATTTAGTTCCAAGGAAGAAGTGGAAAACTTTGTTGCAGAAAAGCTTCAGTATCTTACCACAGCTCGACCAACAGCTGTAAATATTATGGAAGCTGCAAAGCATTTGACATTATTTGTCAAAGACTTGTCATCAAAACTCAGTAATACTGAAAGTATCAAGATAGAACTTATCAAAGAAATAGAAGGAATGCTAGACAAAGATTTAAGTGATAACAAGGCTCTTGGAAGGCTTGGTGCAGAGCATATGTTACAACTGGTGGGGGCTGACAAGTTAAAGGTGCTCACACATTGCAACACTGGTTCCCTAGCAACGTCAGGATTTGGGACAGCATTAGGAGTGATAAGACATTTGTCTGAACAAGACCATATTGACCATGTGTTCTGCACTGAGACCAGACCTTATAACCAAGGATCAAGGCTTACAGCATATGAGTTGGTCTATGAGAATATTCCTTCAACTTTAGTTGCAGATTCAATGGTGTCACTACTCATGAAGACAAAAGGAGTACATGCAGTTGTTGTTGGTGCTGACAGAGTGGTTTCCAATGGAGATACAGCCAATAAGATAGGGACATATCAGATTGCTATAGCTGGTAAAGAAGTGATATGCCAGGCATTGTCTCTTTTACTTTTTTTTTTTTATATTCAGACTCATTAGCTCATTAGGCCCATACTGATTAATAGTATACATGAAAAAAATTATGTGCTTCTGATTGTCTGAAAACAACTTAATATATTTTTACTTAATATATTTTAAGTGCAAAGTTATAACACAAGTGCAAATTACAAATGCAAGCACTTTCAAAATTTCATCTGTCTTGACTTTCTGCAATGCTTTTTCCATGTAAATTATTAACAAGTAACAACATGATTTCTCAAGCAATTTGGGTTAAATAAACACTCGTAAATCTTTCAAAAATTTACTTGTACTTATTAACATCAAATTGCACTTAATTCTGTGTGCTGCTGAATTTGGTATTTCCACTGCATGGTTTATAAGGACAGAGTTTTGATTTCTATTTAAACAAAGAAAGCAATTCATTACCTTTCCCAAACAGTTTTTTGGAGAGGGAATTTTTGAGGGTAAACTGACTAACCTAAAAAACCCAGTGTTCAATGACCCATTAAGAAGCTTGCACATGAACTGGTATCTCTGTAGTCTTGTGTACAAATAGGCAGTGTCTTTGTCCCACAGATATTAAAGTTTTCATATAAAATACTGCCAGTCAATGTTAACAATAAACTTTCTTTTCTTTTTCAGCTAAACATCATGGAATCCCATTCTATGTTGCTGTGCCCTCCACTAGCATAGACCTGTCCTTAGAACATGGCAGTGACATTGTGATTGAGGAGAGACCTGCAGAAGAACTTACTACTGTAGCAGGTGTTCGCATTGCTGCTCCTGGCATTGCTTGCTGGAATCCAGCTTTTGATGTGACTCCAGCAGAATTGATAACAGGGGGCATTGTCACTGAACATGGTGTGTTTAAACCATCTGAACTAAAGAAGGCACTGGCAGGGAAAACTTAAGTTCGTTTCCTCATGGAACAGTGACAGTGGTTTTTTGTCATGCACATATAGGCATTGTGTTTCATAAAAATAGTTACATGTAGGTAGGCAAGAACAAAGTCAAACTTTTGGTAAAGGTTTTACTTTCAATTAGGTTTTCCTTCATTTAAGTTCTTATTTGTGTGTACTGATTTCAACTGTATCTCTTTGCAGTCTTGGCATTAGCTACAGTTCTAAAGAAATTGGTATTCAGTGGTTTCATACTCAGTTGTCTCATATCCAAAGTAGTCAAATTGTATCAAGTTTGAGAGGGTTTGTACTTGAACTGCTTGTCAACTTGTCCCAATATACATATACATTCATTCACAATACTGTCTAAATACAATTTTTAAAAATTGAGGTTTTGATATTATGAACATTAGTTTGTAATGTAAGTTCATTTAGGATGGAAATTAAATATATACTGCCTGTATGTATCTGGTGGAAATACTGTTTGTGTCTTTCTTATGACTCATGGACCCTGCTTTTTCAGCCCTAGGCCTTAATTTCACTGGTTGTATATCAAAAATAGAAAAATTTCAAAAGTTATTCAACACAGTTGATGTTGCTATTTAAAATATTAAACTGACTTTACTTTAACACTTCAACCCTTAAGAGTGACCAGCATCTAATTTCTCCCTACAATATCACACCCAAACCAAACATGCAGGTAATGAGAATAAAAGAAATGGTCACCAACTAGAGAAGCTCTTAATTATGAAACAAATTCTCCTCATCAGCATCTAAGGGAATGTATAGATATATACAGGGAACAGTATGGAGAATATGCATACTGATGTTAGGGTGGAAAAGGTTAAGAATACCAAACATGGAAACACTTCATTAGCATGAGTGCAAACAACTGAACTGAGTGGGTACAAATCAACCAAGCTGGGTATGAAACGACAGGTTACCCAGAAATTTCAGTAATGTTATGCATTGACCTTGCATGGACACTCAGTCACTGTTTTTCTTTTAATATTAAACCCAACTCCAACCCAGATGTTCAAACAACATGAACATGGTGAATACTTTTGAACTTGAAAAATGAACTTGGAAAATGGAGATCTTTCTGATTTTTATGTTTACAGCGTGTAGCGTGCAAAAGGTTTTGAATAATCATTTGGTGAAATTATTAATTCATAATTAAAAGTGAATTTGGTGGAACTTGTTTTATATAATTCCTTCCTAAACTAGTTTATGGTATATTCCCCAATAAATCAGATACTTGCATGCAGACTGAGTTCATCATGGTTGCCTAATCTGGTGAAACATTAAGACTGTTTCACATTTTTTTAAAAACGAAAGGAACATGGCTCTGTTGCTTTGAAACATTAGTTTGGATGAGCAAATGTTGCAAAAACTGATGTATATTCACAGGTAAACGGCCTGGGAACCACGATGAATGGCTAGGAGAAGGGGAGAGAGGTAAATCTAGAGGAATATTGTCATAAGCAGAAATTTTATTGTGGGTGGAGGGGGTGGAAAAGCTTATCCCCGACTCGCATGATGTCCCTAGGAAGTACTGAAACTCCTCTTGGATGGGATGCCCGTGCATCACAAGTTAACCTGCTCATTTACGCCCCTAGGTGGACGAAGGAAATATAATTGTACAGTACTAACATAAAAAGACAACGCGGTGACCCGGCAAGGTCAATCCGGACCTCTCAACGCAGGCTAATGTGCTAACTGTTCCGTCACAGCTTCTCTGGGTAATTTTGTTTTGAAATTTGTTTGCTCGAATGAAAGTATAGGCAAGAATCTTGACCAAACCTCGAGGTTTCAATTGACACTGCAGCCGGCCCGCAAGAACTTATGTCTGGTAACGGACCACTGAGGGAGCTCAATGAATGGGCTAGAAGTTAAAAACCATCCTATCACAGCTGAGAACAATGGTTTTACGTTGAAGAAGATTAGTATTATGCTGTCGAAAGATAGTTTGAGGGTAGGCTTCATCATTAGCACAAGCGTTTCTTCGTCTACTGGAAAGTAAGAGGCCAAGCTTAAGCAACATGAGCTGGCGAGAGGTCTGCAAGGCTTTAACACTCAATATTAGTGCCAGACCCCCAGCAAACCTCTCCCCGACTCGTCTCAAATCTTCCTGGGTCGGAAAACGCCACAACGCTACAAACGCCCGCAGGCTTGTCGAAAGGTAGCGATTGACAGAAATAATTACATCGTAAGGCAAACAGTTGTATTTCAAAGCAAACATCACATTTTGACGAATTTGCGTGACACTATTCATCCGCAATCTACACTATCTTATCTTCGTTTGAAAGTTGGAAAATTATTTCAAAAGTGGAGATTTTATTGTAAAGATCGTTTTGAGAATCTTATGTTTCTTGTGTGGTCAGGTTAAAAACGGAAGTTTTTGAAAAAGCGTTACATATTATCAGCCCGACCAGTATTTCAATCCTTGGCGCTTTGGTTATGACGGTAGGCAGTCACGTCTATGGTCAACGGACTAGCGTGGATCAGTTAAACTGATAAACGAAAATGCTGGTGCAGGCGAGAACTTTTTAATCTTTGTTACTTAAGACCAAAACGGATCCTTAAAAAATGTGTTTGGAGCTTAAAACGATATAAGAAGAAAGTGACACCCTTCTAAGACATTCCCGGGATGGTGAAATATCATCTAGTTCACATGACACCCAACTCGTAACAGATACTCACTTTGAGCCATCAACACGACTATAACCTTAAGCCTCAGAATACAGTTGTTTTATGTGTTGCCCAAAGGAACAAGAGAGGTAATTCACTTCCTTTCTGTAGAAGAGGTGAGTTCAGTTTGTTTATTGATACAAGAAACGGGCCGTTTCTTATCACTGTACAAGAGACCTAGTGGAACCAATACCAGGTCTAGCTGAATTCAACAATCTGTTTTGTATCAAGAAGTACTTATCAAACTGGACGAAATGCTCGTTTCAAGTCTGTTAAAATGTTACCCAGCTGAAGGGCAAAAGAAAATGAATCATTACCTTGAGGAAATGAAATCACTTTCTCTTTCGATGGGATGAGCGTAATTTGGAGAAATGGTTCATAATTAAAAGCTGCGGCAAATACCTTCAGATATTATACTCATAACAGCTTACAGAACAAACTCGGGGATTAATTACATACCTCAAATAGCTCCAACGAAATCAAAATAGCTTTCAGTTCCGCAGACGTCTGACTTGGCAGAGTTGATGGATATCTGATTCCCTCAGGGCGTTTAACTTTGTCGAGCATGATTAGATCAGATTTACTTAGGTTCGTTACCGCACGTATAATTTGACTGGAAAATTCCAATTCAAGAGGTCCAATTCCAAATCAAGATGAACCAAAAAATGTCCATAAGTGTATGGTTAGGGGTTAAGAATTTTAAATCAGAACGAGAATGCCACTCAAGGAAAAACTAGCGATCTTCGAATTAACAAGCGACATCAGACAACTCAAGAGGGCTACTAAGCGAAGTTTTTCGTCTAGCAAGTTTGTTCGTTTTTCATCCTTGATTTGAAGCTTTTCCTCTGAAGTGTAAAAAACGAAACTCCTTAGCAACTATTGATAAAGTTGGTAATACGCTTGTTCGTGATTAAAGTTCATCAAATGTTTTATGTTTTACTATGGAACACAATCTTAGGAGTATTATGAATTAAAGTTGTGACAACAAGTGCGATGAAAAAGCTCAGAAGATCCGTATTCTTTAGAAATGTAGGCGGCAATTCCTTAGTGTTTTAATCTCTTGGTCGCTGTGAAGGAGTTGTACAGTATTGAAAGAGCAAGCTCTAACTTGCTGAAATAAAAACCAAGAGAAACATTCGTGTAACCCAAATCACTGACCTTATCTTATCTGAAATGAGGATCAGAAGAGTGACCTTGTAAACATCTTTAGGGTTAAACAAACGACAGATAGCCGGTTGCTAATTACCCTCCGCCGTTGGTATCTATCAATAAGGGGCAACATACCTCTTGATTGCTTTCCGTGTCGCGCTAGCACTTGCTTTCGATATTCAAACCGGCTACAGATAAAAATAAATTCTTTGATAGATACAAATTTAAAAAAGGGTTCGCAATGCGTACTTGTGCGGGACTTTAGTCAAGTAAACGTTGATGCAGTGAGATTACCTTCACAATAAATGTAATACATTTTGTCATGTTATAGTGATAAATGTCGAGTAAAGATTCCGTAGAATCCCAAGCTACAGACGAGAAAACGGTTACGGGAGAAACATGTTTGGACTTCTAGTTTCGAGGAAATTAGGTGTGCTTACCATTTGTCAAAATAAACCTGTTGGGATGACTGGTCAATGGTGGTAAGAGTTTTTCCAAAGTCAGCGTCTACTTTTATTCCTTAGCGGAAATATTGGAATCAGTCGCTCGTAGCAGAGTAGAATTTGTTTACGATAAACCTGGATAAACCAGTAAGCAACTGCAAATGTTAGTTAATAGTATTCGTGCTTCCAGCTTAGAACACTTTACGGAAACTATACTTTTGCAAATTAGCTTTTCTGTTTAAACATGAACAGTTAATGTGTAAAATTTTGGCAGGAAGTTCGAAGGCATTAGTTTTTTAACTTGCGAATCTACAGAACCTGGTGCCGTCACGCAACGTATCAACAAATCATAGTTGAAAGAGGGAACCTCAAATTGCTAATCGTAAATCCACAGGATAGTACTGGACTTTGTCATTATGATGTATCTTTCCGTAAAACTTCGGTTGTTGGTAGGAATAAACGGGAGTTGAAAGTAATGAAATCATTCAAGTGTAAATCAGAGACCACGTGACCGAAACTTTGCTTTCGTACACAAATAGATAAATAAATACCGCAGGCCCTGACAAAGTGTAGGGAAATCCCACACAAAAATTACTCGTTAAAAGCAAGGTGAATATCCAACAATTATTCTACGAGTATGAAATGATAAATAACCAACGAGGCGAGTGGCGCCGACTTGATTATAATAATGACATATTCGGCAAGCCTGAGAAAAATAATTGTTTAAGTTAAAGCAAATTTAAAGTGTGCAAGGCGACTTTGTGTTGCTTAAGCTCAGGCCTCAGTGGACGTCAAGAAATACTAGTTACATACGGTGAAATATGTTTGAACCGAATTTATTGTCTTTTTCGGTGGTAGGCCCGTCGCATTTTCTATATTAGTTCTGTTACTTTTTTACTTGTAAGCTCTCGATCAAAACGATTTTTTCCGCCATTGCTTTACGGCTCGCTTAGTGAAAATTTTTCTTTGACTTCGCAAAAATTCATAGACCATATTTGTCGGAACTAGGTTTTGAGGTTAAAGCTAAGTAACAAGTTCATAATCTGACTCCGTTCAGCCAATCAAAAGGCTAGAAATTCAAGGGGATCATGGGACAATCGCCACAAAGCCTGAGGCGAATAATTGTTTTAATATAATTGCTTAGACGCTTTTCCATTGTAAATTCTGTAAGTAAAGAAAGCATTGCGCGCATTTTGTTACTATTGTGTTGATTACTCATATCAAGTTAATTAACAGGTCTATTTAATAAATCAGCAAAAACTTCACAGTTCACTTCTGAGGAATGTTACGCCAAACTCAGTAGCATCTTCTGTGTTTTTTGCAATTGAATTTTCTTCTATCGTGTCTATTACTTCCTCGGAAACTTTTTCCAAACGCAGGGCAGTCATTTGAAATTTGGCACCCTTGCTAGAATCACCTCGTGCAAAGTGATTATTGCAAGATATGACACAATACTCGACCAATCAGAGCATATGTATCTCAATAATAGCCTGAGCAATTACACTAAATAAGAATAAAACAAAACAAAAACAATCAGAAAATATACACTACCCCCTCTCTTTCTTGTCTGTTCAAGCAATGGCATTAACCGCTGACCAGGTGCTAACAAAAATCGGTAGCTTCGGCCGTTATCAATTGCGTCTGCTAATCTTCGCCAGCATCCTCGGGTGGTTCTGGTTCGCATGGCCGCTGCTTCTGTCAACGTTCATTGCCGCTGAGCCCGGGTGGCGTTGCGTTGCAAACAGCACTGAGTGTCAGATAGGTGCAATTGTGTACCCAGGGGACAACAACTACGATCTGAGGTGTAACATGTCAAGAGTAGCCTGGGAATTTGTTGGCGAGTATACTTCAGTTGTCACACAGGTACAGA